TCGTACTCTGGTCTATACAGAGTGTTTATCAATTACAAAACATAGTAAGACATGCAAGATAATAGTATATTTACAATTCATACATTTTGTTTGTTAGATTACAAATAATCTACATTCGGAGCAGCAAATTACCTATAAGAATATAGAGTTCCGAGAGATGGAACAAAGAGCCCATGGGATTATGTGTGCCATTTGAGGCATTAATTTGTATGCATAATTTGTATTTTGTTATAATATTACAGTCAACATAAGGAGCAGCGAATTACCCAAGATTAGTATAGAGTTCCGAGAGATGGAACAAAAACCTATGGGATTATGTTTGCCATTTTAGGCTGTGATTTAATGTTCGTGTAAGAGAGATGGATGGAAACAAGAAAGAACCTATATGTTTATGTTTGCCATACGAGGCTAAAATTTGTTTGATGTGCGTATGTACAAAACAGTGCTTGTAAGAACGTATGGGATTATATTTGTCATGCAAGGCTATAATTTGTATGTGTGTATGTTCAAAATAGTGATTGTTTTTATATAATATTAAATAATTACAATCTACATTCTGAGCCGCAAATTACGTACATATAAAGTTCCGAGAGATGGAACAAGGAAAGAACCTATGGGATTATGTTTGCCATTTGAGGCTGTGATTTATGTTCGTGTGCATGGCTTTTTAAGCCATTTCGTATATGAAAATTCATGTTTAAAAGTTAAGTCATATATAACCCTAGTTTGAACATGCAACTTATCATCCTAAACCTTAGCGCGTCGCCCTAAGCGCAGCAAGCAACCCTTAAGCGCAAAGCCGGATCTTATAACCGAAATGTTAAATTTAATTTCTCACATGCAAATTTACACATGCATCATGCATTAGCTATGTTCCTGGTGGCCAGAACCTAGGTAAGTAACTGAACAGAGTTATGGTTAAAGCCGATTCTTAATACGACGAACAATGAACTTCTGCTTTGCAGAAAAATTGTTCGTAGACCGAAATCACATCCTAAACCTAGCATGCACATTTTTTGACCACCAGGCTACTCTAACCTTTAACGATATCGGAAGACATCGCCAATTTACGCTGCTGTTCGACGTATAAAGTATGGCGTCGTTTTGGCGTCGTTTTGGCGTCGTTTTGGCGTCGTTTTGGCGTCGTTTTGGCGTCGTTTTGGCGTCGTTTTGGCGTCGTTTTGGCGTCGTTTTGGTTATAGCTCCACGGAGGCGTGTGTTTTTTATTTCATATGTGATTTATATTTCATCACCCTGAAATAGCATTAGATAAAAAATTGGAGACTATATTTGTTAATATACGGGGGAAGATTGAAGAATAAAAATAGTATTTAATAAGAATTACGCTCGAACATTACTTATAGGTTCCCTATGATTGAGGAGGGAAGCGTGACGACGAGGCCAAACAAATTAATTTTAACATTGCAAAAAAACTTCTAAACTACTGAAGTCCATTAAAGTCCGTTAGTCGTATTAAACCATTTTGATGAAAGCCCTGACACTTTTTCGTCCAAAAAATAAGAATCATTCCGCAGACAAATAGATAGGCATGCAAATGCTCTTAAGAGAGAATTTGACATTTATGACAATTTGGAAACTTATAGGCGTATAGCTGATGCAAGCGGCTTCCCTAATAGAAATAGCATGAATATTAAATAAAACATTTTCCGCAGCGAAAAATATAGCCAGCGCAAGAGCAACCTGCCCCTACAGTTATAGAAAAAGCATCTGGCAAAAACACTTTCATAGTTTGGATTTTTGGGGGCCGAGGCACATGTAGACAAAGTTTTTTCTCCAAAAAATTTGCCAAACCCAAGGCAACATAAAGAAATTGCAATTAATAAATACAAATCTTTTCCTCTGAAAAACAAATAACTGAAAAAATCATTGCACATAGTTAAAAGCCAAGGCTCTTAATCTAAAACCAAACTAACCTTATAGAAACAGCAGTAAAAATAACACTGCTATAAGATACCTGCTGGGCCTCTATATACCATGCATTCGCGGTAAGGTTAAGCAATACAGAGGAAAGTTTGATTCAGTTATAAAATTGAGGACGTCGTTGCATGGATATTACTTTATTACCTCATGCATGTTGCATTCGCCTTGCAAACGAAATTTTGGAATATGCATGCATTTTCAGCCGTCGTCGTTCCGCCCTAAATCTTATAGGTTCCCTATATCGTTCGCTCTATTACGAGTAAAATGCTTTATTGCTTAATACTCACATTTTAATTTGAACAGGATAGTCGTTGTTTGAATGATAGTCGTTTCAAATGGCTTTGACTCGCTCGATCTCTACCTGAAATAAAACAAAGGTAATGTTTGTTATAGACGGTGATATCCGCAAGTTATTCAATAAAACAAAAATTAAGTTTACAAATATTAGGAGAAAGCTAAACTCCCGTTGAAGTTTTAAACATCATTCAGTTAAAATAGCATATGATATGTTGACGATCCTCGTGTATGTGAACCAAATAGACACAAATATATAGATATGTACCTGTTCATTTTAGCAACTATTGTAGATGGGCAGCTTTGGACTTGCTGTCTCCTTAACGCGAGTCGTCTCGGACAATTTCAGCCCGGCGTTACTGCGATGGCGAATTTCTTGCCAACGGCCACAACATTTCTTTTAGTTTTACTTTAGCTCAAAAACTCTACCTGAAAAGAATAAGAAGGCAACGTTAATCCTCTGCAAAACCTTTAGAACTTAATTTAATTGAAATATATATAACTGAAGCTAAGGTTAGCGGCTATATGACGATTGCAGCTATAGACTGCGCGACATCAAAACTCCCGTAGGCGTAGAAGCGCATAAGACTATAAAGAGTAAACACAGATTTCAGCCCGTATATTACCTTTTTCATTTCACCAATAAGCTCCGAGAAAAAGCTAGTCGTGCCCTCTCTTCAAAGGCGAGTTTTCTTGAGCCATTTCAGCCACATTTATCGGCTATAAATCTCTTGTTCACGAGTTGCAAAGTCAAGCTTGGCTTTAAGTCGCCAGAATCTTGTCTGAAATGGATAAAAAGCAACGTTTTAATTAGTTGTTATAAGAACAATTTCAAATCGAACACAAGACGAACACACATAGATCTTTGGGCATTACACGAGGTGAAGTTGGACCACGTGGCGCGTTGGACCACGGCCAAATATTTTCGCCTAAATCTCTCATTAAAGGAAGCAGATAATCGTAAAGAAGAAAGCGTATTACCTGTTCTTACACCAACGACAAAGCGACAGAGATACTAAACTTCTCTTCCGTAGAAAGACTGAAGACGGGATAGTTGATAACAATTTCAGTGGAAATTTTCAAGCATTAGAAATGACTTGTCTTGATGCTTTGAAGACCAGTGCTCAAATGATGCCTCAAACAGGGTTGGCAGATGACTTAGCCCAACATTGTTTGTTTTAGAATTTAAACAGAGAAAACAAAGGTTATATATGTTAATTTGGTAATCTGACTTAAATTTGAATCTGATGTGGATATTTCATTTTTCCTGCTCCTCGTGATGAAAAATAGGGCCATGCTATTGGCTGACACACCCGTCCTGACAGCTCAACAATGCTTTTGATTGGATAATCTTATAACTTTAAATAATATGATTGATTCTTCTTCTGAGCAGGGAATGATTGACATAAAAAATGAATACTATTGTTATTTGAAAACCTATTACGATAAAATCAGTCAAATCTTTTGTTAGTGGTCCATACCAATTAAAGATCGACATGTTCTAAACCAACCAAACACTTGCCTGTAGTCAGCTGAAATGCTCATTATATCCTATTGTTTTCATTGTAATTTGTAAACGTTTTTTAGGCTTAAGGCTGTTTTCCACTTCAGCCGTATCGTGGCGTATCTCATTGTTTTAAAGTCATTAGTTTTGGTGGAATACTTCGGAAACTTAGAAATACGCGACGTTACGCAACGGTTGAAGTGGAAAACAGGCCTTAGCATCTCATGAAATTTATGAAATAATAATTTTTATGGACTCTTCTTTCTCCTACAATACCCACGCACAAACAGTCTGTTCCTCTGACTCTGTTATTTCCCTTTTAGTAATTCCCACTTTATCACAAATTTCATCCCGGATAGAAACGCGGCTAAATTAGATCTGGACAAATGCACAAATAAACAATTTGCCGTATTTTAGTCCTAGACGTGGAGTGATGAGAGAAATTAGAGAATTATTGCGAAATATTCGTTGGGTAACGATTAAATTGTGTGATAAACAAGTAAAACAATCTCGTTTTATATAAACACTTGATTATATGTGTCAAATAAAGTTGAGAGCTAACAATTTTTCTTTTTCATGTTTTTATGTTGTAATTTGGGCAGGTTCAAGCGCAGCTGAATGATATTTCACTATGCACTAACTTTACCGGGCAAAAAAATTGCATGAACAAGAAGAAGCGAAAACTAATATGAGTTTCAATTAGACCCCGATGTCTAGTGCTGCATATGACGCCGACGTCGGCAAAGTATTGTCGGTGATTATTGATGAATGATATCTTTTACCTTTCTGAAATCATTTTCTCCTTGGATGATCATGATTACAGACAATGAGTCGGCGACAGGTCGGCGTCATATGGAAACCAGGCTTAATTATTTAGTTCCGTAACTTCCGTCAGGCAAATTTCAAATTTCGACTGTTTTTACAGTCGCCAAACACCAAAATATTAGCATAGCAAAACTAAATCATCAGGATATAGCGCGCTGCCTTTTATGCTATACTGCTGAATTCAGGTCGTATCAGAAAGACAAAGAACGGTAGCATGAATTAGGGGAGAAATAGTTATTAATCATTCTTCTTCAGATTCAGTAAAGAAAAAGTGTCGTCGTAGAATATCCCTTATTTATTCTATCAAAATGGAAACACCACATTACATTTAGAATTTACATATTGCCATGCAAGTATTCCGTTTCGCCGATGTCTGTTAGCACTTTCGCCGAAGTCAGCAAAGACAGCAGAAGCAAAATATCGCGAGACAACACTATATAGTAACCAATACTTTATTGCTTTAAAGCGTTTTCATACAAGCTTTAAAATTACGAGATTTCTAAAAATTTATATACCTCATTGTGAAATCACCATATTTTAAAACTAAATAAGATGGGGAAGTTTCGTAAAGTTTCTTGATTTGAAAAATTCTACAGTGTATTTGCACGGTCGTGTTCAGTGTGCTATTTAAGAATGAGTTGTGATCAGTGCTAGCCGTACTGCTATAGCCTATAGGTAACTAATATTCAAACTGTTTTCCAAGTTTCTGTTCCCAAATTTTGAGAAGGCAGTTTGAATTTTAGGTACGTCGAAATGCTAGCCAAAAATGGTAGAGAGAAGTCTCACACGGACGTTTCTTTAATTCGAGCATTCTTAAAAACATTTTCGTTCTCCTTGTCGTTTTAAAGATGAAAGTATTCCAAAGTATAAATCAATTACGATTTTGTGGCACTTCAAAATGAGGACCGATAGCTGACAAATGAATTATCACAATAGCTTTTGTCACAAATATTTTGTTATCCGTTTTAGCATCAAAACACATATTAAAACGCTCAAAAACGTTACCGTGTGAATGTGTTCTTCATTTAATCTGGCAGGTTCTAGTTCGATGTAAACTAGTAGCAAGAACAAGTGGTAGGCATCAATCGCCAGGCATTTGACTTCAACACAGCATGCATGTACATGTGATTCAAATTTCTAATAATTAAGTTAATTTCTAAGGTTTATTTTCTTTGTACGTCTTATCGTCTTCGAACTATTTTGTCTATTTCTTTTGTACACGAAAAGTTCACGAGATGTACAAATCGTGTATGCATAGATCATACATTGAGCGGTAATCGACCCCATGCAACTACAAAGGGGCGCAACATTGGTTTGAGTATCATAATCCATGACAAACCACTGTTCCATTATTACATAGAGTCGTTGTTGATCATTAAAACACGATCATCCGGTGAGAATAACTGCTCAGCCTTTCTGTACATAAAAACGGTCACTACCAGTGCGATAAAAGTGAGCACTATTCCAACGGCGAGTGTTATGGCCTAAAAGGATATGAATTACAGTCATTCTATAAGCGCACATTCTATATGCATAATGTACATACGCGTAAGGCTAGAAAACGGCGTTACAGCTAATCTTTTGTACTTCTTCTCGAATGGCATTCCACATGTACAGTATAATCCCATGCATGCGCATTTTTTTCTAATTAATCTTTTAAGAGCTCTAGTTTTTCCTTTGTAATGCGAAAAATAGTTAAAATTAGGCATTTTTGCAAAATGAATGTTTTTCGGTAGCCTAATAATTCACATATAAAGTGTACTATATACATATTGTCGGAAATACATAATACATATTGTCGGAAATTCGACAAACTTGGAAAATCAGCGATGTCTATTGTCGGTGGTAATCACTTTTATTTTGCTTTTTTTGAAAACTTAAACTTGTACTACCCCAAATCCCCCCATGCGGAATAGCGTGTTCTGGTATGGATATGGAAACTGATTCATCCCGTCTTCCTTTGATTTTGCTTGTCAAAGGCGAGATCCCGGGCTTGCATAAAAGTCCGTATTCTCATATGCCCTACTCTTTCATAATGTACGATAGAAACTTCACAAGTGTGAAATAAAAAAATACCTCTTGAGTTGGATCTGCAATTAAAAACATCCGTATTCCTGTATCACTTCCCCACCTACAAATTGATTTCAGAAAATTAAAATATTTTTCACGTACATGCATGGATTGTACCAATTGTATTCCCCCGTCGACATGATTGTACCAATTGTATTCCCCAGCCGACATGTCACAAAATAACACATTTCCCACTTTACTTTGAATTATAGGAGGAGATATAATAAAAAATGTCAAAGTTGAAAAACTTTATAGAAAAGTTAAACTATAAATACGTTTTATATCAATAAATCAATTTTTATTTCTTTCATGATTCGCTTTTTCGATTTTTTTAAAAACAAAATTCAAGTATAAATTGTATGGGCTATTCAACTATTCTTCGCGAGCTGTTTGGAAAAGAAAAAAAATTTCTACCTCAAAAACGAAGGCTGATGTAAAATCCTACCTGCTTTCAGTCCATGTTGAGTACTTGGTTGAGTCATAATCTTCATTCTCGAATGCTGGAGACTTTGCTGGCGATGAGTATACATGTGCCCCGATGCATGAATCATTGTTAGGCTCGTACACAAAGATATTCACCTGTCCAAAAATAAATATTGTTTTAGATATCTAGTTTCTAACCTAGCTCAGTGGTCCCTAAAAAGCCCTTACTATTACGAGTACTAAGCTAAGCTGGATCTTGCAACGTCCAGCGAGTTTTCGTTGACGTCACTTTCCCGAAAGACGAAATTCATATCGTAAAAAGAAATTCATATATGCGAGGAATATAATTTCAGGAAGTAACACTATAAAAAGAGTCGAATTGTATTATAAGTAGAAGTGAAAATGACAGCTTACATCGCCCGTCTCAGATTCACAAGTAGTTAGATTCATGGGAATGCGAGTGAAGTAAGCCAACAGATATTTTGTTATTCTAGAAATACCAGAGGGGAAACCTTGTTTCTCGTATGGTCCAACGTAGCGATTCATTGGACCGTGGTGTGAGGCTGTAAAGAAAAATAAAAGCAAAAAAATTCATCAGAAAACACACAAAGGTTAGAAAAGGATGCAAGTACAGTAAGTTGTATAAATTCTCTGGAAGGAATATAAACCATTACAGGAAATTGGTGAGTATTTCAATAAATTCTTAACAGAATTCTTACCAAGGTTTTTAGCTTTTTTTTCAGTTACGACTTTTTGGAAAAGAGAACAGTTTTGTGTGATGAGAAGGCAATGCAGCAAATCGTGTACCTAAATTAACATAAGCAATGAAACGGTGTTCAATTTTCCGTATGTCTCGTGCAATATAATTAATTATATGTAATGTGCGTTTCTTGGCAGTATGTTATAAATGGCCGAACGAAATTAGAGCAAAAATATTGTCAAGTCAGTGTTCGTACTAACATCGTCAGTTTAAATCGTTGGTGCAAGTGAGGAAATTGGTGCAAGTGAGAATTTTTGACGGCAATGTTGATTACTGTCAGTATTTAGTTTTCTGCATGTATTATTAATTAACTATCAACTTTTTTAACACATGCGCAATCCAAATTCTTTAATTAGCTCGACAGAACACAGTGGTATAGTGGTACAGTAACTTCAAGTGAAGGACTTTATAAACTTTAAACTGGTTGTTTTACATCATGCAATTGATTGGTCGTAATTTCAAAAGCACTGAATGTATCACAATATACTCACTGTCTGTTCATTCGCTTTCATATCTTCCTTCGTCTCGTTGTATGCCAGATTATACAAAGTCTTTGCGACTGTGGTAGACAGCCTCGTCAGATGCTGTGGAAAAAAATAAGTAAGTAAATTGATTTTAAAAATTCTTTCTCGGCATGTGTACGTTGTATATGAGCATGATGAGTGCGTAGGTATAGTAATAGGGAAATGTTGGGAGACATTTAGTGCAAGAGAATTAAATAGTATATGTATCATACTTTTATGTGAAATTATGTTAAAAAAACTGACTTGAACAATACTTGAGTCACGATATTGCAGGTCGAAATTTTGGGAGACTATATCATCAAAACGACTGTTATAAAATCTACAGAAAATAAATGAGATTGTTATCCTACCACATCCGCTTGCATGAAAGCAGTGTACTTTCCCTTATACTTTTTTGTCAATATATTTTCATACGAAGACATGAATAATAAAGCTCGTGTATGCATGCATGGGAAGATTACAGAAGATTTTTCATCGATTACATGCAGTAGTTTTATCATGCATCAAGGCACTTACTTGTTTGTAAACGATGCATTGTGGTCAGTGATAACTAATCCCGAAATATCTCGTTTTTCTTTCAGGAAACTTTGAAAAGACGCAGGCGGAAGGGGTTGTAATTCTACGTCAGATGGGTCTTTGATTGTGAGATTCACAGAAGCACCAAATTTTGATAATGTTTTAAAAATATTTTTCGTCTAGAAAAGGAGTAATCGCGTATTTATTTTTGCATTGTGTTTCGTCAATAAGAGAATCGTAACGTCTTTAGACCTGTAAAATTGTATGGAACCTAGCTATGACATTATCTTGGTCAAACCAGAATCAAAATGAAGTGATGAAATTTCATGAAGGGCAAAGATAATTATATCCCGCGCTCCGGGCTCTCCCAGTCTTACAAGAGATAGTTTACTTTGGATTCAGATAAAGGCCAGGATTACAACATGTATAAGTTTCGAAGATGGATTAGAGTTAGAGTTATGGACATGGTTCGGGCAAGGTTTGACAGGTGCAATAAGAAGAGTTACGGTATGATTAAGGCATACAGAGTATTTATAATTTAAACAGAGTTTGAATACCAATCTTACATGACTGTCCGACTTTGGATCTCTGTGTGCCCAAAGTGTATCCATTAGCCCAACTTGGTTCAGTTCAAGATAATCTGATATGTTTGAAAGACCAACGTGCTTCAAAACACATTTTGTCTAAAGAAAGAAAAACACCACGAGGGGCTCTATATTTGAAGAGTTTAAGACATGATTCATATATATGAAGCGACCATTTCTTAATTAATTAATATGAACGCACATACGGAATGTTATAGAAGCCAGTATACCTAATATAAATATTGAATAAAAACGACAGTTACTGCACCTCATCGTAACACGGAAATGCATCATTTATCATATCATAAACCATTCTTGACGAACCAATATAGTCCCATGCTTCCTGCAAGACAACATTTAGTAGAGTAAAACAGTGAACCCGTGCATGAAACTAAACATGCCGACAATTCACTAAATGTTTACTAAAAATACATATTTAAAAAAAATAATGCCCTCAGAATTGGTTGTACCATTGCGTATAGATCCCTCTTATAAAAGTTATAACGAGGCTTTGGTGTGAAAATTCAGTGGCAGTTGTTTTAGTTGCCTGAAATATTTCCGGCAAATCCTTTGAAACTGGGTATTTACCAACGCAAAATCATCACCGTGATTGCAAAAACTTTGACAGTGTAAAACTGCATGGACGTTATTCTTGGCTCGCTAAGAACTGGCAGCAAGGAAAATGACCAAAAAATACGTTCGGAGATATTTAGCCCCTTATAATTATATAATACCACCTATTATACTAGGGATTATTAGAAAAAAAGTAGGCATGAACATATGTATCAATATTAATGGTATAATATACGTACTCCATGGAAAAATGAAAACATTATATGTTTTTGGTTTCCCTTGGGCTGGCTGGCAACATTCTAGAAAAAAAGACCGGAACCGGTTTCAACACCCTCTTTCGATAATCAAGGAGTTTCACTCTCATGAATTATGAAAAGCTCGTATACCCAGGGATGCAGTTATTATTATCGTGTTCACTCCCAAGTTTCATCCCTTACAATTATGACAAACTTGTTCCTACGATTTATATAATATTGCCTGACTGCCTGCTATAGGTCGTAGACGTAGGTCATTTAAAGGCCTGTTTACATGCAGGTTAGAATGCAAGTCTGTGCTTGAGATTTCGTGTAAGTGTTAAATGAATTTCCACATAATACTGTATGTACATGAATATCTTTCTCCCGTTTAATAAAACATTAAATATAACTAATTAAGTTATTAATTAAGTTATGCCAACTCACGTTCCTCTTCAAATCACCAAGAACCTCAGCTGCTGCAAGTAATACAACTATTCCAGTGACGTCATTATCTGCACCTGGAGCAATATCGTGGAAAAACGCCGTACTGTCGAGCTGAAGAACAATCATGCAAGAAAACTCGTCACTTGATTGGACAAAAAACACTAAACTGGCAATGCATACGAAATATAGAAGATTTAACTCTGAAAATTAAATTCCCGAATTTCACTAAAAACTAATGTCGCCACAAACCTTAGCCGTTGCAAGAACAATATCGTTTTGCGTAATCAATGGAAATAATGTTCCCCAAATATTCTCATCTCCCAAAGCATCACAAAACGCGGCTAGAGATGAATGGTACAATCTAATTGCACTTATTGTGTTAAGAGAATTTTAACCTTTATTGATTTGGCAGTTAATACGTTGTTACTATAGCATACCTGTACTGTACGTTAGTATTCGGTAGTTAATACGTTTTTATGCAATTACTGTACGTTAGTACAGTATTCGGTAGTTAAGATGTCCTAAAAAGGTGCCTCGTGTAAAAGCTGGCAAAGGCAAGATTACTTACTTTTGGTAAATGTTGGCGCATTATTTTTTCTCATGCAGGTGGGCGTATCTTTTGCAGCAAACATGAAACTTAATAACTCCACCCCACATAGTGGATAGTCAGGGTTTTCACCATTCACCGAAGGCTTGTTATGATCTTTGTAACACTACAAAAACGTCAGTGACGTCAGGAGCGAGCAGAGTCGGTCATAGATGGAACCAGTAAACACGCAAATAGTATTAATATCTCGTGCTTTAGACGTTATTGTAACAGCGTAAAACCATAGAGGACTGTGCTGAATATATAACCCACTATATAACCCACTATATAACCCACGTAATTACCATAAAGTTAGTTTCACAATTTTACAAGCCAAACAGTATGTAGATACTTTCAAGATAACGGATAACCTCATGCAAGTTGCAAGCAACTGCATGTTAAAATAGTCGGAATTGAAATACTCTTTCCGCATACAATTCGACAGAGCTCAAAATAACAGCTGGTAAATGGCAAAGCAACAAAATGCTTGTTGATCAGTGAATTAGTGACTGGTTAGCAAAAGCTTTGAACAATATCTTGACTGTTTTCCTGTGAGTAATAACCGATTTACTAACCTTTATCAGAAAATCAATTTCATTTTCTTTGTATAAAGCAAACACAGGTACATCATAACTTTTATACGACATGTCTGAACCCTGGAATGAGTACATGTAAGTTATAGGGCTGTCTGTTGTACAATAAACTAAAAGCATTCAATAAGTTGTGCTTAAACACACAGTCATACATTATCATTCCAAACAATTGATTTACTTCCATTCTTATGGCAACTATACTCATCTTCACTGCCATAGAGACCTAGGCAAATATTAATGGTTAGTACAGCCATGATCATACAGTAACCCGATTGACATGGGGATACAAAGACAGTTGAATAGCACAAAACAACGGAAATGTAGAAATACTGTTATACAGTACTGTTGTACAGTCCCTTATATTGGCTAGGAAAGAGATTTGTCCTTGAGGATGCCGCACAGTCTGCACTGTGGATATCTGCACTGTACAGTACTGCCAAGAAAAAACTTATCAAAATCTGTGTTTAACATGTGAAAAAAACTCACCAAAATTCTCATTTGGGCATGGATTTGCTGGAGAAAAACCTAAATAACAAGAACTCTAATGTACACAAGCATAACATATCTAGATCATGCAATAATAACTGAATACATATACTGATATACAACAGCAACAATTCTACCATAAATTATGCTTATATTGTGCTGAATTATGGCATAAAAGTTATATAATACTGGTACTATGTACCTGAGCTTGGAGGTTTGGTGCCATTAATTTCTTGCTGTCTATCAAATAAAACTAATGCTCCAGAAACTTTATCAGCATTTATTAATTGCTTCAATCGATCACTGCAAGGAATACACAGTATTTTAGAAAATGTTGTTTTCCTTAATTTGTTCTGGAAAACTTAACCTTTTCCAGAGGAACAGGGTCTAAGAATTTTTAGAGATGTAATTATTTCAACAAAAATTGCCCAGCTTTCAAACTGCCTGACTTTTTACCAATTTTAGCTAATATAATAATAAATTCTGTTCTTTTTATGAATATATTTTCTCTAATAAGAAGCAGGCTACATTTGAGACTAAAAAAGGCACTGTATTTCAAGGCATATCAAACAAATAATCAAAATAATTACATGACCAAGCATGAATTAATAATTGCATGACATTTTTGAAAAATATAATTCCCCTTACTCTGTAAATAATTCTGCAGTGAATAAAGGGATGTATGGAGCATGATTGCCTTTATTTAATAACCACTTAAACTGTTCATCAGAATCAATATAATGCACTACACCAACATTTCCTTTACGTTTTGCTAAAAAAAGTTTAAAGAAATCAATGAATGGACAAAAAATCAATGAATGGACCCTATATTGCATGAGGATAATACTTCTCTCATTATTATAAAACATAATATACCAACTGAATTAACAATACTCACATGTACAACCAATTTGATGTGTTGCATTAAGTAGTGTTACACAAGGTGAAATGCCACTGATCTTTCTGTATATACTTTCCTCAATTTTATCTCCTAAGAATGTATATTGGATATACAGTAAATAAAGATAGGGATGAATTTACACATGACAAATAGTGCTTACACAAAAAATATGGAGATGGCTTTCTGTGTGGTATTCACGGCCTGTCAGGATTGTGACAGATTTATATAATAATATAGTAGACATTTTTATATTTGACAGGCCATAAAAAAAGTAAAATGTCTTATTAAATCATATCAATACCGAGATAAGTTTGAAAAAATTATAATACAACAAGGAACAATTAGCTTGGGACTTTAATTTCACCTTATTGCTTTATTTAACAAAATAAGAAAACTCTTTTAGCCGGAATTGAAAGCTGGTGACAGACTGACAGAGCTAAATGAAAATTCACTTTGACTTTTTCATTGAAAACACTTGGGGGAAAACACGAGAAAGAATAGCACTGTAGAACAACATTATCACAGAACTTCAGGTGAATTACGATGTACGTTGAATATACTTACCAAAAACCTTAATTTCAAAGACTGTCAGCATAAAAATACAGATCAGGTTTACATTAAAATACGATTGTAAATACGCCATATTTTTATTCTTTCTATTCACATCTATGCTTATATTCACCCCAAACGACCCTGAATGTCCCGCTAGGAATTAAAGAATACTGTGAGTGATGTAGACACTGGATGTACAACTGTTGTACAGAGGTGCCTGAGGTGGGAGAAGGTTTTAGGTGGATTCACGTTTGGACAGAACTTTAGCACAGACTGGAACTGGATGCAATGGACGGAAATAATTCCAATGCACCTTCAAAGGAGATCACTGGGAATGCAGAAATTGATAAGAAAATTGCAGAATGGCTACGACTGGATAAGGTAGAAAATCTTATGTCAGAGTTTAATAAATTCACGTTGTCAAATGACGAGTCGATTGGTTTATTGGGTTGAAATGGTGTCAATTTCGAATGTAGCAATGCAAACCTATATTCTATTGGAGTTTCTACATATGAGTGATATGACGATGTTAGGGATTGGTTGAAAGACTATTCCTATAGTTTGCTGTGGAAGTAACCAATTGCAAACTCTATTCCCATTTCACAATCACCCTTTTATCAATCAATAAAAGCATATAACTTTGTATAACAATTACATCATGGACCATTACTCAATGCTCCTCTATTGTATTTAATAAATTTTATTAAATTTTAAAAAATATCAGTATAATATTATTATAGTGCAAGACAATATTTTTCCTTGTTTCATTAACTATTTAATCTCATCTTTAAACACCTTGTTTGCACAATTATTTAATAAGTTTATAAACAATAATTGCTGAAGTGACAAGAGTCTATAGAGAGTCACAGTTGGTATAAAATCATGTTTACTGACCAGCTTTAATAACTTCTGAGTCCATTGCACAATATGAAAGAACACATACAGTGTTTCGGCCTAAAAAACAGTTCTAAAATACTTTGTACAGTAGAACTTTAGCATGATGACTTCAAACATGGGATGCAAATGTCATAAAAAGTTTATTGGGTAGTTTATTATCTATAGAGTTATAGAAACACAACTGGGATTTGGGAGAATGAGAAATAATCAGATAAAAACACAAGAAAAAATGTTTCTATTTCTTTTATAATATAACAACATAAAAAGATTTTGATTTACTTCACTTGTCAAGTTTGGCAGGAAAAGTCCTATGTTTCTATACAGTTATAGCAACACGCTTCTCAACATGCGCACCATACATGTTATATGTTACTGGATGAACATTGTGTTGTGACTTGTGAATCATTTTTCTTGTTGAGAAAACAATGCCCAATTCTTATACTAATTATCATTTGAACTTTCATTTAGAATGAAGAGACAATAAAGGAGGTAAAACAACTTATAAATGATAAGAACCACAATGAACTTTACTCAAGATTCAAACAAAGAATTGCATTTGGAACTGCTGGTAAGATGATCAAATATATGTAGCTTGAAATATTTGTGACATCAAATGTGGTATGCCAATTTGACGTTTCAATCTACTATATATATGATACCATCAAGTTATATCACCAATGAACAATAAAAACGGATTATTGACTGAAAATTGTTCCATGTTGCATGCATATTAACCATGCTCAAATGCGTTTGAATTTTAGGGCTGCGAGCAAAAATGGGTGCTGGGTTTTCATTGCTCAACGATTTGACTGTTATCCAGGCTTCGCAGGTATAGAAAAATAATAATTAAAAGCATAATTAGAAAAGCTGACTAAAGATATATTAGAATAGTGCTTGCAACTTTATGTAGTTTTGTACACTGAATACAGTTATAAGAGTACAGAATTTTCTGCCAAGCAAGATTTGTTATGATTTTAGGGATTATGTAGATATCTGGAGAGCATGTTTCCAAATGTGAAAAAGATGGGGATTGTTATTGGATATGATGCAAGACATAACAGTGAAAGGTTATGGCTTTTTCTTCAATTTGTAAAACCTGTGAAGACATGCATTTAAAGGATTAGATTATAATTCTGATTTGTCTCTGAAACAGATTGGCTTGTCTTACTGCAGCAGTTTTCTTGAGTCAAGGAATTCAAGTGTATTTGTTTAGCAAAATAGTTCCTACTCCTTTTGTGGTAATTATATATTTCCTTGCAAATTACTGTGAAGTGCATGGTTTAGTCTGGATCAGATTCATTTGCAGTATTTACTTAATGCATATTAATTTAAATTCATTTTTAGCCATATACAGTAAAGAAATTTAATTGTGCAGCTGGTGTTATGGTGACTGCATCCCATAATCCTAAAGAATACAATGGTTATAAGGTACTGATCATGTCAGTGCATGTTTTCATCTCAGTAATAGTAAACATATTAGAGAGCTTAAGATTGGTATTAAATGTGGATGTTAAATTTCCGAGCTTTTAAGATATAATAGCTAGAACGGAGCTTTCTTTACTTTGCTTTGGCAAAACACACAGTATGACCAAATTAATTAAGTTTCTCAACCATTTTTTGTTTGTTTGTAGGTTTACCTTGATAATGGGGCCCAAGTAAGTTCCTTCAAGTAAAGAGTTTTCTTCACGCTCATTTTTTGAGCTGCATGTACTTTCTTACTTTTCAGATAAAGTCTCCTCATGATAAACATATATCGGACTGCATAGAAAAAAATCTGGAGCCTTGGCAATCTTCTTGGAATACGGATTTGGTAAAAACTTCTCCACAAAGAACAGACCCGTTAAACGACGTGTCAAAACTTTACTACGAGGATTTACAACAACTCTGCCACTACAGGTATGCGCAATATTGTTCTAAAAAAACGTGGGTTTGTGGAACCGCGATTCCGCAGTACCTACTTTAAACGAGAACAGGTAGAATATAAAGGAATTAATGCGCTATGACATCATCCTAACTTGTTTTTAATAATGTACTATTTTTTGGTAGGGACGTAATGGCGTCAAGCAAACTTAAAATAACCTACACACCAGTTCATGGTGTTGGCTACGAGTACGCGGAAATGGCTTTCAATGCTTTTGGCCTTCATTCTTTTGTCCCAGTTGTTGAGCAGGTGAATGGTATATATATAATCAATCAGGCACGGCGCCGAAAAATTGTTCAGTCGACTGACATAGGACCCGCCATGTTTGGGCAACGCGAAAATTTTATTAGACCTTCTATATAGAAAGGCTAAAAAAGCACCTCCCAAACCAAATATTACAGGGCTCAGGAACACGTCGTATTATCTTCTGCCCTGAGTCGGGGTAGGGAATAATACGATGCCTCTAAGAAAACACTCTTGTTTTTGAGAAAAAGTGAGGGAGGAATCATAATAAAACACTATTCATTTGACACATACGATGGGAAAAGGAACGTCATAACTACCATTGTGTGAAAAATAAGACTAATATCATTAGAAGTTTTAATTTATGTAAAATAGGCATAGTGTCGAGTCTCACTTCATCCCGGTGTCTGACTATGCCGCGCGTATAAAAAATGGTAGAAGAAAAAATTTCGTGACATTCTATCACAGAATAGACATTGTACCAGAGCTGCACTCTTTGCATTTGGCGTCCGAAATTTTTTGAGAGTGTGATGCCACCTAACCATAGAGGAGAGACCTAACGCAAGTCCGCGCAAGCATAATTCCCGGTACGCGAGAACACGCAAGCGTGTGCTTTTAGTGCTCAGTACAGGGTGGTTCGGAGAAAAAGAAAGAATTTTGACCAAATTACGAAAACCCCCATTAATTTTTTATATGACGATAATTTGAATTTCTAAATACACGCTCACGTGGCTGTAGTATAACATCATAGAAATAATAGATATAAATAATATATATATATATATATATATATATATATATATATATATTATTTCTATGGTAAACACTTGCGCGTGCAAAAAAGACTTAGAAGCGCTAACAGGTATCTAAAGACCGACTATAGGGTACACTGCAAAGACGGGCATGCCAGTTGCGCAGATCATTGTCGTCAGTTTGCACTCAGTGATGCAACTGATCCCGATTTTCGTCAAACCTGCTCTAACAAACACACAGAATCATGCAGTGAGTGCGAAGACCTTAAGCTAGTCCTCTCGGAAGTGGGAAAAGAGATTCAGGGTAATTCCTGGTGGGGAAAGAGATTCCAGGTAATTCCAACGACCAAAGAGATGATCTTATTTATGATTTCGATCATGCAGAATCAGACATATTACTTTGGAAAACACATATTCTTCGCTCGATGCACCAAGAAAAAGCCAAAAAGCCCGGCCTGATAATAATGGATTGGGTGATGAAATTTTTGCAGCTCAGGTACAGAGAGAGACAATCGAACTGGTTCGCTTAATGCGTGGTCTGAGTTGGCACATTTCCACTGTTATCTCGTTAGATAAAGCTTCAGGCAATCTGGAATTGAAGTTCTATGCTCACCTCTTCGACTCTTGCCCTTAGGACTGGTTCGCTGTCTGCTCAATCGTTGAAAATACACTAAAGACCATCAAGACTGACCTGCCATATGTCACCAGTGTTCATCTCAGATCTGACTAAGCTGAGTGTTACCACACCAACTACCATATCGCTGCTATTAGAGATATCGCGCAAGATGTTGGCATAGGTAATCATGACACATGCAGTATGACTATATTCAGAACCGCAGTACGGAAAAGACGTCTGCGACAGAATTCTCTGTCCAATGAAATTATGTATTAGAAGATACTGCAATGAATAACATGATATTCTTACTGCTATAAGGATATGTATACACGGCCCTATCTAACTACGTCTGTTCAACAAAGACAACTTTAGTCAATATCATAATTTCAAGTTCGAAAGTGATGGTGTCAAGTTGGAAAGTATATGGGATGGGGAATGGGAAGGTAATATCATACGAAGATCTTATTGTAAAGAACCAAAGTCGTACAAATCTTACTGTGAACATTGATTTCTTTCCGTTTCAAAAGGCTCTTCTTTACAATTCATCGGATAAACGTGAAGATGAGGGCAGAAAGGAGGACAATTTTCATGTTGTAAACCTGGCTGTCAAAAAATGTATAAGGGATGTCACATGGAACTCGGAGGTCACACAGGCAAGACTTCGCAATTGAATCGTAATTTATACGTCCAGCTGAGAGAAGAATGGGCGATGCAGCTCTTTACCGTGAGCAAGAATGATATTAGAGATGTTTCCTCCCATGCCGGTCAAACCAGCACTACAGTGGAGCTGCATGGAGAGACAAGAAGGTCTTGTACAGAAAAACTTGATGGGGGATGGGCTCTATATAAACCACGAACAGCTGGAGTAAGGTTCTCGCTAAAGTTGAGGAATATCTCGCTGCTAAATTCGATCTTGGAGAGAAAACAGGCCGCAAAGCAGATGCTTCTCAAGTCGCTGAAGATATGCGGACAGCCAGAAATCCAAACGGCTGCAGAATTTTCAACAGAAAAGAATGGCTGACGAAGACGCAAGTGCAAGGTATTTCCCACGACTCGCATCAAAGCGGCGAAAACAATCAAGTGAGGAAGTCGAACTTGATATTGCATGTGCATGCTGAAGAACAACAATCAGAGAGGGAAAAATCACTTCATGAAATATCGGCAAAATTCTGCCCCAACCACCCAATCTATTTCGACATCTACTGTTTGTGTGAGATGAGGAGAGATGACAAACTCCACGAGCCATGTTAAAAGAGGTTCTCCACCAATTTTGAAATTCATTTTAAATAAAGGGATCAGAAAAAAGATCTATTGCAAAGCTTGTCGTAACAAGTCTGATTATCTGTTCCAGCAATGAAAATATTTCTGTGTTTATGCATAAACTATAAAAACAATGAAATCCACTAAATAATGCTTTAAAATTTACGTATCAGGTTTACGCGTTTTGGGGCTTAGCTACGCTATATACAGTACTGGTATTGTCCAGAAATAACCTATCGTTGCGGTTAGGTTGTGGTTCGGTTGTGGTCGACCGATAGAAACCGCAAACGACCGCAACGGGAAAAATACCTTCGCAGTGACCGCCCGCTTCCGAACGAAATGTTATGAACAGCTGAGAACGACAACACGATAACCAAATCGAAAAACTCTTAAGAAATGTCTGTTAGGCCGAGGTTTAACCTCCGTCTCACGGCGGTTCGACCTCGGGGTTCGGTCTGACCTCGGTTAACCGCGGTTTTTGTTAGGTTATTTCTGGACAGTACTGTATCTGTAGTACCTAAATATACCTAAAATATTTTTGTTGATTTTGTACTTGATTTTGGTGACATAAATTTACAATATAGTAAAACGATTGTCATTTTTTTATCAAGAATGTCTACCACAGAAATTTTAAACGAAATCTGCTTTGCACAAAAATTCGAGTGGTTGGTTCTTACGCGGACAGCCTCTTAAGTCTGTTCTAATCCGTAAACAGTGAAATAAGCCGTAGTCCTCAAATACTTTTCATTCGTACAGTATCGCATGTTGCTTAGGTCAAGGTTACTTTCAGTTCAACATTGTTTGAAAGCATCTTTAACATCTTCCTTGGCTAAGGGCAGTAGAAATTTTTTGTTTATAAATGGTTATCAGACTTGTTAAATGGCCGATGTCTGTATTATGGCCGATGACAAAGAAATTTTATTCAACATAAAAAAGCACTTCATTCGTCAATGATCAATGACAACACAGTGATGACAAAGACCGTCGGCGACAATATTCTCCAGTCAGCCAATAAAATCACTCCACGCAGAACCAAAATTCTGCGTACAAAAAGGTCTATAATACCATGTGCAGTAAGCAGAAGAATCCATTATGTGAACGACTGTTTTAATCGAAACATGGCAGACTACCTTACAGCGTTTGATAACAATGCCTACTTGGTGTTGGAAAGCAAAATTTTTGATCTGACCAGTGACGACAAAAGTTTACTGGAGTTTCGCATGAAAACCTTTCATAAGTTTTGGTCCAATTTTAAGCCAGAGTCGTCAAAAGAATCCTCGAATATTCGCTGTCTCGAGTTCGGGGGCGGACCTGTCGTCAGGAATCTTATAAGCGCTTCTCCCAAAGTTGATCGCATCGTATTCTCAGAATACCTCGAATGTAACCGAAGAAGCGTCCTCTCGTGGTTGGCTGGTGATACCGAGCTTCTTGACTGGTCGCCTTTGATAAAATATGTTGTCCATGATCTCGAAGGAGACAACAACCCCGAGGCAATTTCCGAGCGCGAGAAAGACATGAAACAAAAAGTACAATCGGTTGTTTCTTGCGATGTTAACCAAAATCCGATTGTGGATCTCGAGTCCATTGACGTCGGTAAACCTTTCGACGTCCTGTCAACCAGCTTGTGTGTAGAAGTAGTTGCAAGCTCAGAACAACAGTACAAGAGCACCATGGCAAAGCTTTGCAAGTTCCTAAAACCCAATGGCTATCTTATCATGTTCGGCGTAGTGAATGAAACTTTCTACACGGTTGGCGACGCGAGATTTTCCCACTTTGGTGTGACACAACGAATGATTGAAGAAGCGTTGAAGGATGCGGGGATCGAAGATATTAAAATGGAATTGTTTCATCGAGCAGTAAAATCAACCACTGCGGATGGACAAGCATTCTTTTCAGTAGTCGGGAAAAAGTCATGCATGCAGATGACTGTCTAGTTTTGTGTAGAGTTGTCAGAAAGGAAAAAAAATGCCTATTTGAAAACATGTATATGAAGTGGGTAATTTATAATTAAGTGATAAGATGATAAATTCATGTAATATGTATGTGCATGCATGCTTGTTTTTTGGTATGTCAAACGTTTAATAAAAGAACAAACAAACTTTGTTGATGCTCTCTGAACCCTGTATAGGCTAAATTTAAAGGGACGCTTATAGTGCTTTCCTCACTTTTTGAAGAACCTTGAAACGAAGCTGCAGTTGACGTAAATTGTGAAGGGTTTTTTAAATTTGTATACATTTTAACATTTGCCGTATCGCCCTTTTTCGTGGTCATCTTAAAACGGCGTGTGTTCTTGCTAGAGACGCTGAGCCATTATTGCGAGTAGAGGGTCCCTTATATAGTTATTTTTGAATATTCAGATTGATCCTGATCCAGAGTTTAGCACTGTGAAGTATCCAAATCCAGAAGAAGGAAAGAGTGTTCTGGTACGATTTCTGAATAACCTATATTATATAGTATTACAAATCAGCCGTCTGTTAAATAAGTGCGTGTATATAACGATAATTGATAGATTATTGTACTTTTGCATGGAATATAATCACCGGTATAGGGGCACACTGTGCAAATTTATTATTGCGTAGCCATGCACTTGCCTGATAATCTGAACCTTCATCAGGGCAACGGTAAAATATTTGTAGGTTTCCTTTCCTATATCAAAATATCTTCCCTTCCAATGATCGAGTGAGATGCAGAAAATGTCGTAACGTTCACCCTAAAACAAACTGTTGTCTATTTGCCTTCACAGGATTTGGCAGTGAAAACTGCGAACGAGAATGGCAGTACTCTGATATTAGCTAATGATCCCGACGCAGATCGTTTGGGTGCTGCAGAAAAACAAACAAAGTATGAAATTGCAAACACTAGAACTTTGAATTTGAATAAACGTTTCTTCTCATTATTGTATTTCTGTTGTATGGTCGTTCATAACAGCGATTCGTGGAAGATTTTGTCTGGTAATGAGATTGGAACCTTGCTAGGATGGTGGCTCATGGAGTGTCATAAAAAAAGTCATCCAAATGATATACCAGGTTGGATAACTTGGATTTCTATATATACTATTCTTTCCGTCGTAAAACTCTCCTCACCTTGGCAACATGTTGAATAATTTTGTGCACGAGTTAACAGGTCACTCAGGACACCTTACCTCGTATAGACAGGCATAATCGGGCCAAAAATCCGCTAATTTGATTTCCAGTACTGATTCGGCAAATATTGAGTTATTTTGCGCCCACTTGGGTTGTGAAAATAATTCAAAATATGAAAAGAACACACGCGCATTCGCTCCAACTCCTGAGCCGATAGCACACTGTGAGGAAATGTTCACTCGTGCACAGAATTATTCAACATGTTGAATATCCGACGCCGATATCACGCGTGCCAGAAAACGCAGAATATGACACCGCCGGAAGAATCTGAAAACGCTCTCCAGAGTGGAAGAATTTGAAAACGGCTGAGCGGATACGTGTGGACGGCTTTGCCGGATAAATTTGAAAATGATGACGTCACGTATAATCCTTTGCGGAAGTATTTTACACGAAAAACATGTCCAAAATGTCGGAGTAAAGTCGGAGTATAGTTATACACAATTTTTTATACACGACATGTATTTAATAGATACTCAATAGCAATATTAAGGCTTGTCGTGTGTCCAAACAGTGCTCATTCTTTGTTTTGTACCTTGGATTTGGTAGATTTTTGTTTTAAATTCGACATCCAAATTGTGATACGCGGGTGGAAAACATGCAGGTGTATTGCGGGATCAAATAACTTTAGCGTTTTTGGATCGTTTTTGTGTTTACGTGTGGACGTTTTAACGGAGAAATATTTTTGCGTTTTCAAATTCTTCCGGCATCGTGTAGACAGGGCCTTAGTTCAAAATGTCGCGCGATCGATCCTTTGCGATCGCATTCTTTTTTCAATGTGTTAAATCAACCAGCATCTAATGAGATTATATAGTTCTACTGCAGTGTCTGTATTTAGAAAAAGACAATCGAAAAAATTGATCTCGCGACATTTTGCACTGAGTGCATGGAAATCCGCCTTAAAGGAAAATGGCAATATGTTTGTTTATTTTCTTATTTGAAAGAGCTTTGAAAACTATATTTAATTCTCTTTTACCGTTTTTTTATATCTTGCTTACTTCTACAAATATTTTGATCGAAAAGAATGAAGTACCCGCCATCTTGGATTTTTGTAGATATACAGTTACGTCACAACATGGGCCACGCAATATTTCTATCTCGACAACCACCAATCATTTTGCACTCAAAACTATACTCTGTATGCTCTTCGAAATATCAAGATCACTCAACACCTTTAAAACATCTACCAATCAATATTTGGCCAGCAACGAATACTTTTATATGGCTAACCCCTGTTGTGACGTCACTAAAACTACCGTTAATGAGATAAAAAATTATCCAAGATGGCGGATATTTCATTCCTTTCGATCAAAATATTTGTAGAAGTAAGCAACATATAAAAAAACGGTAAAAGAGAATTAAATACAGTTTTCAAAGTTCTTTTAAATGAGAAAATAAAAAAATATATTGCTATTTCCCTTTAAGTAATCCGCCTTAATAATCGATACTTGAAAGCAAAATTTGACAATTCTCCCTTGAATTTACAGTAGCTACTTACATCTATGAACTAAAGTATAGCGGTATATAAAGATATGCTTTTCCATGCACTTAGACCATGTAATTTAAGTTCACTGATTTCAGGTGAAAAGGTTAGCATGGTTGCCACGACGGTTTCGTCACAGATACTAAAAACGATGGCAAAAGCAGAGGGATTCCATTATGACGTATGGCTTTGTATTGATTTAATTATAATAATGCTGAAATACTAACAGAAAAAAATGCACCGAGAGACTGCAGATTTTACTAGCTCCTATTTTTCGTTTATTTGTTTGCATTAGGAGACGTTGACCGGATTTAAATGGATAGCAAACCGTGCTGTTGATTTCCAGAAAGAAGGGAAGGTTGTTCTGTTTTCATTCGAAGAAGCCATTGGTGTGTTGACAAGCTATCTCCTCATATAAAAGTCCTTATGCATTTTTGCCTTTTAGATTTTATTTTTGTTCGAAATAACTTATAAAAAAATCGATATGTTAATTGGTGAGTAATTCCATTCTATCTTCAAGGTTTCATGTGTGGTACAAACGTCTTAGACAAAGATGGTATCAGCGCATGCGTAGTATTGGCGGAATTGGCCTGTTATCTCGCGCAGAATGGAATAACTCTGACACAACAACTTGAATATATTTTCAACAAGTACGTATATTTGATATCGTAGTTCTTTCACTTTGTACGAAAACCAAATCCTAATCAATGTTTATGTATAAACTCGTTCCTGATTCGTTAGGTATGGTATTCATGTAACCTGTAATGGTTATTACCTTTGCTATGATGTAAACATGATCACAAAGATTTTCAATGATATCAGAACTGTGAACAATGGAGAGGTATGAATTATAGAATAGATTGTATACATGTTTACGCAATATATCTTCTTCGTATACGTCCATATTACGCGATATAATCATGCATGCATGAAGATGAATTTATAGTATTAGCCATATTGATCTTTTAGTATCCAAAGACGTGTGGAGAGTATAAAATCATTGGTATACGCGACCTTACTACGGGATATGATAGCATGCAACCGGATAACAAAGCTGTAAGTATATATTTTATTCACTCGGGAAAACGTGGCTCTATTGACATATCTTTCGTTCTGATATCTAACAAATATTTCGATCAAACGAAAATTTTCCCCCGATTTTCTTTTCAATTGTGAAAAGAATATCGAGCGAAAATTAACATCGTACGTATATCCACATTAACTCCGTTTGCATTCCTAGATACTTCCCGTTAGTTCTTCAAGTCAGATGATCACTTTTTACTTTGATAATGGTTGTACTGCAACGCTGCGAACAAGCGGCACTGAACCAAAGATCAAATATTATTCAGAGTTAATTGCTAAACCGAATCAAGGGTAGGTATTCGACTCTTTTTCATCATTTGCACATGCATATAAATAGCTGCAAGTCAATATTCCATCATAGACACCACGTAAACCACCACTGACATATATAATTTTCAAGTCAAGTGAGGGCATCACTGCATGGATGTCACAAATACTCACTTTTATTTTTAGGGTGAGCAAAGAGGTTTGTCAGGCAACGATAAAAGAAGTCGTCAAATCCATAGTTCAAGAATTCTTAAAACCCGAAGAAAACAATTTGACACCAATGGCTGATTAGGGGAACTTCACTGCATGCAGTAATTTCGGACATTGCAAAGTTTCGGAAACTGTCCAGTGACAGGCATTACAACATCAGCTTGCATGTTCGTTGTCGTCCAGAAAGTTCTCAAATATTGCAAATTATAACGTAAATCTTATAAATTACGGAACATTTTTCTACCATTTATAGATGCATGCATGCATATAAAGTATGATGTCGAGCTCTCTCTTGTAATCATTTCGCATGATTTCATAGATTATAAAATTATTCAAAACTATATGGTGCATATTTCTGCAAAAAAATTTAAATTTGCTATATATTGGCGCGAAAATGATGAAACTGCGGTATTAATTGTCATACATGCATGGGTTTAAAAAGCAAATGCATCTTGCAAATGCATGATGGCTTTTCATGCTTTTGTTTCAGTGCATGCATGCCAATAATATAGCTATTAATATTGTTTCTATAATATGTATGTACACATATAATGCGATTTTTTTACAAAGGAGCTTGTTTCAGATGTCTAATAAGTAATAACATTCAAGAGATCCGAGATCTCGATAAACTGTCGTGTTCTCCACGCAATTTACAACAAAATGATATACTCTAAGATATTCTTTTATTAGTTCATGTATACTTGCAATTTAATATGTTTAATCCTGATTGGTCGTCGTGTCTTCATACACATTTATAGAACTATTTTGAAGGCACGAATATACTTATATGTTGTTGATTTTATAAAACTCTAAAAAGATGAAAATAGCTAATTCTATTTTTTGTAGTGATTTTGAATGATTATTTAATGAAAAAATCTTATTAATTATATCTTATTATATTGTGTTGAATGCTTTGTATCCTAAAATTAAAGAGAGAGAATTTGGAGACCCTGTGCATGAAGACATGCATTTAAGGGATAAAATTATAACCTCACTTCACTTTATATGGTGATAGCATCCCATAATCCTAAAGAATACAATGGTTATAAGGTACTGATGTCAGTGTTTTAATCTCAGTAATGTTTAAGTATATTAGAGAGCTTAAGATTGGTATTAAATGTAAATGTTAAATTTCCGAGCTTTTAAGATGTATGATAGAACTGAGCTTTATTTACTTTACTTTGACAAAACACACAGTATGACCAAGATTTACAACAACTCTGCCACTACAGGTCTGCGCAATATTGTTCTAAAAAAACGCGGGTTTGTGGAACCGTGATTCCGCAGTACCTACTTTAAACGAGAACAGGTAGAATATTAAGTCATTCTAACTTTTTTTTAATGTATTATTTTTTGGTAGGGACGTAATGGACGTAATGGCGTCAAGCAAACTTAAAATAACCTATACACACCAGTTCATGGTGTTGGCTACGAGTACGCGGAAATGGCTTTCAATGCTTTTGGTCTTCATTCTTTTGTCCCTGTTGTTGAGCAGGTGAATGGTATATTTTATTTTAGCTATATATAATCAATCAGGCACGACGCCAAAAAATTGTTGAGTTGACTGACATAGGACCCACCATGTTTGGGCCACGCGAAAATTTTATTGGACCTTCTATATAGAAAGGCTAAAAAAGCACCTCCCAAACCAAATATTAGGGAGTTTGAGCAAGGCAACGAAGTACGAAGACGAAGACAAACTTCACAATTTTTTAACGTCTGCGCATCATTTGCGCATACTCCGCTTAAGGTCAGCGGTGAGGGTTTAACGTCTTCGTCCTGTTGTCCTGGGGCCGGTTGTATCAAACCCGTTTAGCTTAAACGGTGGATAAGTCAAAATTAAATAACACTTTTACATCTCTCTTGAATGAGTCAACTTGAATATTATGCACTGAATATGTAGTTGTAAACAGTATCTTTGTATTAAGGTTGAAAACATTTAGTTTGCTTGTTGAATAAAACGATAGACTTGCTTTCTATTTTGAACTTATCCATCGTTTAAGCTAAACGGGCTTGATACAACCGGCCCCTGGTTTAGGACGAATATTTTGACGAAGTTCGTTGTGGTCAGAACGACGTTTTCAAAGTAAGATATATTCAAGCCAAATTTGAATAGTTCTTGTATGGAATATAAATGTTGTTTGAGATTTTTAAACCGTAAAGAAGCATAACATCTTCCACTTCCAAAGCATCTTCTGAAAATATTGCTAAAATAGCCATCTCGTATTCAGCTCTGTTCATGTTTACAAAATTAGTACCGTGTTCGTAGTCGTATAACTTTGACAGAAGTGCTCAATTCAAATATCCTGCTGCACGAAGACTTAAGACGAAGACTACTATTCCCAGTCTACCTCGGCCCAAACACGTCTTCGTCTTCGTACTTCGTTTCCTTGCTCAAACTCGCTATTACTGGGCTCAGGAACACGTCGTATTATTTTATGCCGTGAGTCGGGGCAGTGAAAACTGCTCTTGGTATATGAAAACTGCAAAATGCAGATTTAAGAAGCTGTCCGCGTAAGAACCGATCGCTCGAATTTTTGTGTAAAACGGATTCGTTCAAAATTTCTGTGGTCGACAATCTTTCTTGCTGACAATCTTTCTTATTTTCAGGTCCCTCAGCACGGGCGCTTTTGTGAAAAAATACCAGAAGTCTTTCAATCTATCCTTTTTATATAGCATATTTATAAAAAACAAAGAATTTTGACCGAAATAATTTTTAATGTGACGATAATTTGAATTTCAAAATACACGCGCGTGCACGCAGATTCAAACGAATATTTCTTGAAAATCCAGACCATTTTAACAGAAAGGAATTATTGGCATACCAATAAAGAATATTGCTTCCCGCACTTGAGACAGATTAAATACTTTAGTTTGACGTATGAGTAATTTTCCTGGAATTCTGATGACATGTGGGTAACGCGTGGGAGAGCGGAGATGTATGAGGGTCTGTGTATATCAAGAGCAGAAATGCAGAATGTGCTGTAGTAAACATCGTAGAAATAATGCATATATCTATTATTTCTATGGTAAACACCTAAATTTTACCAAGGATATAAATTTTGTTCTCAATAAACCTAAAATAATGAGTTTTTGTAACGCGGTTTCGGTCAACGTCATATACAAATTAGTATAGTTTATCGGCAAGACGACATCATACATCTTTTCAGGGTCTCAGTTGGCAAATTCCGCCGCTAATGGTGCTGCCAGGTTTCAAACCCTTGAGACCGTCATTAAATGCATGGAAAAAGAAGGAATGGTGTTTGGGCGTGCAAAAAAGACTTAGAAGCGCTAACAGGTATTTAAAGACAGACTATAGGGTACACTGCAAAGACGAGCATGCCAGTTGCGCAGATCATTGTCGTTTGTTGATTTTGTACTTGATTTTGGTGACATGAGTTTATAATTGAAAGTGTGTGACGGCTAAAATCAGTATCAATAACAAATACATTGAAATTTGAAGACGTGTTATCTAACAGTACATTAATAATCGGTGGAAAGGAGGTTTAGAAAATTTTTTATCCTGACGGAGTGATCTCCGCACTTATTTGCTATAACTATCTTTCTGTTAAAATGGTTTGGACTTTAAAGAAATATTCGTTTGAATCTGCGCGTGTATGCGCGCGCGTATTTAAAAATCCAAATTTTCGTCCTATTTAAAATTGATGGGGTTCTTTGTATTTTTAAAAGAATTCTTTGTTTTCCATGAATGTGATACAAAAGACATAGACTAACATTTTGGAACAGTTCTAGTAATTTTCGGGAAAAGCACCCGTGCTGAGCGACCTCAACGCAAGACCATCATTCGTCTGTGAAAATGAGCGGCAGACCTGTGAAAACCGGCCCCCGGCCCCAAAATTGTAAGGAGGCCACAACGGACAGTCTCTCAAGTCTGTTCTAATCTTGACATATTCCTTGCATTCGGTTCTTCAGTAAAATAATCCGTAGTCCTCAAATGCTTTTCATTCGTACAGTATCACGTTGCTCAGGTCAAGGTTTCTTTCAGTTGTTTGACCCTGTATTATGGCCGATGATGAAGAAATTTTATTGAACATAACAAAGCACTTCATTCGTCAATAATCAATGACAAGGACCGTTGGTGATAATATTCTCCAGTCAGCCAATCAAATCACTCCACGCACAACCAAAATGCTGCGAACAAAAAGGTCTATAATACCATGTGCAGTAAGTAGGCGAATCCGTTTATGCAAACGATAAGTTAACTACTGTCTTAATCGAAACATGGCAGACTACCTTACAGCGTTTGATATCAATGCCTATACATGGTATTGGAAAGCGAAATTTTTGATCTGACCAGTGACGACAAAAGTTTACTGGAGTTTCGCATGAAAACCTTTCATAAATTTTGGTCCAATTTTAAGCCAGAGTCGTCAAAAGAATCCTCGAATATTCGCTGTCTCGAGTTTGGGGGCGGACCTGTCGTTAGGAATCTTATAAGCGCTTCTCCCAAAGTTGATCGCATCGTATTCTCAGAATACCTCGAATGTAACCGAAGAAGCGTCCTCTCGTGGTTGGCTGGTGATACCGAACTTCGTGACTGGTCGCCTTTGATAAAATATGTTGTCCATGATCTCGAAGGAGACAACAACCCCGAGGCAATTTCCGAGCGCGAGAAAGACATGAAACAAAAAGTACAATCGGTTGTTTCTTGCGATGTTAACCAAAATCCGATTGTGGATCTCGAGTCCATTGACGTCGGTAAACCTTTCGACGTCCTGTCAACCAGCTTGTGTGTAGAAGTAGTTGCAAGCTCAGAACAACAGTACAAGAGCACCATGGCAAAGCTTTGCAAGTTCCTAAAACCCAATGGCTATCTTATCATGTTCGGCGTAGTGAATGAAACTTTCTACACGGTTGGCGACGCGAGATTTTGCCACTTTGGTGTGACACAACGAATGATTGAAGAAGCGTTGAAGGATGCGGGGATCGAAGATTTTAAAATGGAATTGTTTCATCGAGCAGTAAAATCAACCACTGCATGCGGATGGACAAGCATTCTTTTCAGTAGTCGGGAAAAAGTCTGATAAAGGCTAAACTACCTGCATGGAGATAACTGTCTAGTTTTGTGTAGAGTTGCAACTTGTTACAACAACATTGCGTCAACATTGATGATTCAACAAGCTTCAACAACATTGTTAACAATACTGTTCCCAGGGTGCAGCACAACATTGTTCACTCCTGATGCGACAACCTGATCAATTTTTGGCCGTGTAGAGTACACTGCAAAGACGAGCATGCCAGTTGCGCAGATCATTGTCGTTTGTTGATTTTGTACTTGATTTTGGTGACATAAGTTTATAATTGAAAGTGTGTGACGGCTAAATCAGTATCAATAACAAATACATTGAAATTTGAAGACGTGTTATCTAACGGTACATTTTAACTATATTATTTGAAACATGCATGCAGTACCCGAAAATTTAGTGCATTTTTAATTTTAAATAATCGGTGGAAAGGAGGTTTAGAAAATTCTTTATCCTGACAGAGTGATCTCAGCACTTATTTGTTATAACTATCCTTCTGTTAAAATGGTCTGGACTTTAAAGAAATATTCGTGTGAATCTGCGTGTATGCGCGGGCGTATTTAAAAATTCAAATTTTCGTCCTATTTAAAACTGATGGGGTTCTTTGTATTTTTAAAAAAATTCTTTGTTTTCCATGAATGTGATGCAAAGACATAGACATTTTGGAACATTTTGGAACAGTTCTAGTAATTTTCGGGAAAAGCGCCCGTGCTGAGCGACCTCAACACAAGACCATCATCGTCTGTGAAAATGAGCGACAGACCTGTGAAAACCGACCCCCCAAAATTGTAAGGAGGCCACAACAGACAGTCTCTCAAGTCTGTTCTAATCTTGACATATTCCTTGACATTCGGTTCTTCAGTGAAATAATCCGTAGGCCTCAAATGCTTTTCATTCGTACAGTATCACGTTGCTCAGGTCAAGGTTACTATCAGTTCAACATTGTTTGACCCTGTATTATGGCCGACGACGAAGAAATTTTATTCAACATACCGTAAATGATCCAATAAACACCCCCTATCAAATAAACGCCTCGTATCTAATAAACGCCCCCCTTGAAGTGTAAGTTTGTATTAGACGCCTCTCTCTAAAAAACGCCCCGAGTCTAATAGACGCCCCCCCCCCAAATCGCCTTAAGGCTTAAAGCAATTATAAAGGAAACGCTACACACAGTAACATTAAAGAATTTATTTATTTAGTGACATGTGCGGTTGTCGTGTTTAAGAGTGGTTTGCTTTAATCTAATCTCTTGATTTCAAGCTCAAAGTACGGATATCGCTCCTTAATTCTTTTGATTTCTGTATTCATTACGTCGGCAACTTTCTTTCGGTTTGTTCTAGTTTGAAAACATCCAGGAACAACAAGACCCACTTCACGTTTTCGCTTTCCACAAACTTTGACAGTGAGAGAATTTGTTTCTGAGGCGGCTAGAAAACCAGCGAGCACTCTTGACAGCTCAATTGGCACATGCCCTGCTAAATCCAGATCTTCACCCTCGGGAGAGTTTTTGACTTTATACACACCAACTGCATTAACATCAAATCCTTTCGCCTCTTCGCGGTTGTCTTTCTTGCAGATTAAAACTTCGTCAAGAACAGGGGTCCACGTCGCCTTGTACACATGATGTTCGCGTATTGCTGCCTTGAATTTCATTTCATAGCCCATGGCAAAAGCAAAATTGTAGTTTGTCCTGGCCATACTGGAAGCCTCGGGTGCTATTTTGTTTGTTCACACAAAGCATGTATCAAAATATATCAAATGACAATTGATCGCATCATATGTACGGTGCACGTGTTCACAGTCTATTATTCAGGTTACATGCGATTATTACTGAGTTAAGGTCTGTTCAGTCTTCGTGCAAAACATGTCTACTACATGCGACGAAGCTACATCGCACAAAGGGGAGAAAAAGAGAAGCTTTACTATGTCGCAAAAATATGAAGCTATAGAATACGCAGAAAAGGAATCAAACCGAGCAGCGGAAACTATATAAAGTCTTATTACGCGAGCAAACTGCGCGTCTTAGTTTTGTTTTGTTTTGTTTTGTTTCAGTAAATTGATAGAAATGAAATAAACGCCTCTCTCTATTAAACGCCTCCCTTAGAACTGGTAAAATTTATTAAACGCCCCGGGCGTTTATTAGATCATTTACGGTAACATAACAAAGCACTTCATTCGTCAATAATCAATGACAAGGACCGTTGGTGACAATATTCTCCAGTCAACCAATCAAATCACTCCACGCAAAACCAAAATCTATAATACCATGTGCAGTAAGTAGGCGAATCCGTTTATGTAAACGATAAGTTAACCACTGTCTTATAAATCGAAACATGGCAGACTACCTTACAGCGTTTGATATCAATGCCTACCTGGTATTGGAAAGCGGAATTTTTGATCTGACCAGTGACGACAAAAGCTTACTGGAGTTTCGCATGAAAACCTTTCATAAATTTTGGTCCAATTTTAAGCCAGAGTCGTCAAAAGAATCCTCGAATATTCGCTGTCTCGAGTTCGGGGGCGGACCTGTCGTTAGGAATCTTATAAGCGCTTCTCCCAAAGTTGATCGCATCGTATTCTCAGAATACCTCGAATGTAACCGAAGAAACGTCCTCTCGTGGTTGGCTGGTGATACCGAACTTCGTAACTGGTCGCCTTTGATAAAATATGTTGTCCATGATCTCGAAGGAGACAACAACCCCGAGGCAGTTTCCGAGCGCGAGAAAGACATGAAACAAAAAATACAATCGGTTGTTTCTTGCGATGTTAACCAAAATCCGATTGTGGATCTCGAGTCCATTGACGTCGGTAAACCTTTCGACGTCCTGTCAACCAGCTTGTGTGTAGAAGTAGTTGCAAGCTCAGAACAACATTACAAGAGCACCGTGGCAAAACTTTGCAAGTTCCTAAAACCCAATGGCTATCTTATCATGTTCGGCATAGTGAATGAAACTTTTTATACGGTTGGCGACGCGAGATTTTACCACTTTGGTGTAACACAACGAATGATTGAAGAAGCGTTGAAGGATGCGGGGATCGAAGATCTTAAAATGGAATTGCTTCATCGAGCAGTAAAATCAACCATTTCCGATGGACAAGCATTCTTTTCAGTAGTTGGGAAAAAGTCTGATAAAGGCTAAACTTCCTCAGTGCATAGAGATGACTGTCGAGTTTTGTGTAGATTTGTGAGAAAAGTAAAAAAATGCCCATTTGCAAACATGTATCCGAAGTGGGTAACTTTATACTTATAATTAAATGATAAGATGTCAAATAAGATGTATGATATAATTAATTTCATGTATATAATATGTATGTGCATGCATGCTTGTTTTTTGGTATGTCAAACGTTTAATAAAAGAACAAACAAACTTTGTTGATGCTCTCTGAACCCTGTAAATTTAGACCCCGTTTACACTAGAACGAAAGTTTCCGGATTTGTAAAATAACTAAAATTATCCGGATTCATTGTTACACACATGTATCGGATTCGTCAGGTGTTTACACTACACTTTAGTTGTCTCTGTATGCGGATTTGTCCGTTTACACTCACATTACTTGTTCTTGGAGAATTGTTTGGTCGTCATATTTAATTTCTTCGGATTCGTCGTGCAAAGCGTTTACACAAGAAAATTTTCCGGATTCAAATGTTTCTGGATACGAAGTTTCCACAAACTTTTACGGATTCAAAGTTTCCGGATACGGCTTAAAACCGAGCACATTTTTTATCGGATTCGTTGCTGCATGTGTAAACAGCAACATGAATCCGGTACTAAAACATTCCGCTTTCGTGATGAATCTGGAAACTTTCGTTCTAGTGTAAGCAGGGTCTTAAAGGGACGCTTATTGCTTTCCTCACTCGGTTTTGGAGAACTTTGAAACAAAGCTGCAGTTGACGCAAATTGTGAAAGGTTTTTTTTAATTTGTATACATTTTAACATTTGCCGTATCGCCCTTTTTCGTAATCATCTTTTAAAAAACGGCGTGTGTTCTCGCTAGAGAGTAAAGACGCTGAGCCATTATTGCGAGTAGAGGGTCCCTTATAGTTACTTTTGAATTTTCAGATTGACCCTGATCCAGAGTTTAGCACTGTGAAGTATCCAAATCCGGAAGAAGGAAAGAGTGTTCTGGTACTGTTTCTGAATAACCTATATTATAGTATTACAAATCAGCCGTCTGTTAAATAAGTGCGTGTATACAGGGTGTATCAAAAAAAAGTAGACAATTTTGAAATGTTTAGAAAACTATAAATTTATCAAAATATCTCATAGATTTGTGCTAGTATGGGTACTTTGGCATCTTCAGGTCATTCTAACACTAAAAACAAACAGAAAAATTAACCTCGAAAAATGGAAGAGCGGTTTGTGGAAGCATCATTTTGAATGGCTTGTGCAAACATGAATGAGAGGTTTAAAATCCAATTTGAATTCAAGGGCTGAACGTTTGGGTATTTGTTTACAAAGAATCGAAATTTCAGAAATTTTGATGAAAATCAAGTCAGCCGCGCAACTGCGTAAACGTGGGCTTTTTTCCGTTTAACTCGCAGCTTGAGTAACTTTTTTCACAACACCATTGTTAGTTTAATCACCCGAGCAATCACTCATGCATGAAATCATTCGTGCATGAAAAAAGTTACTCAAGCTGCGAGTTAAACGGAAAAAAGCCCACGTTTACGCAGTTGCGCGGCTGACTTAATTTTCATCAAAATTTCTGAAATTTCGATTCTTTGTAAACAATTACCCAAACGTTCAGCCCTTGAATTCAAATTGGATTTTAAACTTCTCATTCATGTTTGCACAAGCCATTCAAAATGATGCTTCCACAAACCGCTCTTCCATTTTTCGAGGTTAATTTTTCTGTTTGTTTTTAGTGTTAGAATGACCTGAAGATGGTAAAGTACCCATACTAGCATAAATCTATGAGATATTTTGATAAATTTATAGTTTTCTTAACATTTCAAAATTGTCTACTTTTTTCTTATACACCCTGTATAACGATAATTGATAGATTATTGTACTTTTGTATGGAATATAATCACCGGTATAGAGGCACACTGTGCAAATTTATTATTGCCTAGCTATGCACTTGCCTGATAATCTGAACCTAAATCAGGGCAACGGTAAAATATTTGTAGGTTTCCTTTCCTATATAAAAATACTTTCCCTTCCAAGATCGAGTGAGATGCAGAAAATGTCGAAACGTTCACCCTAAAACAAACTGTTGTTCATCTGCCTTCACAGGATTTGGCAGTGAAAACTGCGAACGAGAATGGCAGTATACTCTGATATTATACAAATAATAAATGTTTTCATTCGTGCAATGGTAAAAATATTTTCACGAGGTGAAAGATGGAATGTTCCATTCAACGAGGCGATAGCCGAGTTTTATATAATACCAAAATTTTTATTAGTTTTATATAATACCAAAATAGACTGTCTCGTTTCAAAAATATAATTTATTAAAAAACATACTGTATGGATCAAAAACCATATGTGCGAGAAGCATTTTGATGGATGGTATTTACTGAAAGCATTAAGAGTGCAATGGAACAAAATGTATAGTACAATTGCACTCTGGAGAGTGCAATGGAACGCTTTCCATTGCACTCTTGGGAAATGGGACTTTCTTTTCAATATCACGTGATCGTCATCAACCAATTAAACGCTCTAAATTTAATGGGGTATTATATAATATAACTTATTACGAATGTTATGATATAGGGTAGATTGGTACTATGCCCCAGCTCTGATGATCACGTCTTGTAATCTATATTTTACTTCAATTACGTTGACTTTCCTGGAAACATTCTGATGATTTCATTACGGAGAAGATTTTACTAATTTGGAAAAATTCCCCAAAAATTTCCCCGAGAGAAGTGATTCCCCAGATCGCTCCCCAAAAATCTACCAATTTCCCCGTTTTGGGGACATTTCCCCAAAAGTGAGAGCCCTGGTTAGCTCATCCCGAAAACCATCCGCACACGTGAGAAACTTGCCTCTCGTGGTGAATTCTTCACGAAAAACTGTCCGCACACGGGACTAACTTGTTGAGCTAAAAGCCACGCGTGGTCTTTAGCTCAGGTAATCAGCTCACGTGTGTTGCGGCGTGATATATGGCCTCAGCCACCAATTCATTTTGAATGTTTACTTTTGTATACTACGTATGCGCTGTTAAGACAATCCGTAAGCAGATGGCTTTCATTTACCCACACACGAAAGGATTTCAGTACGCGAGGCAGAAATTATCAAACATGCTAGATATTTGCCGTAAGTGGCACGAATGACGAAAGTCGCCGGAAAAGTCGCCCGCACACGAGAGCAACTGCCTTAAGCCAATGGCCACGAATGACTTTTTGCTAAGCAGATAGCTCTAGTGTGCACGGCCTTTATAGTCCCAAAAAAAATCGAATATTCGTTATATTCCCTGTCTCGAGTTCGGAGGCCTGTCGTTAGGAATATATAAGCGCTTCTCCCAAAGTTGATCGCATCGTATTCTCAGAATACCTGGAATGTAACCGAAGAAGCCTGCTCTCGTGGTCGCCTTTGATAAAATATGTTTTCTATGATCTCGAAGGAGACAACAACCCCGAGGCAGTTTCCGAGCGCGAAAAAAACATGAGACAGAAAATACTTTTCAGTAGTCGGGAAAAAGTCTGATAAGGCTAAACTACCAGCATGGAGCTCGAGATGGTTAGTTTTCGGAAGTCGAGAAAGCAACCATGGCCAAAAAGGCAACCATACTTAATATTCATAATGTTATGAAGCACAATAGTACTTCTATAATTGTCGTCATATTCTTTTGTGCACGGTTTAGTTCATAGCTATTTGCGTAATTAGAAAGCCATCCAATCGTGTCCCTCGCATGGTATCCCTCATTGTTCTGCCGGATTTAATAACAATAAAAGCTAATTTCCGAATATTTTCTCGCTTGGCGCAAAGTTGCTATGGTGGCAATAAAGCTAAAAACAACGAGGCATACCCATTTTGATGCTATCCGTGGAAAATCCGAACGAGTTTTGACATATGTATGCATTTTTTTTGAGGCGCAGATTTGAAGAATTAGCATCAAGATATCAGCGTCCATTTTTAGCAACGGATAGCAGATGGCTTTCCTTCAAATTTCAGGAATTTGACCATCAAAAGAAAGATCAGTTGAAGATGTTATCAACAGCAAAATGTATCCAAAAATAAAGCGACCATGCATGCAATATTTGTTACTGGCGTCATAACATCATCTTCACTCGGTAGATCAAAAGACACTATCAGTATCATGCTGCATAAAAAATTGCTACGATTCTCGCGGCAAAATATTTGCACAAATATACAGCACATCAAAACTATACTCTATATATAGACATCTTTTTTTAACCAACAAGGACCGTTCAATTTCAGCTGAATGAAAAGACCTGTAGGTAATGCAGGTGCATTCTCTTATCAGAAAATGCTTGGACATTATATGATCGGTCATTTTTTAGCAATGTATGGCACCACCCTCTAAATGGCAGGAATTTCAACAAAATTAGTAAGCTTTTATAATCAAAGGAGAAATTAAAGATGTTATCACCGGTAAAATGATTTATTACTGCCATCAGAGAGTTTCCTAACATTTTCATTCATTCAGTAGATCAAAGTGCAGTATTTGGAAACCTGCGACTTCATTACCCATTGAGTTTTGATTTTTTTACGTTTCAATATTTGCCAAACAAGTCAAGTGGCCTGTGGATGAAAAATTCACGCATTCTTCCGACATGAAGATAAAACACGTCCTAGCTGAATGGCCGATTAAGATCATTTTCCTTCAGATTTTTTTAATTTGAAAATTTTCATCTGACATCCTGTGAAGATATATGGATCATTGAAAAAGCGTAGGCTTGAGGATCGTGCAGGAAGAAAAAAGAAATCAGTCTCGCATATCAGACTTGGGCAGTGTCAATGCGTATCTATATATTCCTTGTCCTCTTATAGGTCCAATAACTATAATCAACGGATGAATTTTTCCCTAAAACTAATGTATATAGGCAAAATGTTCTGCACCGGATACTGGCATAATTCCAAATGCCTATATGGTATAACAACTGCCTAAAATAGACAAAACACTTCTCGACGTTTCGACCTGAGGGCCTTCGTCAGAAGAGTTAGTATGATACTAACTCTCCTGACGAAGGCCCTAAGGTCGAAACTCGAAACGTCGAGAAGTGTTTTGTCTATTTTAGGCAGTTGTTATACCACATTTGATGCTAAGTTGTTTGAAGACGTTGCCACGCTGCTCCCTAATCCTAATGATTTCTAGATCCGAATCCATGTCATATTCAAATCAACTTAATAATTACGAAACGATATCGGACTGGCAATTTCTTAATATAGGATCTCTGAAAGAATCCAAACATCAAGTGGAATAAATGCTTTTTATGTGTCAAGTTACATAATTACTGGCCTGACATATTCAAAATTTCCATGTGCCATAAACTTCTCAATACTCGTTTTCTGAGAAGACAAATAGGACATTTTGTAACTAAGGGTATGTAACAAATAGGACATTTTGCCGCAGGGGCTCTTCATCGTCGCGAGGCTGCGAGCCAATCGCATTGCATCATTTGCTATCGAATCGATATGTTTTTTTATATGATTCCTCAAAAGGCTCTTATACACGCAATCATAAAAAAGTTGCAAAAATGTATAAGAAATGTTAGAATCATTCCATTCGTGGCAATGGTTCACATGCGACATATATGTCTATACCTAATCGCCAACAATACGTCAAGATTGATAAAACACACCGTTAATAAATCACTTGTATATTACCAAATCGGTATTTCTTTTCAGGTCCTCGATTAGATATAAACTTTCTATTCCATCCGGTCCTGAGCTTATTTTCCTGAGTTCGAACCAACCGTAAAACTGCATCGGTGGGTGATTGTAAACTGTCTAGTGCTAATCTCAAACGATTTTTTTTATCGCGGGCTGTGCTTTAAGAAGGTTATAACGTACAAGCCATAAATGATGTGAATTTTTTGACGTGGGTTTTGACCTGGGATGCGAATTTTGATTGTTATCTTGGTTGGGTGATATTTATTGCTGAAAATCCCTCACGCAACCTGTCTGCATGTGACGTGACGCCAGTCACTGTGTGGTACTGAAAGAAGGGAGTCGATTTTAATTAAATGGTTTAATTAGTGCCGCTTTAGTCCTTGATATTATACAAAACAGCAATGCAGCAAAGGAGCATGTCTCAAAACCATCTAACTCTGTCTGGCAAACGCGGTGCGAAAGGAAAAGTGCGACTCTCGAAATCCGATGTTGATTTGAGACTTTCGAGTCTCAACACGCCAAATACGTCGAAGCCACGAGTCCCTTTTCAAAAGGAATATAACCTCGTTCTTCTTGGCCAAGCGTCCGTTGGAAAATCAGGTAAATATGATTTCATTTCATTTACGAATTCCAATCACAGTGTGTGTGTGTTCATGTTAGGTATAGGCTATAATTACTGAAGTATAAAAACATGTATGGAGTTAATTTCCCAAACGTTTCAAAGCTCGATCGAAGAGCCAACGCTGAGTGGCCAGACACCACATTAAGATAACCCTATATATTTACTAGTAAACCACACTCATATCAAGACCATTCTACTTTAAGCAATTCGAGATGGAAATTCCAGCTTTAAATTCGTAATAATCATTGACATTATATATAATCTTGTCTTAAATTGACTATACTTGTATTATCAATTTGTATACGTGCTACGTGCATTGAGATTAAGAAGCGTTGGGGCTGTTACAAACGTTTTCAACCCCGATTGCACGTAATGCAATGACTTTCACAGAAGACGGGAATTTTTCTATTTTCGTTCAACTTATCGCTCACCTGAGTTGACCTGACAATTAACAAAAGCTATTTCTATTATGGAAATGGTCGCTCTAAATGTTTAAACCTGGGCTGACGAGCAGTAGAACCTATTAAGACAAAATCTGTTGTACTAATATTTGTTGAAGATTTCAACTTCCAAAAATGAATTATTTCGGGTTTTGAATTCTGGTCCATGCCGTCCAGAATGACGTCCAAAATAATGTTTACCTCAAAAATAGGCGCAAGGTTTTAGCCAATGCGTGCTAGTCCTGCATGCAAGTTGATCCTGCATGGTTTTCATATATCGTTATTAATCGGCAATGGCTATTGTTGGTGGTCATGCATTGCACATAAAATCCTTTGTCTATTGAAGAAAATTATATACTTCATGGGTTACCGGCAATAAATCGTAGACCATCGCCGATGAATTACAGCATATGAAAACCCAGGCCTTAAGCCTGATTCTCATATGTCACCGACTGTCGGCGATGGCTATTAAACGGTGCTTTGTTATTTTGTATATTAAATTTTTCGTCAACGACCACAAACAATACATCGCCGACCGTCGATGACATTTGAGAATCAGACTTAAAGCCCAATTCACGTTTGGTCGCAAATGCATGCAATGAACTTACAAAGGGTTTAACTACACTCAGACTCAATCAATTTCGTCACTTCTGTGTGTGATTTTTACCGTCAATAATGGTGAATGGTAAATCGTTGCGCTTACGCCTATACAGCTAAACGATGACAGTCTTTTGTAGTTCAATTCAGTTATATTTACACACCTTGTGCCGCCTTGTGCGTGGTGCTTATTGACGCGGTATTCAAATTGTTGCAAAAAGGGTTAAGGGTGCACGTTTTTTTACACCTTACAGACCGCTCGAAAAAAGTATACGTCGGTTTGAAATTTTTCCTTTCTAATAATTTAATTCAAATAATCGTGAGCGTTATGCTGAACTCATACACGACTACGTTATGCAAAATACAGCGCCAAGCAAAACTAAAACGAAATGCTTACAGTTTTCTACATATACTACTAAAATACCATGTTTGTTTTTATGCAAGCATTTCTTTCTTGCATTCTAGGCGTAATTTAATGGCATTGAACTGAATGAAAACATATCATCATCATCATCATCATCATAATATGAAATATGTAAAATAATATGTCCTCCAAAAATACTCGAATTTACACATTGATAAAACATCCAGCTGTAAATAATATTTCCAGTAAATTGAGTGGAACAACTAGGTTTGCAATTTCATATTTAGAGCACGAGATTTAACGGTCCAGTCAAATGTAAGTTAAGCGATATCTGAATAACCAATCGAACGCACAGAACTGTTAATTTTCTTTGCAGATGTCTCAGTTTTTTTTACAAAATATTCCTTACCAACTCGGGGGGAGCTCATAACAACGGGTATCTCTGTATAATTGAAAATTTTCAAAAATAGAGCATCGTGCTGAATCACAATGAATATCCCAAAGCGCGTCTCTTTGACACGAACGGATCGTATTAACTGATTCATCAAACTAAAACCAAACATGGAAGCTTCGAGGCTCGAGCTATACTCAACACCTCGCACTCGCAAATAAATAGTATTCGAGAGGACATTATTCAAGAGAAAAATCAATTCAAACGTGTTTTCTTTTGAGAAAAACCTGAATCGCCACATATGTGTATCATGAAGTCAACGTGCTATCTCAATAGCGAGGTCAATGCGGTGCAAAAGATAGCCTTGCACGTCCTTTCTGGGCTAAGTTTTGTTATCAAATAGACAGCAATGTAAGATGAAACGCGCCAAACTATCCTAACTGGAGATAAGCACTTAAACACTTTTAAATGCGTTAAGATGCTAATCACAATTAGTGTAAATTGGTCGTAAAAAAATTATCATCAATCAACATACACCAACTAGGGAACCGCGTATTTTTACATCTTTCTTTCTGTCTGATAGCGTAATATATTTCAAGACTCTCACAAACTCTTTGAGAAACACTATATTGCCTTACCATTTGCACGCTTCAATTTACTTTGTTGAAAACGGATAATCTTTCACATAACTCATAGATGTAAACCGCTGGCCATTATAAGCGAGCCCAATCACGCGCGTACGTTGTTTTACGATACGACTTTGCATGAGTAACGTATTATTGCAAAATGAGAACACTCTCCATGACTGTGGACAAATTCCCATAAACGTGAACAGTAAAATAAAACAATGAGTTCTGCTGAACTTCCTCTGCTTTATCACTCTTTATGCACTCGAGTATGTTGTTATTCGAGCGGTAGTAATTCGAAATTTATCCTCCTTGAACACATTTGAATAAAAACCTATTTGTAGTTCCTATTTCCTAAGCCCAGCCAGGGATTGCACATGCAGGGTGTATCAAGTATCAACGAAAGTACAAACACGATGATTTGCATAAGTATACAGCTACTGGCCTACTGCTAATAGCATTTCAGTGCCAGTGCAACCATAAATTATACTTTTGGGATTTGAAAATACGTTCTATTTCCTTTAACTCGAATGAACACACAAATTCTAACAGTACGAACTCCACTTTACGTGCATTTAAAATTTGTTCGCTGTTCAGGCATAAGTTACGTTTTCTGTCACCCATGACCACGTTATGCAGTGTGCTTTGTGCTACCCGTAATTTTATAAATGCTAGGATCAGTAGGATGAGACAAGGCATGCAAATATCAAACGGCGACCTACATTCATAAACGTTTCATCTAAACCACCACCTGTCAAACATGTGGATAAGCTTGCGAATATGTAGTTACCATCTCTTGTAGTTATCCATGTTGGTGGGAACATAAAAACGCCAAAATATACGGCGTAAAAATAACCACATGCTTTGCGTGGCTGTCAATTAGTAATCAATAATCAAGGACTTTAGTCTATGTATATTTCGACATATAAGGATCCTCCCACATATTTGAGGACGTTTTTATATCTTTTGACTAATCGAAATACGATAACATGGCATAAACTGGCCATGTCGGATTATGTCTCGTACTTAACAAACGAGCTTAAGTTGATAGTTGATGGTTATCTGCCAAACGTCGCCACAAATATTCCTTTGATTACCGGGTTACAAGTATATAGACTTTTGTCCGACCCACTGTCAAATATACTTTCAGAGACCTTGATTAGCTCTAAGTAGTTTAGATTTACACATACCTGAAAGTTTCATAACATTGATTCGATGTAGTCAACACCTTTTAGAAATGCACTCGAGCCGTTCACTCTACTGCACTCCGACAGGGAGGGAGGTACTAGACAGGGGGGGTAGTAGTGCATTTTTAAATACCGTTTTGCAAGCCCACATAATTTTGCGGTAGTTGCGGCCACTGAATAGATTGAAATGTCAGGAATGATGCCAGAGGGCCCGTGCCTTGACTCAATCTCGGCATTAACGGTGTGGTTCACTTAAAATTGATACATTGCCAATATAAACACGAATGACGCCCCTCCCCATATATAGACAAAATCCGTCCAAGAATCTCAACATTGATCTTGACATCGATGTAGGTTTGATATTAAAGACTGGACCCTAATAAGCCACAATTGAATTAAACAAAGTGTAAAAAAACCTCCGAGTTTCTCAAAATATCCACTTCGTTCTCAAAGCACAAAAATGAGCCCCCATAGATGGAGAATCTGTTCAATATGTAGCTCGCGTTGATATTTGAACCACAGCTATGCTTCTTAAGAAAAAAAATTATATAAGCTAAGAGAGAGAACTCTCTTGTGTTTGATAACAATGTAGACAACTTGTTTTTTTCACTCACCCTATTTGACCACGATTTAATCCGTGAATGAAGATTACATCAATTATTAAGGAAATAGTTTTTTTATGAGTTGAAAGACACATCTAACATAATTTTACACGAGTTAAACTTCGTTAATTATAAACGACGTGAAACTCCACTGTCTGCATATTCGCAGTTCTTGCACCCTTGCATAAATCAATGTTTTGTAAAATGAAGGCCACAATTAGCTAGCTTTGATTATTAATCATTTGCTGTAAGTAGAGGGTATCCTATATACAAGGGGATATATCAACACCGCGCATGTGCTAAGAATTTTATTTTCTGTTTGCTCCTATGAAATGAAACCAGTGGTAGTGTCTTTTTTAATGCCCTCAATGATAAGAGACGCTAATTTCGAAACCTGAGATCACTGTAGAATTCGGGTGGGTTGATCAACCTGAAGTTCGAATAAAAACGCAGCTAATTTGACAGGCTTCGTTACACAAATTTCCCCGAATTTTATCATCACATATTATTTTTAGCCTGCCATAATCATTGCTGTCCTGTGTGATTATTATAATCTGATTCCTTTAAAATATAGGAACTTTACACCCTCCGCATATGCTAAAGAATTAAATGAAAGTTAATTTCAAGATATTTTCTTGTAAATGACATGCAAAGTTAATTGTGTTTTTATGCTTTTAGCAATTTTAGTCAGATTCTCGACTGGACGATTTATCCATGAATATCATCCAACATTAGGTAAGACAACAATAGATGCACCGTCATGCATTGCGCGCTTGGAAAGTAAAACAGAAAGGGTCGTTGACGAGCATGCATGTTTTCCGATGCTTGCCAGTTTGCCAGGTATGTTTCAGCGTGTAGTTAATAATTAAAGCAATATTTTGTACATATCCACGCAAAGAACACAGTTTCAAAACGGCCTGCGTTTACACGTTTTCCTCCACGACCTACTTTAACCAAACTGTGCGACTGGATTTCTCATATCGAGGTTTTTTAAAAATGGAACAACAAAAGCACCAAGCTAGCAATTTGCTCTTATGTAATGCAGTTGTGACAACACTTCCATGTAAAACGAACTGATAGATTCTTTTTGATCACTTTCTAGAGATGACGTATGAGATGCTAGCAGATATTGATGAAGATACTGCTTTACTGCGTATTTTTGATACCGCTAACACGGTAATATCGCAATTAATACAATAAAATACACTAAACCAATAAAATAACTCGGACGTTTATGAGCATGATTTATCATGGGCCGCGGAAGATCCTTAAGTTGGGGGGAGAGATTAATATTCATATAGTCATGTTAACAGACCTTTACAATCAATTTGAAGAGAAATTAATACAGCAGAACGTGAATATATGAATATTACCCCCCCCCCCCAATTAAGGAACTTCCGCGCCCCTGTTTATTACGATGTATACATTCCAGAAGCTGGTGTGCTGGCATGTTTTCGAATTTGAGATCAGTGCACAGATTTTTATTTGAGTGCCAAGTGTTAGTTAAGTGCCAACCACCTTATGCGCCCTTATGCATGCGCATAGCGTGACAAAGACTAATATCATTGAATGAAATGGAAGGAGTGTATTCCCATTTCTGTTTACAGACAGAGCCAGTCCATTTAACGGAAGGCCAAGGATTCATAGTGGTCTATTCAGTAGACAACAGACTGAGTTTTGAAACGGCAAAGCAGTTGGTGAAATTGACAAAGGAATTTAAACGTCTGCGACGTGCGAGCCCGTCAGTCGTTCTGGTAGGAAACAAACTGGATTTAGAACATCTACGTGTGGTTTCCAAACGAGAAGGACGGATATTCGCGATAAGAAATGACTGTTCGTTTTTTGAAACTTCGGCAATGGATGATGTAAATATTTGCACAACTTTTCACGAAGTTGTGCGTCAAATCAGAGGTGGAAAGAATCGATCTTCATTGAGCAGAAAACCTTCGTTTACAAAACTATTTTCAAGATAGGTTTCTCCGGTTAAAAAAAGAAAGTATATATAATATATATACAGTATTGATAAAGCTGGATTTGCACACTAGAGAAGTTTTGGGTCGGTTTATCTGAACGGAACGGAAAAGTAAAGTTTAGAGAGGAAAATTTTCAGAATGCGTGTAAGATTTTTCTCGGAACAGAAATATTTCCAAATTGAAGAGATTTTTCCCGTTCCTAGGAAATCTTTCCGGTGGTGAATGCAGCTTAACATGTCCCGAACGTCATATCAGATAAAACTAAAAATCGTGAATATGCCAAAGGGTATGCAACTGTAGTAACAATGCATAAATTCAGCTGGTGACTTGCATAACGCTTGTGGAAGACAAAGTGTAGGGTGAGAACTAAGGTGTTGCATTGCATTTTTTGTTTTATAAGAATGTTAAATGATCAGACAACATCGAAAGACAAACTTGCTGAGCCATCGGGCTAATTCAGTGCAAGGTTGTTAATGGTTGTAGCAATATTATATATATATATTTGCAAAAACGGCCGCAGATAGATAGATAGATAGATACTCGAAATCTAATTAGAATTGCATATGTTGTGTAATATGATTGAAATCCCATGCAAATGTAATCATATGCAATTCTAATTAGACTTCGAGTATCTATCTATCTGCGGCCAACGTTTTTGCAAATGGGTGTATATATAATTATATATATATTATATATATAAATATATATATATATATATATATATATATATATATATATATATATATATATATATATATATGTTACAACCTTTAACATCGTTATGATTTGTGATCATTATTAGAACAACTTACTATCTTGAACCTTTTCGCCATCTGACACCAAGCAATGCAACCCGCTGATAAGTAGTAAACAAACTTGTAACAAAGTTCTAAAAGTGCGTCTTTAGCGTTTAATTTAGTCAGTACGTTCTAGCCCGCTTGAATACACGGACATGCTGTAAATAACACTGTAAATCTATTTGGAGATACAAAGCTTCTAGATACTTAATTTAATAATGACGTGTTGAAGCAGAAGGATCACTCTCGCAGCATTTTTTCTAATTTGTTTTATCTCAGAGTCAGTACCTCTTTCAACGACCCAGCTTAAAGCGTGAACATGGACGTCCAGATCGCAAAACCATCAATTTAAACCTGGGCACTTTTTAGCCCCGGGGTGATTACTACTCTTCTCGATCCCCTTGTTGCCGAGAGTTTCCAGACTATTCCGACCACAACTCTACCACTGAGCCTGATATTGTTTTTGACTGGCTGTAGGTTTTCAAGTAACGCTGATGTCATAATAACACTGATGTCATTTGTCCACTGATCATATGATGTCATCAGAAGAACGCTAATTGTTATCCTAATTCAAAACCTGAGCACGCAAAGTATAAAAACGTAATCATGATCTCATAATTATGACGTAACAATGATGTCATAATTATGTTTGTCATAATCAATAGACTGAGCTTCACTGCGCACGTTTAAATCGTTACGTTCTCCGAGGTGATTTAAATTTTCCGAATTGATTTTTTTTAAATGACAAGTGATGAGATAAACAAGACTTAAGGTGAGAATGAGGGCTGGTGATTCAGGGTTCATGGTGAGAATTGTCCAAAGACCAAAGTCTGGCCTGGCAGGAAAATTATATCTATAGCAACGCTAAAATCCCCGATACTGAAATCACTGAAGCTGCGAAGAAGTACTGTTGATTTGAATATTTTTTAAAATAACTTTACAATAAAAAGTGGAATCGTTTTTTTAATGATTTTCCTAATAAAGCTTGTTTTCCGTTGCTATGCAACTAACCCACTAATTAACTTTGTATCGTAATTAGCGTGCGCAATTAACCGTCTAAAGATTTACATCCTTAATTTTACTTTTAGACCAGCGGGTAAGCAATATCAACTGAAATTCAGGTTGGTTCCATTATGAAAACTGGTATGAAAATGAGAAATAGTATCGAAATTTTGCCAACATTTCTCGCGACGACAAAGGAAGCCGGAATAGAGGTAAATGTTTTATATCCATACTCACTCTATCCTCGGTAATTATTTTAATAACGTTTAAATATATTTGTCCAAGCAGTTTTCCCTTGTTTACATATAGGATCGCATGATCAGGTATTATTATAGATAAATCAAACATACAAATTCATACACATCTATCACTATAGTTGCAGCAAAAAAGTAGACAATGTTCGAGTTTCGAATTTACCCAATAAGAACTCTAGTATATTTAGCTAATCAATTATATTTTTTGTTACTCTTTATGGTCGAGATTTTGTGGTTATATAGTGTATAGTCAAAAGAACTATAGCTCTGACATGAGCTGGACGTAAAATATGTGACAACTAGTCCTAATCTTTTTAGTTAACATTGTAGTTAACCTCTGCATGCGGTAAGGAAGCTATTCGATCAATATGGATCTATGATGCTGTAATAAAATCATAGGCAGCATGAATTAATTTTCCATATCAAAAGCAACAAGCTTCATATAGTACTCTCATGCATACCAGACGGACAGGGTGGATTTTCATTAGGTTTTCGCCTTTCTCTCATACCAATCTCCGAAACATGGTTGGTCATTGTGGTTGTACGCAGGGCGTCGAATAACACATCTTTTTCGGGATGAAAAACAAGAATTTCAACCTTGGGTATAAAAGTACAAGCCAATGCGACAGTCGCGAAGAAAGAGTTATAAAATGAATAGATAAGCTCCTTTGTGTGTCCCTTGTTGTCTGTGAATGATTGAACCAGTAGCAAGGATATGCTGTTTATTGTCAATGCGAGAGAACCAAAGAAGACATAACGTAGACCATGGGCGTGGTCGGTGACTTTTCTAATTAAGTAAGACTGGTGAGTGCAGATGAGTAGAAGTGCCCAATAAAAACTGGTTCCTAATACCGTAAATACTTCACCTGTGATAAAACTAGAGGATAGAAAGAAATAATTCATCTAAAGAACACCGAGTGAAAATGCTAACTGATCTTATTTACATCTGACAATGTGGTTTTAGTCTCACTGGTAGCAGGCTCTTATTTAGTACTATGTATAGAAATATATTTTAGTAAATTTTCAATATACATATTTTAGTAAATTTATGTATGTATATGACTATATGTCGTGTTGTGTGTATGTATATATGTATGTCATGGGAGTTTGTTTTGATTGATTGGAATTCATACTCACTCAATGATGAATCCACAGTGGATGTACGCAGTGTTATCAGTTTCTGTTTGGAAGTAAAGGGTGGTAGATGTCTTCCTATATTTTCCCTCAAAATTTATGCAGAACCACAGCAAAGCCACATCGATGATCACTAGACATATGACCACCACGACCTTAAGACCTTCGCTCAGAAATCGAGGATCATCTACATGAAAAGTAAGCAACATTTACGCGATACGTTGTCGATTTGAGGGCTCGAGTGGGAAGTTTACTTTTTCTTTTCTTCTCCCTCTATCAAAAAACCTGTTTTTAGCTGCACTTACCTTTGAGTATTTTCTTCTTGTACGTTCTATACACATCGTTTGTTTTAATGAAAATCGTCCCAAGCGTGCAAGTTGAACCGACTTTGGCAAAAATCACCATTAGTAGACAATAGTCTTTATGTGCGTCAGTTAAAATAAATATGGAGACAACATGGCACATGAGAATACCAAACAACAATATGTAACACAGGATGCGATCTTTAAATATCTTCATTTTCGATTTGTTGTATTTGATGATGAGGATGACGAAAAGTATCAGGATTTTGATGCTTAAGATGTTAACACATAACAAAAATATACCGGCCGGATTCTTTGTGAGAAATACTATCCGTGGTTTTACCTTAACACAAGATGTACGGTTTTCCGTCGGCCATTCGTCATATTTGCACTCGGAACAAGTCGAAGAGCCCGGTTTATCAGAGTACTTGTTAGCCGTACAGTTTTGACATTGCCAACAACATGATGCAAACCATTCATCGACAATCTTGTATTGACCTGCCGGACAAATGACGCCACATACTCCAAGAAAGTTATCAGGGATAAACGATTCTTCCAGAGTCAAGTTTCCTGTGCAGGTTTCGTTTGCGTCAACCACACAACTCCAATGGCCGATGTTTACAAAACATTCTTCTTCTTTTTGGAACGACACGATGGAATACTTGACATTCCGCGGATTGCCTTTAGATGTAAACGACACCTTGTTCATCGTCCAGACATTCTGAAAGTCGACACTTTTAATGGCCTTTAGGAGTTTTCTGGACGAGAAAAAAAACGTGATAAATTATTTTTAAATAGCAGCCGATTTGGGAAAGTGATGAGCAAGCTATCAAGATCTAATATAGGTTGAGTTAAAACTTTTGGGTTTAGAACGACGTAAGTTTCGGCATACTAGGAATCGCTTTGTTATGCGGAACTATTATATTCATGATTAATTTCTCGTTTGACCACCTGTAGAAACATTGCTGGGGAAATTATTTTCATTCCAGCAAAATATTTTTTCCTTTTTACAGAAACATCGCGCCGTTCCTTTTTGCGTATTTGGCCGGATAACATTGGCAGAAATGAACTCTTCCTTCACCCAATGATATTTCTCTATATACCTTACTGCAATGCATGACGAAAATTTAAAGGAAAATTATCTCGAGCAATCTTTAACAAGGGTTGTCCAACCTTCCACCATAATATATGGTTTCAGTTGAGAAAAAAAGTAAATTTTCGCATCTCAGTCGTCTTTCTACGATTACAAATGACCGTCTTAAGGGACATTCCCACAAGTAGCTAGATCTGTATGTGGTTTTACTTGTTATGTCCAAAATAATATTGGTCCCGTAGCTCGTTAGGTCTGACGTTCGTGACTTTTTATATTACAAAATTAAATATTCTTATCATATAATAAATACTATTACGATTGAAATTTGTTTTAATATTTCGCTTTGTAAAATTTAATCGAAATCGAATGGAAAAGCAGTTGATGCGATCGAAATTTTTATCTAACCGGCTTGCCCGAGCCGCTGAATGAATGAATTTCAATGCTACAGTTGAGTATCTTATCTAACAATATAAATAAAATAGGGTAGCCGTCGCTCACCTAGACCAAACCGAGTAGTTTAATCATAACGCTGTCCGATTCATATTGACACAGCTTGAATTTAAACATCCAAAAATAATATGATAGATGCATGATTGGCGTGTTTGATGGATGTTTTAATATGTGCATGCATATGTATAGTCTAGTATACCGTCAGTGAAATATAATGATAATGTCCGCAATAGGTTTGAAATACTATAAACCCAAGGCCAATTCTGGTAGTTCCTGTTTCCATCCCACACATCTTGTTCCACGGCCTAATTACGAGTTGATGTTCTATAAATTAACTTTTTGTGCACGAAGAAAAAAACGATGCAAGAAAACAGACAATTGAGTTGGGTCATTTCTCGCAGAACGCCAACTGTTATAGACAAGTCAATTCATATCCTTACAATATCATACAAATCACTCAGATCGCCCGCAATTGTTCAGACCGGCGACCTAACCAATCACGCGTAGGTACTCTCATATACCAGGGCGTTGTAAAACACATAATATGTTTATAAGTTGATGTGTTTTACAGCGCCCTGCGTATACAGATCCAGTTAACGCGCGCGCACAAAGATATTTGACTATTTTTGTTTGATATCCCACCTCAGTTCTTACCTCTTAAAGATATTTATTGACTCGGTTTTGTTGCATCTTTTTGTATTGTTATCACACTCCAAAATATCATGCAATGCCCAAGCAATTGTGTACACAGCATCTATGACATAACTAACTTCGCTCGAACCCCAAAGGACACATGCGGCGTTCTCCAACGGCTTAGACGATGATGTCATATTCAAATTCCGAGGAGCCACAGAGGAGCGGTATTCTTTAAACCATTCCTCGTCAAAGGTCGAATGTTGTCGCACATCATGAAGGTTTTCATGCGTCTTAAGGAAGAATTTTTCAAATTCGTCAATGTGTATTTGGCTGGGAATAATGCTAATGGCATTCTTCAACATGCAAGTTAAGTTGGCTGTCTGTCCATTCCACATGTCATTGGATAACCAAATATATTCCTCTAAATCATGTTTTCCTTTTCCTGTTAGCAAAAAGCCATTGAAATCATCGTAAATTGCGAAAACCACTATGACTTTAGTTTTGTTTCTTTCTTTGTGGATTTTTCCCCACGTTTGCAGGTCTTCACGAGTAGTTTCGTGGATATGCTCGTCAACAGTTATACATATCTTCCTGTTGTCCTTTAGTTTACGAAGTTTCTCACGAAAAGACTCCGCAGCAAAGCGACCGTATTCGCTGTTTGAATACAACAAAATTACATAATTCCACTTGAATCTTTGAAGAACGTCTATTAACGCCTGCGTGGCGTAAGTATCTGGAGGGACAGTCCTCGTGAAATATTTCACCCCGCTTAAAGATGAGCTTGTTGCGGCGTAGCTAATCACCGGAATGTGAAATAACCCGACAAGATTGGTAACTGCTCGTGAAACATCGCTGCTTTGCTCGCCGACAATAGCTAACGTTGGCTTTTCCTGTTCAGAGCGATTACCAAAGCATTCGTTTATGGAACGATAGCTCATCATTGTATAATGAAGCGACTTTTCTGTTGCACGTTCTGTGGAACTACATGTGTCTTCCAGTTTGGCTCGCAGTTTTATTCCTGGCAAAATATCTTCGTTTTCGTTGACTTTACTCACAGCGAACAACATTGCATTCATTTCTGTAAAACCACCGAGAGTAAATGGACCACAAAACGATGTTCCGTTGTTATAGCCATGAATTGCGAATAAGCCGCCAATATTGAGGATCTCGTGTTCTGAGATTTCAGTTAAGTTTTTTTCATTCGCATTTGCCGACCGCCTGTATATTATAAGGAGTAATAAAAGAGCAGAGATTAAAAGCCTGAAAAAAATGTTACTCGTAGACATCTTTAGAGCGTATTTAGTTATTGGTCAGCTGCATTTATATGTGTATATAATTATGAATTCAAACTGTCCTTAGCTAGCCGACGGCTGATCGATGTTAAATGAATTTTTGCTTGTGTGCACAGGTACTTTTGTACGTTGATTATTTATCAAAACTTATTAAACGTAGAGTAAACAGGCGCTATTAAGAATGCCATTTGGCATGTATTGTATTTGGACTTCCATACTTGTCATGAACTCCTTTCCAAAACGTGTCATGATATTAAAGAATCCATACTAAATCTAGTCCTAAGACGTAGATCGCGAGGTATATAGATTTGGCTGGATTGCAATATGGTTTAATCATATAGGAAGCAGTAATAGGATTAATATGGTCTCGAAAGTCGTCCTTAGCCTTTTTATCCTCTCTTCTCCAATATGATGCAATCTTGTGTACTGTGTTCCAGCATAGACCAATATGCAATCCTCACGCGTGAGGAATCCAGAAAGAGAATACGACAATTGTCGTCAATCCTAAGTTGCATATATTGCAGATATTGGCAATACATCATGGGGCTGTTTTTGGGACAAACATTCTGTCCCAAAATTAGTGTCCCTTTACGCGTCGCCAGCCTCACTATCACCAGTCCTTTACTGCAACTTCAGCATGGCCAAAAGTTCTTCTTTAGTATCGACAAACCCTTACAAAACCCTTACAGGGCATCCTCGTTTCCTGGTTTTTCGCGTATGGCGTGTTACTTTCCTCAATCTTTTTTGAAGTGAAGTAACCCCAAATGTAGCCTCGTTTTTGTGTTACGTTCAGTAAATGTACTGAAAATTTGCTGCCTATTCTTATTTATTCGCGGTTACGGTGAATTTATTAATTCTAAGCTAATAGTTCCAATGTAATTGAAATATATTAATTTAGAGCCAGATAATAATTACAATCGCGCATCTACATTTCGCGCTATAGCTCTTTAATTAATTGACACGATAAGAAATTTAAATTCGGCAATAAGATATAGCACTAAAACAGTGCCAATGGAGACGTGCTAATATGCTCGAATACACCGGGTAGCACAAAAGAGTTCAGGGGTCGGTTGTATGAAAGAAAGCCGAATAGCGCTATCGGCCATCAGATAGTGATTTTTTCAACCGTTCTAAAATTGGGTGACAAAATGTTAAAATTCATGTTTGGCGATATCTCATGCAGTCAATATTGAACCTAAGTAAACGTGGTATATCTCTATCTATATAATTTAAGTTCGCCTTTCATGAATCAGATGCGTGCTTTATAGTTTTTTCCCTACATAGAGCGAAGGGCTGAACTTTTTTGCGCCACCCGGTATAACATTTGGTCGGAAGGCATAATATCATCCTAATAACTATATAATTAAACTAGAGTAAAAACACAGTAAAGCTTAAGCTTCATAAAATCACGCAATGAATCGATAACCCACATGCAGTTGTATAGAATAACATTTTTGGGAGTTCGTGCATGGCCTAAAACCGAATATGAATATTGTGACCATGCATATATGCAAATTCTTTAACCATAGCTGCTCAAATTATCGATTAAAATCGGATGGGAATGAATTTGCGCGGATATCTGACTGGGTCTGGTAAAAATTATATTGGTCACACACGACTCGTTTTGACGCTTTAATCGCCTAATACTGCTACGATATAAATAAACATTAAAGAGCGTCATTCTGGCGTGAGTCGAAGGATGATTTCTTCACTTTTAACTGTAAATCAGCCCTATATTCATACCCACACGGGGCATCACCGCCAATGGTTACTGTATAAGATATTTCTTTGCCTTGCTACTTGCTGTGTGTATAAGATTAATATAATATTCATACGGGGCTGCCAACACATTTTGTGAATCCTTGCGTGGATCATAGTCCAGTTATCAGGCTTCTGTTGCGTCCGTGTGTTCGCCCTTCAATCTCATCCTCGCAAAATCTTCAAAAATTAGATCGTCATCGTCGTCATGCTTCTCCGTGCCACTACATTTTGAAATTCAAGAATTCGTTTGAACAAAATTACATCATCCAATGTCCTGCACCTATGCTTAAGGCGATTTAAGGCCTCTAAAAAACCTAACTCTATATCTATTCCCAAGTATATATATGCAAGAAAGCCAACGGCAATAGCTTAAAAGCAACACGTTTTAAAAAACCTAAGATTCCAAGCATATTTTGTGAATCGCTATTTCAAAGAATGGAAAATCGAATAAACATTCAAACAGTTTCAACAAATATCTACGTTCAGATGAACATCTGCGTACCTTGTATCAAAATCGATAAGATTATGATCAACTCCCATGTCCGTCTCATTCGCTGAAAGGAAAGATAAAAATATCCTGTCTATATATGCATGCAAAGCTGTGGACATGAGGCGCCTTTACCCAATAGCCATCAAAGTTCGGAAAGGAGGTATCTTTCATATCATCGTTACAATTTTAGAATAGTTCATGTGTGCGTGTGTGCTTTATTTCTGCATGCTGTGAGAGTTATAAAATATTAAATTATACGCTATTGTTTTAGCTCCTTTACAACTCCCGGAGTCGATTGTAGCGATGTTGAATAGTTTTTGAGAGGAAAAAAAAAGCGAAGATGCAACAAAAATGTGGTTTAAGATACTATGCGTTCAAGATGTTCTCCATTAATCGAGAATATCTTCTCCATTAATGGAGAATATCTTGAAGACAGAGTATCTTAAACCGTTGAATAATTATCTCTGGTACCAAAAGGAACTGCACTTATAACTGTTAGCTGTTATAATTACCTCGTAAAACAGGAGGGCAAAGTATAATGTATGAATCTGTAAGTGTCGTGGATTTTAAACGCTATATATACCTGTTCCATCCTGGACACCATCTTTTTGTGTGGGTGTTGGTGCGGCCTCTGGCTCTTCAGGTTTGGGATGGGTCAACATAAACGGTAATTCTACAGCAAGATCTCTATAATAAACAGAAACAAATATTTAAAGTATGGAAAACCTACTTCGCAGTAGGTATATTTAAATCCACTCGGTTATATGGAACTTTTCCTGGTAATCAAAGTCTCGAGTAATTGTACTGAATTAAATTACCGCTTCAGTCAAGGCAAGTCAACTTACCCTCCATAGGCAACTATGAGTCGTATCTTAACTCTGTATTGTACTATTATTCCTAGATTTTCTTTAGGCACATTAGATTCCAAACTAAACAAAAGATAAGGGTATACGTTGAAAGCATTACATTAGATTGTCATACAGTTTACCCAACAACTTTGGCTCTTAGAAATCGGGAAAATGGCGATGAATTGATTATCATCTTACAGAGAAAGTTGTATTTAATGATGAGAAAGAGAGAGAGAAAGAGAGTGCCTTTTCTAAGAAACGAAAATAGTATTGCTGGATACATACATTGTTGAAGATGCCAGATTTGTGTCTTCATGTTTAAGCTTGCCATCCAATGCTAGACCTCGTTTGTCCTACATCAAAGTTATAAATGCAAAAGTTAATCACTCCAAACAAATCGCACCATAATAAGAGCAGCGAGAGAGGTATTCATATACTATACTTTAAAAGAACTTTTACATATACATATTCATGTCAAACGCTTTACCTTGTTGTTAGACAGCAAAGGTGTTAATGAATAAACTTTCGATAAATTGCAACTGGGCCCAACGGGAAAACCGTCTTCACAATCCAAGGTAGCTACCGGGCATTTATATTGTGCAGTGGAGAAAAGACATATATCGGCATGTTGACGAACTGAAAGTTATAAAATGAGTTGTTTTTTTTTATATATTTAAATCTAAAGCATATAGTAAGAGGATTTTATATGAAGCAATAAACTGTAAAACCCAGCAGAATTCGCACAAAAAGCTTTAAAATTTAAAATCCTTTAAAAAGGAGATAAAATTAATTAATTTTTTTCATACTGTATATTTATCTCACCTGTTATCCTTATTTTCTTCACGGTTTTTGAAGATCTGTTGGTCAAGTGAACGTTGACTGCAATGGACTCCCCGTGGTAGTACAACTATAAACCCAAATTTCATCAATCAATTAAGTCAATTGTTAGGAATAACAGTTTCCCGGTCAAGTTAAATGTCTCATAGGAAACGTGTCTATGTATCAAGTTATGCTATACGTGACTTTATACTAATTTTACCCATAACCCACCCCTTTATCCAGGCTTGCCTCAACGTGAAGTGGATATTGGCTCATCATGAACTCTTTTTCAGCCTCAACAAACGGCTAAAGAATAAACAGGCAAGCGACGCAGTCAATTTACACCACCACCTTTGGTGATCATAGTACGGAGGTTATACTGTTCCAAAAATAAACCCGACTGACAAAAAAATCCTTACTTGAGGTTGAGGGCGTTCAGGAGCATAAGTTATCTTTCTGATCGCCAAACGTACGCAGTCTCTAAGACAAGAAGTATTGGAATCTTGAAAGAGTACGATATTTGAAGGGATCACAATACATATATCGTGCTAAAATACTGAAGCGGAACCGCATGGTCGGCAAGAAGTGATAATTTGTTTTCTTTATTTCTCTTATGCATTCTTCTATGTTCATTTTCAAAGACCTCTAAACACATACTCAACAGAAAAAAACAGGTCACGTTTTCACAAACCTTTTGTGCGGTTTTTCTTCCAATGATGGCGAAACGAATGTTTTCAGTTCGTAGTCAACGCCACAGGGCTGAAAAACAAAATTATAGAAAAATAATCAGCAACTGATGTGCCATGTGGAAGCGTGCACTCGTTCCTCCTCTCCAATGAGGGTCTGCATTCGCAGGGTCAAAAGAATTACAGCGGCAAAGCAACCATCTATATATAATATAACTTTTCGCAAGGGTCAACCTGGAAAAAGCATTATCGATGCACTTAATAAAACTGGGTATATAGTAATATAAAGATGTTTATCCAATGGGGATCACCGCTTCAATGAAGTTATACCAATTTTATGCTGCCTACAAGTATAGTAAAAACGTAATAGTACAGTGTATAATGCTGTCAACACAAGGTTTGCATGGTCTATTATGGAACGTTATTTCATTATGTTGCTTATTTCCGAACGAATATATCGAATAAAGTACTGTACCTTTCCAGTGTCACCAGGAGCGGGTTGTAACGTGACAGATGATGGAGAACCAGGCGGGAGCTACGATAAGTGATAGAATACGTACATTTGAGTAAGAAATTATTCCATCAATACTATAATAGCTCAAAGCCTCAAATCACATTTTTCTTTGCTCACCTCGAATTTAAAGGCATAAGCATTCTTGCCGAGTTTCTTCAAAAGTCGTTCTTGAAGTCTTGTTAAAGCAACTGGTTCTTCACTAGGAGGGGGGTAAACTTGCTTACTTGCCTAGATTAAAAATAATATACGTCATGTTGTAAAACTATATAATGCAGTAGATTGCCGTTTCAGTGTGTCAGTAGTAGATTTGCACAACTTTTGTACAATAAAATATTTGGATTTCTATAAATAACAATATGTTTACCAGAAACAAATCTTTGCGAAATGTCAATCCTAACACGTCTAAATCCTCTCGTCCATATCTGCATATTAAAATGCAAACCGTTATAGTTTCAAACATATAAATTTAAAAAAGAGAGTTTGTAGGAGAGCAAGGGGTTATATGGTTGAAATCCAACCTATGCTTCTACGATTTCTGAACAGTGCATGCTCTCATCATGGCATGCACCATAGATAATCCAGAATGTCTTCTGGATTGTCTATGCATGCACTAACTAAACTACGAAGAACTACGAAAGTTAATATTAATTTATAATAAAAAACATTAGTGAAAGAGTAGTACTGAGATAGATCAGAAAATCATCAACGAATGGTAGAAATAGGAACATACCTAAACGCAGCCAAAATATGAACAAAAACTACAAAGAATAATAATGCAGGTTTTAATTGTATAATTATGATGTGATTCAAATGCATACAATATACTGCCATGCATTGGCCTGATTTATACTACCGATATGGATCATCTATAAATGGACAAACCTTGGATAAAAAACTAGTTCTCATGCACGTGCTATGCATGGAAAATGAAAATATGAAACTATGCGAGCAAAGAATTTTTCACTATAATGAAGCCGTCTTTAGTATAAATCAGGCCAATGTTTTATCGCTATACCAACTGAATCCGAGAAGAAATAGAGATTTGAAAAACGTGCACTCACCTTTATTATTTGGACCAACATATTCAGGGTCGACAAGCACAACACCATCTAAGTATGCAAGAGTATGCTTGTTAAGGTTGTGTTTTGTGTGCTTGTTGAGGATGTGTTTTAATGCTTCTTCTGCCTTAACATGTATTCATGATGTAGTGAAGTAATATGTATCGTATATGCTAAAAAACCTGCCCAGTTGATTTGAACTTTTCAGCTTTTTGGGGGTGCAGGGAAAGAACATCCCCACGCCTCACGGCACCCCTCACACACACATTTCTAGCGATGCACGAAATTCTCGAAAATGGGGAAGTTCAAACCAACAATACTTACCAACTGGATCGATATGATCCACATGGTCAACAAAATCTCGCTTTCCAATATAGCACGTGACCTGTTTTAAGATAAAATCATTATCGACTTTACTCCTAGTGTAGCGTCAGAGAAGAAATACACCTGCAGGGCACACAATCAACACTACGATTAATAACAGCTATAGGCTTCTCATACGATGTTTTAAGCATATCATTTAATATTCTTTCAAATAAAATCTCTAAATAAAATCAAACTCTCTAAATCTATTGGCTAACTCTTACGTACAGCAAGTTGAGACTAAACAGATAAAACTTGCAAAACAAAAAATATTCACAAATATAAATATTTTCAGAATGACATGCTTAAGTTATTTTATGAAAAACGACTTAACCGCCGCTGATGCTCCGTTGCCAACAATTAAAACTCCCCACTGAACACACCCGACTACACTTTCAAGTTCTATTTACAATTTTCAAGTAAAATATCTGCCAATAAAATATGCCGGTCAACATTCAGCATCTAAACTTCTGAAGTCCCCTGTATGGCTGAGTGGAAAACAGGCTCTATCCGAGACATAACGTTGTGTGAAATTGCTTTTTCAGCGAAGTCATCCTGACGACGTTGCTGAGCACTAATATTTGTTTCATTCATCTTATTGAAGGCGTGGTTTATAGAATGTGATTTTGTAGTTTCATGTAGCTATAGACTTAATATTGAAATTTAATTTGATTCCGGTATAACCGAGTTAAAGAAATCTATCATGATCTACGAAAACTATTTACGACCCTTTATTTAATCCCGGCTGAGTGGGACGACGGCAGCCTATCAACCCCGTAGCTTAATTGACAACGTCTTCGAGGGTTTTTGTGCTTTTACCCAAAAACGAGTATGAACACTATTAATTATTGACAAAAGTTGTAGCTGACTCCGTATTATCTTTCTCCAGCGTTTCTGAGAATCCTCGAAAACCTCGCCAGTTTTTTAATTAGATGGGTTTTGTGGTAAGTGAAAAAGCTTCTCGCTACGAGAGGCCTAATCTAAGTTAACGACCTTGATCCGGGCGATAAGCTCAAGATAAAGAATGAAGTATCGATGCTTGTTGTTCAAAAGATAAGTATCTTTTCCGAGCGCCATGCAGTCGAGGTAACAACCGCAAATTGCATAACACGAGGTCGGCTTATCTATTTCGTGAGTCCTCACGACTTACAGGAAGACAACGAGACAAAGACATGACGTAATTAATATGCAGGGGGCAGAGTTGCAAAAAGCTTTCAACATTCCTCCGGGAGGATTTCATGCTATATGAAAACCTTCCTTATGTGATAAAATTATGTGATATCTTCATTGTTACTAATAATTTTTTTTGCTAATCCATCTGATTGAGGCAGCTAAGATTCTGTTGCCCGAATTTATATGTTAGATACTATATACTTCCACTATTGAATGGGAGACCTCCATTTTTTTAGCTTGGGTATCAGCAAAAATTTTTTCGGGAAGAACCCGTACACATCTCGTGAAGACGTTGTCATATAACGCAACTGCAATTTGGCGTTGTGAACAAAGCGAGGAAAATGTTTAGGACATTGAAAGAATTAATCATTAAATTTGTTCTCAATAATAAATAATTCATTGTATTGAGATCTCTTATGGTCGCATGGCAGCCACAAATCGTTAAAACTTAAATCTCTAATGGTCTTCTGCGGCTAGCTTAATGTCAATAAAGAACTCATTTTCCGAAACTTTCGTGAACCACCGCAAAATATTTTTTGGTTTAACTTTTAAACAGAATTCATCACGTATAAATGTTGCCGTGTAGTCTATGCCAGACTATGTCTCTTTTGGCAGTGCCAGGTAGCGTAGTTTTGCAAAAGCGTAAATTTTGTAAGTTACTTATCCATCCCACTTCACTTCTGCCAGGAGCCATTCGCTACTGGTTTATATTTCTAGGAACAGTAAAACAAGCTTGGATCATAGCCCAAACCCTTTGGCTTGGCGGTAGCGTTGTTTAATCTGTTAAACTAGCATTGCCGGGCAAATTGAAGTCACGTCTACATCAATGCCGCCGAGGTGAAGAATTTTTTGTTTGCCGATCGGTTTCTCTCAGAAAGCACAAATCGCCGCACAAATTATATTCAGACACAAGAAGTGACTATTTACAGGAAATAGACCATCTATCAACTATGACTTGCATGATGTATTGGATTCTACAATTTACAAAGTTTTCTACTTCTAATGTCAAACCCTGCACAACTGCAGTCAAATTAGAAAATTCAAGAAAAGTACAGTTGTACAGTTGTACTAGTTGGTTCGCTTTTTAATGACCATCCAGAAAATTTACATAGTGGTCGTTCACAAAATATACCGGGATGCTCAGAGGGTGTGGGGGAGGGGTGTCAGGAACAGTGTCACATCCTGATGCAGGAAGTGTGAAGGTCTTACACGACAGAAGGTTAATGAAAATAATGCCACTTGATAATGTTCACGAACATAAAGTTGTTCAATTTGCGAATTTTCGATCCTTAGGTAAAAACTTTTTCGAAAAACCAGTGACTGAAACTCGATTTTACTAGTCTACATCACAGTCCAGCTATTATTAGTAGTATTACACCTTCAAAAGAGTTCAATTGAGAAAAAAAAAAAGAAGCGCAAAATCATGGTTCCCAATCCCATATATGCAAATTGTAAAAATCCAATGTTTATTATATTTTAAATTTCACATTGAAGAAAGGTTTAAAGACACTTTAAGACAGGCTCTTTTTTATTGTGAGAAATCCTGGCCAAGGTGTTGAAATATAAAACGGCATCCGTTGTGGTTGATGTCCTGAAATTGCCCCTTGACTCCAAAACTCATACAAACAACTATAGACCAGAGCCCTGGCCTAAAACCCACAGCCATGCTTAGAATTTCCTTTTTCTTAATATTATACTGTTATACTTCAACAATCAGCTTCTTTTACAATGGGAAGAGGGAGGGGAAAGCAGCTGGTAATGTAGTCTGCATGCAAAAACTCCATATTGATATTGACATTTGGGCAGCTGGTGGGTAAAAAATATGAACTCATTTTTTATGCACTATACAATATTTGAGATTCTGAACAACTTTAGCCTTAAGCTGTATTTTAATCTTTTTACTCTCTCCATAAACATTAATACCCACACAAGCAAAGTAATTGACCCTGCCTAACAACATCAATCCCTATAGTCACCTGCTTCAAATGTTTGTTTCTTTAAAAATTGTTATGTCTATTCAAGTCAAGAATTTTAAAAACCGTAGTGTATACAAAATTGTTATGAAGTAGAGAAGCATGTTTATGGATTCATGTAAAGCTGTTTTCTTTTATTATGGTTAAGCACATTAAGCACAAAGTGGTGTTTTCAGTTATTGATAGAAAAAATATTTTACAATCATAAAAAGAAATAGCTTCAAGGTTATGAGCAAACTCTATGTCAATGTAATTAGCTTATTTATCCAATATTTTCAACAAGTTAGAATATGGTATATATTATTTTGCAAATATGATATGCAACTATTTGGCACAAATTCATAATGAATGATTTTGGTTGGTGGAGGTGTGGTATATAGTAACTTCCTGTTAGTTCATCACCCCATACTTTAAAAAAAAAATTTTTTACCATGGGTGAATGTGGTTTATTGCTAGTTTTGAGAAAAAAATATTAAGGATTTTTCATGGAAGACACTCTTGCTTTTCAACAGACATAAAATGAAACTCAATATCCAGTCAGCATTCACCACTTTAAAATGTTGACAGCTAGGCCATGAGGCACACAACTATCATTTTCATTTGTACCTGACTTTAGTAGCTGTAGACTGTAGCATTAAGTGCCAGTGACAACCCACACCACACACTGTGTATATTAATGCATTAGATAACATGAAATAACCTTAGACTGCAAGAAGTGTAAAGCAACTTAGCCATTAAAATATAGCATGATAATGACTTTGCTGTGTAATAAATAATATATGCATGTCCCCAACATAAAGGCATGCCAATCTTCGCAACTTTAGGAAATTTGACAGTAATTGGTGGTTTAAGGCAGGGACCAATAATAGCTGCAGGTGAGGAATATAAACTTTAATAACACACTTATATAGATAAAATAAAGTACTGATTTGTCAGTGCACCATACAAAACAAATCTGACCATACAAGAGCAAACAGTGCCTTATTAACTTCACTGATACACATCAACATCAAAATACTGATGACCTTTTATAGGTACATGAACATGTTATTTATGAACGTTATTCACTTGGGTCCTTTTCTGACCTGCTGTGTAAATCCAATGGGATCAAACAGAATTACTGCGAATTGCATGCTTGAAGCACTTCGATTATACCATTATCAGTAACGGTGTATTTAATAAAATGCTGACCTTTGAGGATAATCGACATGCGGTTAGCCCGGATTGGCAGAAAGGAACTAAATTGCATTGAAATATGCAAATTGTCTCGTTTCTTTTAAGAAAGCATGTGCATGAAATACACAAATTCGGCAATTACAAATTTAAATCCCTACCGCTAGTGTTTAAAGCATACAGCATACTAAGGTTATCGCGTCTACATAACTTACGCAGGTTTATCCCTTAGTCAACTTTTAAGCAGTATTAATTTAACGACATTGATTTCGAAGACGATGAACAACCTGCCTCTACTAGGACTGCAGCTGCTTGCTCAGAAAATACTGAATGGCTGTAACTACTTAATGCACTATAAACGTTATACGTGATCTAGTTTGTTAGCAGTAAGTTCTCCACGCAAAACCATACCTTGCTATTTGGCGATGCTTTCTTGAACACCCTGTAAATTTAAGGAGCATATATAGGTATACAAGCGACAGATAACATATATTGAACGCTATTATAATAAAAAAACAAATTGAAAACGGCACACGGCTTATTATGTCTAAAGCTCTCGTTGCGAAAAGCTTATAAACACAGCCAATGTAAGTTTTAAAACAACTTATAATTTTGCACTTCTTATACTAAAACCTTGCAACATCGAAATAGCAATTGATGCGAACAAGGTGTGTATAATTTGGAGAGTATTTAATGAATGAACGTTACGGTACAAACAGCAAAACTAGCTACATCATAATTTGAAGCGAATAAGACAAATGCGATCAAAGCTTCCTCCTACCTTGTACCACCGCTTCTAGATTTACTAGTTTGTTCATTTGTACTCGGTGTACTGCCTTCAACGCTTGTCGTAGCCATTATTTAATACACAAACAACGATGCTAAACAATTCGATTGAATAATACAGCTTCCCAAGTCCCTTGTGGAAAGAATTCTCGAAATTGTGAAATGTATCAAATAAAGCGTGGCGATGTTTCTAATCAATGTTCATCAGCATCTGTAGAACATAAACACGTACAATTGTAGGGGGATCTTTATCAAAATGTCACTGCTGCACATGAGGGCGTTATACTCGATATTACCGACAAAACCAAACAGCAATATATCTTCGAAATGAATCAGAATCGGGCTGTTAAATAGCCAACCCTGTCAGTTCGGGCATATTTGATCTGGATTACATCCTTGGCCAGCATGTCACAACGCACCCCAAAAAGCATGCGCAAAAACGGCACTTAATGTACAGTGCACCGCGAGAATGTCTGGTGCGTGCATGGCGTATATATAAACGTGCTTTGTCAAAGCCTGTTGGAATTTTGGCCCTGTCCTACCTGTCTACACAATGCCGGAAGAATTTGAAAACGCAAAAATATTTCTCCGTTAAAATATTTATCCACGTCCACACGTAAACACAAAAACGATCCGAAAACGCTAAAGTTATTTGATCCCGCAACACACCTGCATGTTTTGCACCCACGTGTCAGAGGTTGGATGTCGAATTGAAAACAATTAAGAATCTACCAAATTCAAAGTGAAAAACAAAAATGAAGACTTTGTTTGGACAGGCTGACGACAAGCCCGAACTCATAAATATTGTTTTTAAGTATCTATCAGTAAATGCATGTCGTGTATAAGAAATTGTGTATAACCATACTCCGACATTTTGGACATTTTTTCTTGTAAAATACTTTCGCAAATGCTAAAAGAATTAAATTGGGGAAGATTTTACTCACTATGAAAATAACTTAAATAGGACTTATTTGAGGCTAATATAGCAATATAAAGTTGAGCATAAGCCACCAGACTTGAAACAAGCCTCATGAACGACCATCATCGACTTGATACGTGACATCATCGTTTTCAAATTTATCCGACAAAGCTGTCCACACGTATCCGCTCAGCCGTCGTTTTCAAATTCTTCCACTCTGGAGGGCGCTTTCAGATTCTTCCGTTTTCACGACGTATCCGTAAAAATATTCTTGCGTTTTCAAATTCCGGCTTCCGGCATTGCTGTTTCAAATGTTTCCGATGATAGCGTTCCCCAACAGGAGTTAAGCCCAGCGAGAAATGAAATGGTCCTACAACAGTACCTGGGAATAATTAAAATTGCCTTATTATGTACTTTTCAGGTCACGCATATCAGATATACGTATTAGGTTATGAGTGATTAACCATTCAGAACTTGTACAATTCTTGTACCCATAGTCCATAGATATATATATGCTTGTACACAACAAGGCTCTCATCTCCTATCAGTGCAGACTGCTTCTTTCGGATCCACCTGCTATGAGGGCAGCGCTGCACGTGCCTTCTGGCGCGGCCCTTTTTCTATCACACAATCCTGATTTTAGGCTACCTGTCAAAACTGATTACATTATTGACTATTTTAGATAGATACATTCAGATATATAATACATCCAGACCATCCACAAACTAGCCTGTGCACAGCCTGACTGATTACGCTCGTAATACAGTCTGCGAAAACAAGTGAACTTAAATAAGACTGGAACGCTAGCTCTCTGACTTTCCCTCATTAATGAGTGAAGCCAAGATGGCGGTCGGCGGAACATGAAGGTAGGTATGTTCTTGTAGGTATGATCCACCAGTCCTATTTGAGTTCACTGTGATCCACTGATCCAGGACACACCTGGCCACGGACGCAGAAATTTCGGGGAACGAGATGCTTATTGGATAGTGCGTATGCGTATTGGATACGCAATGCGATAGAGTGCACCTTGGCTACATCTCCATCGCACAATCCAAATATTTTGCTTGATACTTATAAGCTACGGGAAATTATTTATATGCTGCCTGGACTTTAAAATATTCATACAAATGTTACAATGTCATTCGCTGTCAATGCTATCGTCGACTATTGAGTAAACTCGAGTCCGTAGTCCGTACGTGCATGCGAGTTTATGATTATCAATAAGCTTCAATCCGACAATTTCAATTTTTCTTGCTTCCTTTATAACGGTTCTTGTTGTAAATTGCAAACATTTACTTTGTAATAATAATTCTTAATAAAAGACAACATTAAATGGGCGGTTATGGGCTGTTAACATTAGAAAACATTTTGTGCCAGGCCTCTCGCGGGTGTTTCATTCGGTGACGTCACGGATTTTAAAACCCGCACAGTGAGGCCTATATAGGGACTAGGCTGATCACATCACAGTGTATAAATGTCCTGGGTACGAGGTAAGAAGGGTTCAAATAAAAGAAAATCGAAAATCAAGGCTCACTACTGGGGCTGACACACAGGGCCTACTGGGTAAACGCACCAATGACTGTAGTTAAAATGCCCTGAATCTATTTCATAGTTTCAGCGGCTTGGCAAATGAAACGAGTGAGAAAAAATTTCGTCATAACACACAGTTGTAGCAGACCGAGCGAAATTGTTTAAGTATTTTACTGCGTTTGTATATAATTACATGCTGTCTAAGACTGAGGAAAAACACTATCACCAATCAATATTGATGGAAACTTCTATGACAAGCTTTAACATTTTATTTAGACTATGAAAAATGTGATTAAAGAAAGTATCGAAATCGTTTGTTATGTATCGCATTCAACGCCTCTTACTTAATTATAAAAATCACAAAACCAATTTAACTGTAGAGAACCTTCGAAGTTTGAACAAAGCATTTTATACATCGGTGCACAGTTAGTGATTACAAGCACTGATGATAGAAATTCTCGAATCCTGATCTTTAGATAAGTGTCTGAACAGTGTTGTGATTCCCTACTAAATATGATAATGAACTAACATTTTTTTCATACGAACATTGTAATATAGCTTTGGTGCAATCGGCTAAATTTCTTATTTCTTGCTATTAAATACACTTGCAAAAAAATGAATATCATTCATTGTCATCATGTACGCTTATATTCAAGATTTACATTTACTACGTTCATCAAATTGAGTATTTTACTCTGGCTCATCGAATTGAGCTTTTTATAGTCCGCAAACGTACATTTACTTGACTTTTTTCCCCTAAAAACAAAGGGCTATCGCACCCCCTGACCCCGACCTTATTATGCTCCTGCAATGTTGTAGCCTGGGGAATAGGATGTCAAAATTAGTACTAAATGGCGTTGACGTCATTTAGTCGACTGAACTAGAAAACGTAGATACAATCTCAAACAGGTCGCAGTCTGGCCGCTTCTTCAATTAAGGTCTAATCAAATCGAACTCTACTGACGAAGACGACGAATTTGATGCAATCTTATCATTTTAACATCATTTGGAGTGGCCATTCTTTCATTTCTTTGAAACATTTCTAAATTTGGGAAACCGGTTGACATATCGAAAGGCTCTCAGACTAATACACAACTGACCGTGCATGGTGCCATTTTGAAAGAAATAACAAAAAGAGATTAAAATCATAACTATAAACCCAATATTGATCAATCAGATTTTGGATTAGCATTATTCTTACCAGTACTCGCTTCGTCTTATAATATTTTATTAATTATAGGATTAGACATAATTATAGTAACCAGTGCATGCACGTTGTTTTACTCATTACTTTCCCTAACCATACCAAATCTTAATGAGCAGAAAAGCTAGTACAAACTAGTATTTAGAATACAAAAAATAGAGCATAAAAGAACTATTAAGAATCATGTGATTGATTTTAAGATCGGGAAGAAAAGTTTGCATTGTTTTTAAAGCTACTCTTAAATAAATTTATTCCTTCCGTTCTCAGAGCTTTGTTCCTCCAGAAGAATATGACTGGGTTAAGTGTCGTACTCAAAATAATTAAAACAGAAAAATATCTCCTTAGCACGACGGCCGAGAAACCATCATTCATTTCCAATCTGCTAATATTAGAGATAGATGCAGGTAGAAGACAGGCAAGACAGCTAGTTATCACTAAGAAACAAGACTTTGCGAGTTTCAAATCTTGTTTCAACTTCCATCTTTGTCTGTTGTGATGCACGTTGTTGGCACAATGAACTCGATTCCTCAAACGAGAGAAGAAGATTCTTGTGTAGACAATAACAGTGGATGCAATGAAAAGCATCGTTAATGCAGTGGCGATAAAAGGAATTATTCCGGTGTAGATTAGGCCGAAGCCAACGAGGATGGTTTGTAAACAACAAAAGGCGAGTGTGTAGATTATCAGACCAGTTGATGTCACTTTGGTTCGGTGAATCAAAGGATGAAGAATAGCCATGTATCTTTCAAAATTCAACGTCGACATCGTCACAACACAATACATGTATGCGAGTACTCCCAATTTCTTCGAGATCATAAATATAACACAATTCGGTTGTCTTCTAATCTCGCTTTGTAGGAGAAAAATGAACAAAGGCGTACAAAGCAGTCCCATCACAAGGTCCGCAACGCATTTAATTATAACAGCGAAACTCGACACTTTTCGTTTTAGTACTCGAGATCTGCAAATCGCTGTAATGGTAACAGCATTCAAAAGCACAGAGGGGAATAACAGAATCAGACTCACGGTGAACATAATAAAATGAGTAATCAGGTTTACCTTGGAAGGAAATGCAACGATTATTACATCATGGTCATTCAATGCATAGCAGGTTTTGGTGAAAGTTGTCGAGTTGATTTTGTAATTATCATTTAACATGACTCCCTCCATTTCGATCAGAGATACAATGTTTTCGATCAGAGATACAGTGTTTGTGAGCAGACTAAATGATTAAACTTTAGAATCATGTGAATTAATGTGCTTAATGATTATATATAGATCACAATCAACTCTCTTCCATGCAGGTTTGAACTTCACAGACAAATTTATCTGCAAAGCGCATCTTTTTGACGTCAAGTTGATTAAAACAATTTCCCTATGTCACTTTGTCAAATGTTTTTGAAGAAACTTCTAAAAATTTCTCGAATGTAGAGAATGCGTTTGAAACATAATATTGCGCCTATAGAAGGCTTTCTTCATGTCATTAAGGCATAAATGTAAACCACTTTTAAACACTCGACAAATATGCCACAAGGAACTAAAAAAAGGCACAGATGGGAGAAGTAAGAATTTCTAACGGCAGAAGTAAGGATTTCTATACGTTTTTAGTCCCTCCGCTTTACAGTAAGTCTGCTTTAAATTCAAAAAATTTTAATACCTGCCGTGCGTAAAGCCCTTGTACGAGAAAAATACACAAAAGCCCGGCCAGAGAGACGCTATTTCTTCAATGCATTTCACAACAACAAGGAGCCTCTAATGGAACAGTCCTGACATGTTTAGCGCCCAAATGTAGGGATGGCCGATATTTCGAAGAGCTCGTGTCTTCCGTTTATTAGTACAAATGTTCCACAGTAACGTCAAGAGATGCAAACAATTTTATTCTTCAAATGCACATTTCAGTTTTGAACTAATTTCAGCCAAATTGCATATTTCGTTAAATTACATACATATTGTGTTCCGTTGAGCTACATGCTATATTTCAATTCAGCTCAGGTATACATCGCTCTTATACTCTGAGCGTAAAATGTCGCAATGTTCCGGCGTTTTAACTTGAGAGATTGAGTCACAAGGTCAGTTTCAGGAGTCCACGCTTCTTTGCACAATTTTATCTTCTTCGGGATTTCGAACTTCTCAAGTTTTTCTGAAAAACATTATTGAGTAGTAAAAGACCAGAATAGTTAATCCTGACAAAATTACGGACTGTTCATACGTTGGAAGCAAGTGACCAATATCCAAATATAACAAGATGACCGACAATACACAATAGACATTTCTCATAATGACGTCAAACGCGGAAAGCCTGATGTCACACGAAGTTTGATTGCCCGCGCAAAACTAACGAGCGAATGAAACTTCGTGTAACATTAGGCTCAGCGTTAGATGTCTATTTCGGTAACTTCGATTATGTATTTGGTCTGGGATTATTGGCTCAAAGATTGTGAGAGTAAAGCTTTCACATGCCTAATGACGTAATATTTGGAAGGGTGATATTATCTAGTACTTTCGCGTGTATGGCAATGAGCTAAAACCAAGGCTATTCTCTGAGGTAAATGTACCTGAAGTAGGATATATTCAGCGAGACTTACCAGTTTTTCCAGTAGTTTCGATTTCTTGCAATACTTTGTTGACAACGATCGGGTTCTCACACAGAGCTTCCATGTCATTTGGATTAAGATTGAGAGACTTTGCCAACGCAGCTAATTCCTTCGCACGAGGCACGACCAATGCTACAGCATAGGAACTTCCTGCATCTGCGTAGACGCAGACACTTTCCACGAGACAGCATCGTGACAACACCGATTCGACTTTCCCCAAAGCAACGTACTCGCCGGCATGAAGTTTGACCAAGTCCTTTTTGCGATCTGCGATAAAACACTCGGCATGCTGAGTATGTTAAACAAACCTAACGCATTATGAAATCGAAACGCCTTTGCGAAGCAGTAAGATAAGCATTCCCTGTGAGAACCACAATGCTTGTCATGATCATTCTCAAGCTGACTTATGGAAGTTTTGTATTTATTGTCATTCAGAAGCTCTAGACGACGTCATGCAAAAGGTCTATTGCAATAACGAACAGACTAATGAGTAGATTCGGAGTTTACAGGTCGTCGTGTTACACCATAGAAATCATAGTGTCTATTATTTCTATGCGTTGCACCCACTACAGTATGAAACCCGTTCTACACAGATCGAGGTCAGAGTGGTACCGTTTCTTTCCTTCGCTCCTTTTTTACTACAAACATGCACTTACCTATGATCCTTAAACAACCATCCGGATCCAGTTCCCCAATATCACCAGTATGGAACCATCGTTGACCATTCCTATCGACATAAAAACTTTCCTTGGTCTTCTCGGGCATTTTAAAATAGCCCATGGTGATGTTAGCTCCTCCTAAAACGACTTCGCCTCGTGGATTTGGCTTATCGTACGGAGTGTAGCCACCTAGAGAAAATCAATTTGAGAAATACGGCTTTCGGGCAAAGGATAAACAATTGAAGTGCACTGCCACCTTAAGCCTACCATGCATTCGTCAAACTAGTCCAAATGATTCGCTGACGATTGAAAACTGTTTCAGTAGTCTCAATTTGTGAATTTTTCCGTTCAGACATTTTTGCTGGGCCTCTCAGCAGCTTAGCGAGGCGCGTGTACGCTTAGAGAGGCATATAGGGATTAGCCTACAGGCAATAAAAGGAGTAGGGGACCAAGGTGTGAGTTTATAATTTGCTACCGAAATAGAGTTCGTACATGATTTAGGAAAAACCTACCTTCCTCCCAACTTGCCAATTTCACTTCAGTACAACCAATTGGAGCTCCAGCGCGACCGCATGTTTTGTCCCATGCTGTTGATTAAAAATATGAAAATATTGTATAGATATAGATACCTATACAAGCCAAGACCTGAGTTTCTGTCATCCTGAGTAACTACGATATCTGGGTTTAGGGGTATCGACTGTTTTAATTAAGTAGGTGAGAGGCAAAATGGCCAACCATTGCTAACATTCTTCATGGAAAGGTAAAATCCGAGATCTAATATGACCGAATAGAGACAGAACTTGTAAGCGTCAAGTTTCAACTTACTATTGCTGATTGTTCCTCCGCCACAGGTCTCCGTTAAACCATAACCTTGAACAACAGGGCAACACATGCATACATTCATGAAGTATTGGGTATCTTCAGATAATGGTGCGCCCCCGCTCAACATGGATCGAACCTTGCCGCCCAGTATATTTCTTGTCTTCTTGAATATAAAGCTAGAAAAATATACGAAAGTGTGTTAGTGAATGACTCAGTTAATCACAGTAAACATGCCTCCATAAACTGAGCTTACCTGTTAATCAGAGGTGTGTCATATCCTTGCTTCACCTGGTCCACTTTGTAGTTATAACAGAATTTGAACAAAAGCCTTTTAAACCACGATCCCTCTTTAACCTTGTCGAGGACATTATGGCGGATTCGATCCATGATTGCCTAAATAGGACATGTACACTCAGGGACGTTTCGCTTAAAATTAGTCTCATTTCTAGTTTTTATTCCTATATTACATTATTTTTCTATATTAAGTCATCAACATATACAGATAGTACGAAAAAAACTAACTTGAAAATATATTTTCGACCCACATATATTACCATGATGCTTATAATAGGCACTAATTTAGTATATTTACATCAGTTATTATTAAAATTATCTTTCATTGAAAGTGTTTTATTTCATTTAGGCGTTTGCTAACTTTAAGAAAACACTGGCAAGACGGCACTGATCTATTTGTCTTACCGGAACAGCGGCCATGAGGGTTGGTTTAAGCACGCTAACGTCTCCTTTGGAACCTTTCTTGATCTTAGAAGACTACACAATAGATATAAAATGAAGCTACATTAAAGGACATGTTTTTGTCCAGGATTGTGCTTTTCCGACTTATACTCTTGCCTGCATGCATGCAATGTATATGGGCAAGCTCACCTGGTCTGCCAATGTTAAAGGCGAGGAATAACCAATAGAACTTCCTTGAGACAACATGACCAGCTCTGCACGGATAAAATGAAACAAATAGTGCATGTAAATAAATTGTCATCACATTGATTTACAGCTGATTTTTCTGCATTTTAAGCATTTTCATCGTGCGATTGAAATTTGGAAAAACTCTATCCAGTCTCCGTGCACCCACGCACCTATTCTGATCGCGGTTCACTGCAGTAGACTTTATACTTAACATTTAACAATTACGTTTCAATGTTAGCAAATACCTGCAGCGAGCTCCAGCACATGAGCTAGTGGTAAATACCCAATATAAACATCATTGCTAAACATAGAAATATTACTTATCACAATTACACCAAAATTGAATGATAGCAGAATGAATAGGTTTAGATGATTTATGGAAAGAAAGCTAGTTCCCTTGCTTTCAGTTGTAAGAATAGGCGCCTTTTGAGCCATGCGTTGTACTCATACTATTATTGATTTACTCATGAAAGAGAACAACCAGTTTACAATTACCAGAAATTTCAAAATTATATTGTCTACATGACCGTCTTGCCGCTTGCGGCAAAAAAGCAACAATCAAATTCCTAAATATTGGAATTTGCACTGCTGCATTGCACATACATATGTATAACTATAACTGTATAAGCGTGCTATTTTGAACAACTGCGTTCAAACAGGTTTTACTTTTCATACCTTTTATTTTGGACTCTATCAGTCATTCCTGCCATTGTGGCCAAGATGTTGGCATGAGAGATTATCACTCCTGTGAAAATGGGAGGAAATATTTTCATTCAAAACTTACAATGATATTAATATGCATTTTTGCTATTACTTCGACTATTTTTTGGATGAAAAACACAGACACAGACAAACATAGACAGAAGGTATGCAGAAACTAAGCAACCTGAAGCTAAGGATAAAAACATCTAGATTGGACTAGATCCTAGTAATAATTAATCAATACTATCACTTGTGAACAGTAATCTTTTTGACATAGCACAAAATAAATGAAAGCAGTTGCCCTGAAGAGCTACCACACAAGACGATTCTTAAATGTGACTTAATTGGTGGATGCAGTCACTGAGTTGAATTGGTGGCACAATCAGCAGTCTTGGAGATAATATATTCCAAGGAATTGGTTCTCAATTGGGAACATGTTTCTGTTACCGTCTCCTGTCACAGGTGTAATTTTGTCTGTGTATGTTTGCAACGTGACAAATTAAATTAAATTAAATTAAATTAAATACTCATGGTCAGGTTACTGCTTACCTTTTGGTAAACCTGTTGAGCCACTTGTATACATTATTACTGCTGTATCTTCAGGGCATGGTGGTATACGAGGCTGAGAGACTAAGTTTGAAAAATATTACAAGTTAGACTGAAAGGGCATATCCAAATGCATGGTCAAGCTAATGCATAAATATACATACATAAGGCTTTGAAGCAGAAATTTGTATACTTACTATTTTGAGATCTAGAACCAATCCTTTCAACTTCCTCCATAGATAAAACTTTGACATTACTTGGAAACACAGATAGACCACTAAGGTCCACATTCCCAATATAAATAATTGTTTTGATATTTGTCAACTGCCCTGCAACTACCTGCAGTTTCCCTAATAAATGTCCATCAGTTATAACAACTTCTACTTCAGCTTGGTTTATACCATATACAATAGCTTCATCTCCAAGTGTAGCATAGAGGGTCACAACTACAAATATAATAATGCAATAATTTATAGGAATATATCAAATGGAATAAAATTTTGGTAATAATTATAATTTTTCAAGAATTGGCATTTTTGTACAGTATAGGTAAAAGGCTATGTCCTTGTTCACATAATACTAAACAATTTCATAAAAACCTCCAGTCAAATTCAATGAGCTTGATTGGCATATATTCACACAAGTGTATTACTTATATAAGTTAAGTTCAAGTTGTGATAAGTTTAATAAGGCTTGCTGGTCTATTTTGCGCAACTTATCCTTCCCACATATGTGGCAATGTTTACTTCAGATAGTTTTATCATCTCTACCTATACATACAAAAGATCTTGATGTAATATATTACCTGGAAAGTTATAAGAAAAACAACTCTGAGCTGCAATCATCCATTCTGCTCTTGTATCCGCAAATATGACAACATTTTGTTTAGTCCTTTGACCAAGGGCCAATAATCCACAGCCAAATGATTCAACTTTAGTAAGCACTTCGTTATAACTCAACCAATTATAATTTCCAAGCACTACTTTATTAAATACTCTTCCATTCGCCTGCATTTCATTTTCAGAGCTAAGAAGTTCTCTGGTTCCAAGACATCTTTTAGGGCCATGGTTTGAAACAGTATTTCTAAACAGCAATGTTCATATGATTGATAAAAAACATTTTTAAAGCAATTCTTTGTAAACGTGCAATATAAAACACCAGCCTATCACATGTGGAGAAATGGTTATTCAAATCCTCATTAGTAATAGAGTATATATAGTAATTTAATTGCTCTTCAAGAATATGACTGATTTAATCTCAGTCTTTATATTGCCAATATATATAACTTTAGACAAATTCACTTGTAAGTATTAGTGGTGTATTAGTATGTATTAATTACTTTCCTGAGTTATGAAATTATGAATTAATGCAAAGTACCATGTTATGTCACATAAAGCTTTAAAACTTGGAGCAAAAGCCTAAAATGTTGCTGTACTAATTGGGCAACAATAAATTATGGTAACACACAGCAAGATGTGAAGTGATTATACTGAGTCACTGACTACTAGTAATTGGACCTTGTACCCTAACCCCACCTACATTGCACTGTGATTGCACTTTGGAACATGAGTCAACATTTAATATATGTTTTGAAATATTTATAAATTTGAGCAAATATTTATGCAATATATGTCCCAATTTCCAAATGTATACAATATTTTACCATTTACCAATGTGTGCTCTCCACACATGATTAAAAAAATCCCTTGCCCTTGGCCTTGAAATACAATAGCCTGAATGGCTCAAACTTGGCTTCACAGAACTATTTATTAAGAAGCTCTTGGGTGAAGAGTTGAGTAGAGAAAACTTTGAATCAAAATCAATCAATGCACTTAAAACATTCCACAACTAACAAATTGATAAACAAAGTAAACGTGTTTTAACGTGGTAAAACTTCAGTAAAATTGTATGCCGGTTATTAAAAGTGAATGCTTCGAGGATAAAACCGATTCAACAACCAATGAACACCTGTATACTGTACGCTATTGTGCAAAATACAGTATATATTATATGTACAAAAATGTTGAAACTTCTACTCTTCACAATAGCAAAGATATCACAATATATAAATAATTTGTCAATTCAAAAATAAACCGATGTTACAACTTAAATTATTGACAGTAGATGATAGTTGACGCACTGCTAAAACATCTGCACGCATTGCATGTTGTCTTTTCCGGATGTCTTAGAATCATAAACTAGCCGGATGAATGACCTCCGACTTCGTAACAAGGTTATCGTTTTGTCATTTAAACAGAATTCATTCTTTGAATGGAAGAAACAATGATAAATTCCTTTTTTTAATCTTTTATAGTACGTGTATAAGTAGATTCTAAATATCAACTTTACTTTCAATATTTAGCCTGTTTGATTGACCATATGGAACTCATTTGTTAGTAACAAAAGACAAAGTAAGTCAACTCACCTGAACAACTTGTCTAAAGTATATACCCCATTAACTGGGGTCCGCAAAATGTTCTGATAATGCTCCACGCATCTGTAAGACGCGCTGGGATCTCTTGAAACAGTAGGCCTAGCTTGTATTTCATCGCGTCGCTGCTTCGCGCCATACAAGATATACCACGGATAAAATGAAATAAAACCCCAACAAGAAGCGAAGAAGTTTAGAATGTAGATAATAGGCCCTTCGGCCAAATCGAGAATCATGTTCCCTGTAAAAGAACTGCTTGGTTAATGCGTTTTCACTTGACTTAGCCAGTCATGTCAAGTTATCACTATGAAGTATGGATCGATCGATAGCCGGAACAAAGTCCAGTTCAGAGTCCATTGTGCACGTCAGCTGGGCTCGCATTTCCTACTAGCTTGAATTCCTTAAGATGTAGTCTAAGTTTCCTTATTTTTGGTAAAATTTCCCGATAATTTGGCCTTTTCACCGTGTGACAGTTTTTTTGTATTTTTGAAATAACTTTTACTTTAGCCTTAAAACGTTAACACCAGAATGACAAGATTACGACATAGGGTTTCTTTTTCATCATTGGAAATGTCAAATTGGTCACTAGTATAATGAAGGGGGTTGGCCAACCTCGTTCCCAGGGCCAATTTCAAAAGAGGGGGAGTGAGTGGCCTCAGAGGGGTTGAGCCCGCTTTGCTGAAATTTCATGACCAGTGCTTTTTATCAGGCGGATCTTTCTCTCTTCTTGCAGTTTTGTTTGTGTTTGTTTTTGCTTAAATCTCTTTTCCAATAATTGTCACTTGTGAGAATAGCAACTAGTAGATGCTTAACTAATAACAGGAATTGCTTCTAATAAACTCTGAAAACTATAATGGCATTTAGAATTACCCGAATTGTTGTTTTGTTTGCTGTTTTTAACACGTGATGCTTAAAATTGTTTCAAGCAGCTTGACTTAATGAACTATAAGTCTTTTATGACAGTTTTGGGAATTCAGAAATTCCGATATTTACCTCTTTTAAAAATGCCTTACAAAAGAAAAATATCAAATTTCCAACTGTTTTAAAAGTACATCTCCTGTGACGCTTACGTCAGTTGGCACGTGACGCTCTATTGGAAATCGCCGTATATATAAGTTGCATAACGCAACCAGATCAGTGAACGCAACGTACAAACCATAGATAAAAACTGAATATTTTTCGACAGATGCAGGTGACTACGTAAAGAGATGTCTGCGGAGGAGATTAGGACAAACCGCGCATGCTGCCAGCAGGAGCAAGGAATGCCAAAAATGGCAATCGCACCACACAAGAAATGCAACTAATAACCTTCAAGAATAGAAAAATCGTGTACAGAAAATCCTCACTCAGACACAAAAAACATCTAACGAAAAGAAAAAACGAGGGGACGAAGTTTAATACAGTAGTGCCCTTTAGAACGCATCGTTCTGACGTCCTGGTTAACCGAAATAAAGATATTTTGCGTTAAAACGTCTAATAATAGTTTATCTAGTCTATTTAATCATGTATTCTTTGTGCAGTCTTATTTTTATCAACATTATCTATTTTTCCGAAGGCTAAAAACAGAAGCATACTTTTCTTGGAACCAAATAGTAGGAACCACCACCCCACTACTAATGTTGATAATTAATAATCCATTATTATAATTAATAATACCGCATTAGCAGTAGAAAACTATGCACCGGCGAAGACCAGCTTTGGAAGCTAAACAAATGTTTGTTGCAAGCCAAGTTATTTTTCAGGTAATATTGTTAGTATTTGTATTATGGACAGAGATCATATTCCAGGTCTCAGTTAGAACTCAGAGATTAAGATCCAATATTAACGCAGCTAGCACCAACACCCTCCTTCTTGTTGCGTGTTTTCTTGTGGCGTGTCTTTTAGTTTTACTTCAACTAAATCTTTGTTTGGTTTCTCTGCAGTATTTTCCATCCCTGGTAAGGCTGCTGCAACTCTTCGAAAAAGCTAGAAAATGCAATTATGAATTATCCAAGTTAAGTTAAAGTTGAACGACGGGACCGAAGTTAACAAGGGTGCACCACTTATAGGGAAAAATGTCCTTAACACCCGACATGAAAGTTTCTTCTGCATGCGAATTAAATCCTAACACAAAAGAAAACATCACCGTTCTATCCCGTCCTGAGGATAATCTACCAGAATGAGAACCAGCCTAACCATTAAACTTCATCACAGAGAAAACTCAAAAAGCTCATTTAACTTTACTTTAAGTTCAAAAATAATAATAATTGCATTCAAATAGGTCACCCGACCCAATTATACATGCAATCATATGGTAAGCATGGTTTTTACTCTAGATATGTAGGTATATAATACCCATGTAAATGGTGTAAGTAAAAATGATATATTTATGTATGGTAGCCTTGACTGGTATCCATAAGGGCCCTGACCCTACATTTACAGACTAAATAAAAAACTATTAGCTATTATTCAAGTGATATTACATCATGTATGATGTACAGTACCTGCTTGACATTGTATCCTGCTTTTGCACTTGTTTCAATAAACATTACATTTAATTCTTTGGACTTCCTCTCACCTTCTTCACTTGTCACTTGCCTACATTATTAAAAGTGTGTATTTAAAACCATAATTTTTCCTTCTGAAATCAAGTGTGTTCATAGCCTGAAAAGGACTTTATACAAAATATATCAACATACCTTTTATCTGAAAGATCCGTTTTGTTACCAACAAGCATGATAATTACATCATTCCCCCTCTCAGTTCTAACATCATCAATCCATTTATTTGTTTGTTGAAATGAATTATAATCTAAAAAGGCAAAATACATTATAATCTAAAAGCACAGTGGGCATTGATAATTTCCTGACTTACTAAAGCAAACAACCATATACATGGGAAAAGAGCAGTCATATTTATGTAACAATTTAAAATGTGGTCCAACCAAATTCTAGATAAATTATGCTCAAATTTTACTCACAAGAATAAAGTATGTTATTTAATACTTCTTATGTTCATTAAATAATCTCCTGGTTTAGTAATGTATTCTATAAAGTTAAAAAACAAATTTTCACTCTGCCATACTTGTAATGTCGTAGACAACTACAGCCACAGTTGAATCTCGGATGTAACTTGGTATCAAGCTTCTAAAACGCTCTTGCCCAGCAGTGTCCCATAGTTGCAAGCGGACCTTAAAAAATACACAGTAAATGTTATATTTCCATGTCTAAAAAGCTGATATTTGCATTATTTAATTTTATTTACTCACTGTTCGGTCCTCCAGATACATTGTCTTTGAGAGGAAGTCAATTCCAATAGTTGCCTGGTTAAAATGTTTATACATTTGATATAGGTTAATCCAAATTATACTTGATCAATGAATACAATGATAGACAATCAAAATAGTGAAAACTATCATTATGACTTCCATGTGGTAATTCATGTTAGATAAATTGTCAGATATAAATTGGTAAATAAACTGCAAGAAATTTCAAAAAAGTCTGACAAGTCCAGTCTATTGAATTTTTTGCTTCTTAAAGCTGCTTAATTATTTTACTTCAGAATTTTGCTGTTAAACAAGGCAAAATAAGAAGCAAAAACATATTCAAAAGCTATTGCGCCCATACCAGTATATGTATTTTTGACACATCATTCGATTACATGCAGCTTTTGGGGTAGGCTCATAAGTCATAAAAACTAGATGGTCTAGACAAGCAGGCTGACTATACCATGTTTCCATGAACTAATTTTTTTTTAATTAAAAGGGCCATAGCAAGTAGTTGAAGGTGAACTTTATTTCACTGTTAATTAAAAATACAGTAGTTTACAGATTACAAATTTATAAATTTGCATGTAACAATGCAGGGCAAGTTTGACAATAATAAATAGGCCTATACATACATTGAATAATAAAACAATTAGTTTTTCCAATAAATTAGCAGACTAACAAAACACTACTGATATGGCAAGTGCATATTTTATGAACCAAGTTTTATGCATGAGAGAAACACCTCAACAATATCAATAAGCCGTTCATTCACCAACAAGTTCATTAATACTTCACCTGATATGTATTGTCAAAACTGTCATACATAAACCTTGTGATTAGGGATGTTTTACCAACTGAAACACAAAAGACAGATTTAAAATTCCAAACAATTTCCGACCCCACAAATCCAAGATATAGCACAAAACGTCAAAATCTGAATATAATATTAGGTCCAACTGGTTGTTGACATATCAAAGAAGCAAATTCTCACCGCTCTGTTCACCGAGGAAAACTAGTTTAAATTTTCTCAAAGGATTGCCAAAATCTGATGCCATGTTCCTTGATTTTCCAGCAACCGTATCTTGCCTAAAATAATGCTACGGTATGGCCAGTGTCGTCTAAAATTAGGTAAAAATTCCTTTCTATTGGGTCATTTCAGCCACGTTGATGGATTCGATCGTTCAAAGTTCTCGTTGACCGAACTTTAATGCGCATGCGCAGCGTTAATATTAAGGTGTGTCCGAATTTTGTGATTGACCAATTTTTTTGACCACAAATTTTAATAATGATCATTATCCTGACTTCTTCATTGACGGGCGATTCTTTAGGTTTCTGATTAGGGGATGTTTCAATTCAACTTAAGAAACTGCCAGTAATTCAACATTTTAGAAGTGCAATCCTCCTACCTGCATATACGAATTATAATGCTTTACCGTAATTTTTTTAGCCAATGTTATGGCATAACTGAAAAGCTACCTTCAAGGCTTCAAGCTACCTTCAACCTGGGCTTGAGGACCAAACATGCTCTTGCTGTTCGCACAACTTACAGTAAGAGGTCATTAGAGACTGGGAAACAGAAGATCAATTTACAATTCAGTTACTTGAAGCAGACTACCAGTAGTCTCAATTGTATGTTTGGAAATTTAATAATACGTTGTTTCAACTTTCAAAGAAAAAGTGCTGATAAATTGTGTTAAGGCAAATGATCACTGTTGTTGTGACATTCGAATTCCAATGACATCATTTCAACCATTTCAACTCTTTAGTTGAATGAGTACTGGTACTAGGCATACTGGCACATTTGGAAGGCACCTCCGTTTTGAAATACGGATCTTTAATTAATCAACATTTCAATACTGTACCATTACCTAAATCAATAAAATCATTGCCAGGTTGGGGGTTGGCCACTGTTTCTGAAAAGGCTGTAGAACTGAAGATCGTATGACGTCATTGGATAATTAAAAGATGTAAACAAATATGACGTCTAGTGGCGTGATGGAACTTGTCTTTTATTGGCCTCTTTCAAACACCACGCACTTAAAGTACGTCGATTGTTGTAAATATTGTCTTTTTACTGTATGTTAACATGTTAACATAGAATATAAATCTCCCGGAGGAAGTGTGTCTTGATAACGGATGGAATATCAAGGTTTTGTTTTATTTTATTGCTAAACATGTCACAATAATTTTGTGACTTAATGGAGGCTGCCAGGCTGGCAGTATTATGCCTGTATATTTTGTAAAAATGAAGATAAGTATACTATAAATCTATACTAATTTATAAACACGCAGAAGGGCTAAAATGGGATCATATTATATCGAATCAGATTACGAATATCTGCCAGGACTGTTCAGTTCATTGACAGAGGTATTATCAGAAAATAGGCAATATTATGCGAGAATGGACGACAGTGGAAAATTCGAGAAATTCTCGCAATGCTTCGAAGATTTGCTAGAGATTACAGCAAAAACTTTAAAGTTGCTCCTAGAAGTTGCTGCTGTCTCACCGCTTTTTGATTATGATCCCAACATCAAGGGCAATGGCTACAGGACAATAGTCAGGGTGGTTGAGCTGTGTTTTAGACGTCTGCATTCATTGGGACTGTATTTTCAGGAGAACAGGGACGGACTGCTTTTTCGTTCAGATCATTACTATAAGGAAATTGTGAGCTATCTAGACTTGTCTAAAGGCTTATTTAAGTTCTTGGAGTTTGCGAAGCTTCTCTTAGAATGGAGCAATGGGAACGATTTATTCCCCCCTGAAGATTGTTATGATGCCAAGACAATGACTGAGTGTCACCTACATGAAATGGAAAAAGAGTGTTTCTATGGTAGACGTCTTGGATTTCATGTAAGCATTATTAGGAATATTAAAAGGTTGTAAATTAGGTTATTATATTCAATTTAAATTCTGTAAGGTTGATGGGAGTTTCGAGAGAAAAATGTCTAAATGCTTTTTTAAACCAAATATGTAACATGTAGTTTATATTTTAGTTCAACACTGCATTAAGAGGATTTTTAACCACTGTGTGCATCACTATGGCATCTTTTGGAGATGGTTATGAGAAACATGATGGATCCTTTACAGTAGCTGCAGCATCATTATTGAATGGCCCAAAATATTTGGTTAATCCGGACTTGAGAGCAAAAAAACTTATTTCTCTCAGTACACTTGTTGATATTGAATTTTGTAAAGCATTTTGGTCTCTTACAGAACGTTATGGTTTTCAGGTAAGTTTTACCCAGGCAGATCCAGATTTACACTCACAGTGAATGAAAAGAAAATATGATAGGAATATGTTCTATATATAATAGTATTATTATAATGATATGACCTGAAATTAAGTACTTATATGTAAGTACTTACGTAATTATACATAATTATATGTGATATTAAGTACTATCAGTAATTATCAATAATGAATTTGTTTTCTATTTCAGCACTTCCCCTTGATTGTTTCATCAGCATTAAGGGTAAATGAATTATTCAAGATACCTCCTGAACCTATGGAAATTATTACAGAAAGTGGAGATTATGTTACTATTCCACCACCTACTTCTTGGATTGGAGAGGCACCAGTTGATGTTCATCTGTTATCATATTTATTGAGAGAAGGACAGGTTAGTAGGGTTGGTTCTTTTAAAGTATTATGGGGGCCTGGGGCAATTATCTTTCCTCTTTTTAATGCTACTGACTACTACCCAGCATATTTGTTTTTCAGAGTCGTGATAAAGAAGGCAATGCTTGCCATAACTCTCAAGCTAAGCCTAAAGCAGATGGTCTTGTTATACATATACATGGTGGAGGATTCGTTGCACAGTCTTCAAAGTCTCATGAAGTAGGTTTGGAAGCACCATTGATATGTATAATGCATTTTTTTAATAAATGAAGTGATTTAAAAATAGAAGATAAAACCATACTACAATAGTTGGTGTGTTTTATTTTTAGTTGAAGTTTTTTCATCTAAGTTTCGTACAACAGGACTCAGATTTGAATCACAATCAGAGTACATTAGATCAACTGTATACCCTGTTTATTTAGATCTACTTGAGAAGCTGGGCTAAATCGCTCAATGTCCCAATACTTTCAATAGACTATGCTTTGGCACCTGAACTTCCCTTTCCTCGGGCCTTGGAGGAATGTCTCTTTACTTATGTCTGGGCTCTCAAAAACCTAGATAGGCTTGGTACCACCGGAAGGTATATTGCCTTAGTTGGTGATTCAGCGGGTAAGTGATATAATCATTATAATGATTATTATTAAGAATTTATAAGGCAAACGTCCCACTTGATAATCCTTCATATCGTACTTAACCTCATTCAAAAACCTCATTCAAAAACTGATAAATATGAAATACCATTCTTTCTAACAGGAGGAAATCTTTCCGTATCCCTGTGTTTAAAAGCAGCTTCTCATGGGATACGACTTCCAGATGGTATCTTGACATCGTATGCTCCATTTAATGTCCAGTTCCGTCCTTCACCATCACGGCTTCTCACCCTTTTGGATCCCTTATTACCTGTTGGTATCCTCACACAGTGTCTTGCGGCGTACACTGGAACGGCAGGAAAAGACAGTGGTGATGTTTCGAAAAAAACACAGACTTTGACTGGGAGTATTCCAAGAAAGACGGAATCTCAATCATCTAGTGATGACTGCTGTTGTTCTGAAAATGAAAAGCTGTTGCCAGATTTAGTTAAGGCTAATAGGCCTGGTAGCACGCGTGTACCACATGTCGCTAGCGAATTTGACTTGGTCCATGCGCAAACGAGTCACGTGCGCATAACACGATCCCAGTCTGATAGCGTGCTGCCAGGCACAAGCCGTGACTTAGAGATGCACAAGAAAGATCTCCATGACGTTACCTCGTGTGGTCTTCTAAATGATGATCATCTCATTGCAATGGCCAAGAATCCGTTTATATCTCCCTTGGTTGCGTCGAATGAAGAGTTGGCTAAGTTGCCTCCCATTGACTTACTGGTAAGTTAATTTTTTCAGAATTAAACAGTATACATAATCGTCCGTTGTATCGCTTCTCTGGTTTAACTAATGAAGGTAATCACCACAAAAATTACATTCACCACGTGACGTTTCAACAGAGATGAGGGATCCTTATATACTCTCAACATGACGTCATGTCCACGTTATTAACATCACATCACCCCGGAGTGTCGAACTGTTGGGTCGTGGATGTGATCTTTGTGCGGCGATTACTTTCATTATTAGCGATAATAGCGATAGTAGTGAACGTGAACCGTAAATGAAATACATACCCAATAAGTTCTTTGTTTTCCTTCATTCAAATGCACCTTGTCAAAGTATATAATTATTTCTGAATTACGTTATTTAGGCGTGTACTATGGATCCATTACTTGATGATTCCATCGAGTTCGCTAAACGGCTCCGTGATGCAGGAAATAAAGTTGAACTGTACATTGTGGACGATCTTCCGCATGGTTTTCTCAACTTTTACATGGTCTGTCAGGAGGGACGAGAGGCAAACGAGTTGTGTATTGCTTGTATAAAAAAAATATTACAAGGAAAAAGAAATGTGACTGAATCGTCAACACCACCGATATATTAACATTTAATATAACACCAATAATAGTATATGACAATATGTACTTAAATATATTAGCGTGTATATAGAATAATAAATTGGTATATTTAAAACTGGAACGAATTTAGGTGTAGGACAGTATATGAGGAGCATTAATTTGTATTTATTTGTTTTAAATATAGGGTTATTCCAATTAAATAAAAAATTCATTTCCCACGGTATTGCCTGCGTCGTTCCTTACAGAGGGGAAGAACACATTCTTTTTACATTCAATAAAGGAGAACGACTTTATATCGCAAATTTTTTTTTGATTATTTACAAAGAGATTATACAGAGATTATATTTACAAAGAGATTTACAAAGGTGTATTTTTATACATAGTTCATTATCATGATGGGTTTTTCAAGAACATGCATCTTTCAACCACTTTTTTGAAATGATTTATCCGAAAACCTTTTACAAATTGATTGCTGATTTGTCAATATATATTTCTTCTATACAATCTTTATTTATCAACAAATACTTTACTGACACCATATCTACCACATAAAACATTCCTGCCAGAACTACTAATTTTAGCCAATCAAATTTTGTTGGTAATCAGATTTGTTCACTGGACTGTAACAAATGGGGTCTCCCAGAAGCAGCTGTCATGATGATCCACATGATATTGAAATTGTCTACATTTTCCGCATGTTTTTATGCCACACCGATATGAGACTCTCTCACCTTCTTGGCCGTTGTCATCACAATATTTTAATGCACAAGGATACCAACTTAAACAAAACTCATAATGACAGATACACTTGCTATGTTTATCCGCTACAGTGTCACATCTAGATACAGCAGAGTCATTACTGTTTATGGTGGTAACTGATGATAAAAGATCTTTAAAAACATTTTCGTTTCCTGCAAAATATATAAATAAATAAATGTACAATCACAATATCTCACAGGCTAAATACAACCTTTATACAGTTGTACATTTTTTGTACATGATATAAAAACATCTACCTTGGGCAATAGCTTTAATGTTTTCTACACTGGTATAAATCTTATCAGCATCTCCACACATTTGATGAACATGGCCACTGAACAAGCCAGAGTTTCCAAACGGGATCTCCTTTTCCATGACCAGAAATTCTGTCTTAAGTTCTTCTTCAGGAATGCGAATCGCTTCTGGGTTTTTCTATTGAGAGACATTGTGGGGGTTATCATAATTAAGCCTAATATCATGAGTAAATCTTGTGATTTTAGCACACCTGTCTCAACTTTGATACAGCGTCCGAAGATATAAATTCACTTGGAGAAAATTTTAAGATGAAGCATAAAGTGTGAATGGGTTTTTCACCTCTCTCCATTTCACCAAGAACTGCTGTTTTCAACACTTGTAGGCTCTGCAATTGAACAAAAACTTAATATGGCCGTAAATAACCCCCAATTTAATTAAAGCTTAAAGCTGGTTTTAAGAAAAAGATGCCCAACAATCCAGCCTAACAATCCAATGGTAGCCAAAGAATATTTGGTCGAGTTTTATTTTGCAGCCTGTGACACGAGAAAAAATCAATTATAATGTATTATAATGTGAAAACACCAAATTTATAACATGCCCAATATAAGAACAGACCTTTGAAAAATCAATCAATGCCTTGGTTTTGGTTCCATCGGGCATCGTAAAGTCAATCGTTACAATATCTTTTTCAGGATCTGCCGTAAGATATTGTCGAGTATAATGTCCGCTTCTTGTTTTTACATTTACAATAAGTTCTGGGTAAGATAAATGACTAATAAAGATTATAACGCAGAACCAAGACAGAAAGAATTTGTTTTCCGCCATATTGGAAACATTTCTCGCGATAGAATACGAAGTGTGCACGATTATCCCCGACCTAAAATGATCATTGTTCAATAAATATGCCATTTTGACCTTGGCTTACCTTCGTGCAAACATTTCACAAAGAGTGTACTAATTCATTGTACATGTCAAATTTTGCATTCTTCTATTGTGCAATAACGACATCGTTTAATTTCTTTTTTTTCCCTTTCTTTTGTCTCGTAGCTAATCGTTGCCATTTTGCGTGACAACCACACTGGACAACCACAATTTCACATCACGAACATATTCCGGGTACTACCGACGTTTATCAGCTTCCTTCTGACTGTGTTGGAAATAATTTATATGAATAGCGAGAGCGTAAAGTCGGTAAAGCGCAGTAAGGTTTAGTGTGGGTTTAGATTTCCGTTTTGCGCAATAATCAAGAAACAGATTGAACATATAATCGTTCAGGTAAGCTTAAAATTGCTTAATCGTACGATTTACAAGTTATTCCATATATTTCACTGCCACCATGCTAAATGTATTGATAGATATTTTATGCTGAAATGTGAAGGTTGTAGTATAATAGTAAACTTGAGTAGTATAAATAAGTATATAAGCTTGGTCTAAGCTCTCGTGAAAAATTTCTTATTTTGATTTGCATTTTGGAGTTTACAATCTTCTATTCCTTTGTATTATAACTAGTATTAAATAGCTAGTATTTAAAAAGGTTAGCACATAAACGACGTTGACTACATCACGGGTGTTCGTTGTGTTTGTGTTATAGATTATGTAACAACGAATACCTGGTCACTTTGCAATTTATGCATGTGCCCCCATGAGACTCTATATATTATGTAAGATCATAAAAACATAAATGTAACACGTCTTGCCGTTTGTTTAACTGTGAACCCACCTGGCATCCAGTTGTTATGCTGGGAAGCATTTGTTGATCTTGACCTTGTACTCTCTGTAGTAAATATTCTTAGCCACTGGCCATGGATCATCTTGATACCTTTATAGTGCTTTAATAGTTACAAGGCTGAAGGCAGTCAAAAACTAAACTAAACTAAATACAAAAACTAAAGTGGAATACATAACACCTACAATGGGGTCTTTGTCATACTAACTCTCCTAGCTGAGACCCTTAGGTCAAAACATCAAAATGCTTTAGTCTATTTTACATATAGTGGGCGGTTCATATTTTCTGTTAAAGCTTATTTTCATGTTTATTTATTAAAATATTTTGTATCGTTGAACATAACCCATGAGAGTAAAACTGCCATTGAGAACAATGAAGTTGTAACAGTAATTAATAAACTTATATCAATTGACTAATTGGTATTTATATTGTGAATTTCTACTAGCTGTTGAAAACATAGAGCACAATGGATGGTGCTTTAGATGAAAATGCTTCAAGTCGAAGGAAGCATTTCCATGGCAATGTTTTGAAGTCATTAGCTGAGACGTGGGAGGTATTGACAGCAGAAACAACAACTGATGCCAAACGGGAAGGACATTGTCATCCATTTGAGATCCCGGATGAACCCATTGAACAAAATGAAATGATTAAAGAGGAGATCATCAGAGAGTGGAATTGTAGGTCTCATTCAATGAGAGAAGAAGAACCTTGTACAGATCCATCTAGGAGTAGCCTGCCAAGTTATGAAACTGAGGAACGTTTGCCTTTTCAACGGGTCCTGGTTGATGGAGAAGAAGCCAGTGGTGTAAGCCTAAAATTTACATTTTTCACTTCATTGTACAAAAATTGAAAATTCTAATTCTCACATTGCCATGTACATATATAGCATGTGAGTATTTAGGTGAGGGATAGCTGTACATAAGTAATGATATTGGTATACCCTGCATAGGTACCATATAAAGACCTGCAACAGGCCTCTGAACTCTTGTCTGAAGCCTTGTACATCAGAAGTAAGTACATGGCTTTGAGCTTGCAAAATTTCTGTCCCTCCACGGAAAATATCCTCAAGACTGTCCACAATGATTATGACATTCAACGTCACTTAAAGAAGAAAGGAATGGTATCGAAATCATATGAAGATGTTGAGTGTAAGTTGATAAGAGGTTGTGTACATATTGCAAACCATTGCTGTTTCCTCCCTTATACAATGGAGACCATTCAATCCTTGCAGAAAAATTTTGTGGCTGCCTTTCTTCATGTGCACTGTTTTCTCTCCTAGTCGTTTTTCTTGTGCCTTCAATCATTTTGGGGACCCTGTTTTTTCACAGGTTTGTCACAAACAAGTAACTTATCTTTGGAGGTTTCCGAAAATCCATTTAAAGACATTGAAATTCCGAAAGATTGGGGTTACAAGTTTGACATGATTGATGGCGTTGTTCAGATCACTGGAGCAGATAAACCAGAACAAGAAAGCACGTTGTTTGAGGCAAACGGCAAAATAAAGAGACATCCACATCCAACTTTACAGGAATTTTTTGCTGATTATAATATTGTCCTTGCTCTCTGTACGCATGGACCTATGTAAGTGTCAATATGTCACTGACCTCTTTTTGGAGAACGATTTTTGCGGAACCAACACGTCGCCCAACCATCAGTCTTTTTCATAATGACGGAAAACTCCGCAAAACTAACGAGCCACTTAAACTTCGTGTAACTGACAGACTTTCCGCTTCCGGAAGGTCCATTCGTTTTTCTCCTTGTGTCCGAAGAAACAAATAGCTATATTAACGTACGCGTCGTTGCTTTTATGTAGAAAATCGTTTTGCTTTCGTCGTCTGAAGTTTCTTGAAGCTCGCTACAACCTTCATATTCTTCTTAATGAACTGAAAGAACTTGCTGAGATGAAAAAAGTCCCACACAGAGATTTCTACAATGTTAGAAAGGTATTCGTTCGGAGTTCTCAACTTAAGAGAAAAAAACTTATTCAACGGTTACAAAAAGATCATGGTATGCCGTATATGGTGCTACAGCATGCATGCTTCTTTATGATTGTGTTTAATTTGTTTAGGCACAGTATATAAGGATTAAGGGATAATGTATTAGGGACACGTTGTATGTTGGGTTGAGTGGGTCTACTCAGGGCCGTAGCTAGACCGCTTGATTGGGAGGGTGTATATTCATATATTCATGTTTATATACTGTAGGAACAATAGCGTACCAATGAAATCAGTCGGGCATAAGACGAATATTTGAATATACACCCCCCAATTAAGCTTCTAAGTACAGTCCTGGGTCTACTGGGGGAGGTCAATTCAACTTAGCTTAATGCACGACTAGAAAGAATGACACAAAAGACATTGTAAACTTATAATATGTTGCAGTAATGTATCGATATATGTTTTTTTGTTCAGGTCGACACTCACATTCACGCGTCTTCCTCGATGAATCAAAAGCATCTTTTGAGATTCATTAAGAAGAAAGTAAAGTCGTGTCCACAAGAAAAAGTATTAGAACGGAATACACAACTTTTATCCTTAGAGGAGGTCAGGTCATTTACTATTCTGTCAGTAACAAGCATTATTTTATGGTCTTTCAAAAATCCTGTTTTTTAAAACCCTTATCCGGACCGTGGTCACTTTTTCATTTTTTGTTTCACCCCACCCTATAAACACTCCTATTTTTTTCAGTTACCCCACCATTTTCCTTCTAGCTCCCAACCCCGGCTATAAGTAATGATCTGTTCCTAAGATCACCTTTTCCCCGGTCTATACTAAAAGCTGATAACTTCATCTTTTGTTTTAGGTGTTTGATTCGTTGAATTTATCTATTTATGATTTAAGTGTTGATACGTTAGATGTTCATGCAGTGAGTATATGTATCTATCTGCGTGATGATGCAATTTTACCCGTCTCCACGAAGCTGTTCTTTGTTATGCATCCATACGCAGTAATCTATTTCTATTTTCACTAAATGTTTTTCGTTTATTGTGAAATACGGATCTACGACATTTACCTTCTGAATTTGTCCAGCTGTTATTTTTTAAAGGGTCGTCAAACTTTCCATCGCTTCGACAAGTTTAATAGCAAGTACAATCCTGTTGGTGAGTTTCTCTCGGACAATTTCCATGAATTTTGAACATGCAATACCAGGAATCTTACTTGTTTTTTAGGGGAGAGCAGCTTGCGAGAAATTTTCATGAAAACGGATAATTACATCGAGGGGCGATATTTTGCTCAACTGTTAAAGGAAGTAATAGCTGACCTTGAAGAAAGCAAATATCAGAATTCCGAGCTGCGAATATCGATCTACGGTCGTTCGAAAGATGAGTGGGACAATCTCGCGAAATGGGCAATTAATAACGAAGTTTATTCCAATAACATACGATGGCTTATTCAAGTACCACGTTTGTAGTGCGTATTTTATGGTTTGCAAGAGCATTTTCGTGATAGCTAAACGTCCAGTTTGCTACTGTTTGCAGTCGTGTGTCACTCACTCGTGTACAAATGTTTATTTCTAATTATTCCACCTCGAAAGCATGCTATTTATTGCTGATACTAAACAAATTCGCACACACATTACACAGTAAAAACAAAACGATTAAAATCACCTATCAAATAGGCTATCTTAACTATAGCCTAAAGATCGTTATCACTGGTATTCATGGCTGCACCGTCCATGTGTCTGTTATTCTGCATCGATTGCTAGGCTTAGAAGTTATATGTAATAACCTCGTTTTCATGTGGTAGGAATGCCCATAAAAAGCTGCACTCATCAGAAGTAAAATCTTTTTCATTCACTTTTATTATTTTATAAGAATTTTACAACGTTAGTTACTCTGCATTTGTGTGATCCTATATAGTGATATTTATCGCTCGAAGAATTTAGTGAAGAATTTCGAAGAAATATTGGAAAATGTTTTCTTGCCAATTATGGAAGTTTCCGTGAATCCAGCGTCTCATCCCGAATTACATACGTTTCTATCCCAGGTAATTTGTTTCATATGAAGTATTCAAATTTCAGGATATAGTTATTTTAATGGCATTCCTTGGCGTTTTTCGCAAGAGTTTCGTACTATTTGGTACTAAACTATTAAATCAACGACGGTTCACACTCAACATTTCTGAAATCATAACATCTCGTCACCATTCATTTCTCTATTTGTAGGGGAATTAGACCACCAAATATTTGGGCAAAATATCAAATGTTGAAGTTAATCTTGCTCGTTAACTGGTGTGTCTCGATATTTATAGGTGATTGGTTTTGATAGTGTCGATGATGAAAGTAAACACGAGGGTGTTCTATTTCACGAAGACAGTCCGTTGCCAGCCGACTGGACTAATGAAGAAAACCCGCCTTATGCATATTATCTGTATTATATGTATTGCAATATCATGATGCTGAATCATGTGCGAAGGTGTGTTCTTCATAGTGGTGCATGCACGGTTTCAACACAGCTCACCGCAGAGTACAATAGCCTGTATGATGATTGGACGTACTGATGATGGAGGTGGAAGCATTAGGAACATTTTGAACCAAAATATTAGGAACCCACTGATTGATCTTAGAGTAATTAAAACTCTAGAGGCGTTGAAAAACACATCATTTTATATTGCGTTTCAGAGAACGAGGTTTTAACACATTCGCTTTCCGACCTCATTGTGGCGAATCTGGTGCGGCCACACATTTAGTATGTGGGTTTATGTTAGCCGAAAATATTTCACATGGATTATTGCTCAGAAAGGTAAAGATCGATTTTGATCTTGCATTCGATAACCAGCCATCTACACAAGGGAATTAAAATAACGGTATTAATTAAAAAATAATCTCAAAACATTTAATTTGGTCCTCGACTTGAGTTGATTTAAAAAAAAACAAGAGTATATACATATTAGTAATCGGTCAGAAACCGCTTTTGGTCGATCTTAAATTATTTAGCCTGGTTACAAACGCACATTACGTTGCACGCAGGCTAAAGTCATGAAGATATCACGGATATGTTACGGCCGTTATTTTGAGCCCGCCTAGTCAGGGCCCGGTGGCCAGAGGCCTTAATTGGGAGGAATATTCATGTATTCGTAATATGACCGATATAATGCCTACTCTCCAGTTAATTTATATTTTTTGTTTTTCACAGGTGCCGGCTCTACAGTATTTGTACTACCTTGCTCAAATTGGTATAGCAATGTCACCACTCAGTAACAACTCGTTGTTTCTCGACTATCATCGAAACCCGTTACCCGAGTTTTTTGCCAGAGGATTGTTAGTCTCACTTTCTACCGATGATCCTCTGCAGTTCCATTTTACTAAGGTAAGTTTCCTAACAAACATGCTTGCAAAGAGGCGTTTCCAGGATTTAACAGCAGTTATAATCATAAACATTTGAGGCGTATTTTCTATAGAGGGTTCATGTCAGCCTAGCTCTTAACTTCTTAATTGCAGTACAAGTTTTGCTCATTTAAAACGCGAGATTATTCTTTTTCGCATCACCTGTTATATCAAGTCATATAGCATGAATAGTAAGTATATTGACATACAGTATATGTATCCATTCAATCAGGAGCCGTTGATGGAAGAATACAGTATTGCTGCCCAGGTGTACAAACTCCATCCCGCTGATATGTCAGAATTAGCTCGAAATAGTGTAGTCATGAGTGGTTTTGAAGATAGGGTAAGTCGAAATTCAGGTTTCAAATTATATTTCGAGGCCGGATAATCAAGAAACTAGCTGTATTAACTGGTCTCCTGCCACTTCGTACCTGGAAGAAACAAAGTGTATGAACGACGAAAAATGCCTTTTGAAAAATCTTTTGATAATATTCGAAAACTATTTCGATACTTTTGTATGACGGAAGCATTTTCGCAGAACTGACGCAAGTTACGACACAGGAAACGGCCAGATTATACCCTGCGCTTTTCATTTCAATATAGGTAAAAACCTACTGGCTTGGTTACAATTATAAGAAAGATGGCGTTCGCGGCAACGACATTCACAAGACAAATGTCCCTGGTGTGCGCGTGTCGTTCCGTTATGAAACCTTAATCGAAGAATTAACTACAATCTGCAACGCCGCACGATCAACATCGCCTACCAAAAGTTCCAAATGATTGTTTTTATATAGTCTGGTTACGGGTATATTTGCAATTTTGCGGGAATGGAATGGTGAAACATACATGCATATACAGTAGATTATATAATGTACTGTACATAGTTATATGCTAGAGAAATTTTAACCTTTTTAGTGAATTTCCAATAGGGAAAACACATGCAGATGAGGCAATTTGTCAAGGGCTGCTTGGTTTTAGTTCCGCAAGGAAAGGGATCTTCGTAAAAGCTATGATTGATCGTTGTAACGTGAGATCTGGATTGATATGTACTCTTCAATTTTTCAAACAACCACCTCCAGATATCTATCCTTTGCCAAGAACAGTATAACCATAATCATGTCAACGTGTATAGCATCACGAAATCATCTTCCGCAATCAAGGATTAATAAATTTCGCAATGCGTTTAGTTAGGGAAAAGCAAGAAAATTATTGCGAAAAGCGTTTTGGCCAATCACTTTACTGAATTTATCGTTCGCGCAAACAATGCACCCAGGGAAAATAAGATGCATGTATATGCTGGGCAATTAATACTATATATATAAACACGCGAGCGCTGTGTCCGACATTGCACGCCCTCAACATTGAATACCATAAACAGAGACAGCGATCAGATATAGGAATCAATTGAGGTAAAACTATATTTTAAAATAATGTGGGAAGTATATCCTACTCTAATTTGGAAATCATTTAAGGAAAATAAATGTTGAAAGCGACCAGTTTTCACCTGCTCTGACAAATGCGTGAGACGAAACGCGGAACTTGATCAAAATAAAATGCTCCGCGTCAGCGTCTGAAAAAATACTCGCAATGGACTTCTTCCTCGTCTGCCCCATGTGCGAATTTTTCTTATTTCTCCCTTTTACCCCCCTTTCTACAGGCGTACGCGGTGGGGGAGCGGTGGGTGCCGGACTGCTATGTGGGGCAGAATTAGCGATGAGTCGGACAATTCGTACTCATGAGTCGGACCCCTGGTCTTGAGATAGCCTTGTTATAGAGATATGCCGCATATGTTAAAATCTGAATGTTATAATTATGGGTAACACCCCGTGTTGCCGATTTCGTTACTACAATGTGTGCTGTATTGAAAGATTCCGTGGCCTAGGCGCTGCGGTAATCGATGCTGAGGGTAAAATCAGAGACAACGAGTTCAGACAATGCTTTCCGCCATATGACAACTGCTGTGCTTAATTAAAGACAGCAAATATACTGAAGTATATGACATGAAGTATGAAGTATATCACATGATAATTAAAACACATTTACAATTACAACACATTTTAGACATTTAAATTAAAAATATTCGTCCATACCATTTTTAATAACTAAAGACTAAACACCGCAAAGTAATGCATGGCAGATATATTTGGTATAAATAGATCTGTCATTTCTTAACTTCAATCATCATCAAACCCGGTGCTTTCTGTTAATGAGCAATATAGACGTTATGCAATATCGCACTTTATTACTGTCATTTTAGGGAACAAATTGCAAACAAATTTAATATGTGTCTGTGAAAAATAGAGAGTTGAGATAAGAAAATGCATATATTGGATTTTGGCTTGCAATGTCAAAAACTTCCAATCGAGTCTTGCCCGTTTTTAATTAACTGTAGTCAACACTCAGTACGAGTGAAGAGACCGAGAACGTCTTATTAAACGACAAGTCAAATAAATTGCTGGAAAATTCGTGGATTTCAATTCGAATAACTATTTTTTAATTAAAAATTTGTATTTTATGAGTTTGATCAGTGATCGCAAATAATAGGCAACTGCTAGCCTGCTACTCATTACGTACTGTCTGTCTTGGAGGTTTTCAATTCCAACACGATGATTCCGTCGAGAAAAGTCATTACTCACTTCTTTTTAAGGAAGCCTCAAAATTATATGCAGTTCTTGTCTGTTCTGTTTTGTTTTTATGCTTGATTCAGATGAAATTGATCCTTTCGTGACCGTGAATTTTCATTAATATCACATTAATAACTTTCATTCCTTCAGTACGTAAAATCTTGTTTTTCCAGAAAAAGATCAAGCAATTACATGTTCCATTTATTGACGCTATTGTTGCAGCCCACATTCCCGCTATATCGGCACCATCAAGGGTTGTATCCTTCCCATCGATCTTAAACCTGAACCCAATGAAAACAATTGTTGGAATGAAAAATATTACAAAACAAGCGACTGCTAGCAAACAAGATGATACATTTTTCAAGGAAATGATTCTCCTCTTATCCGCTGCATCTACGTTGTTTCCACGTCGGGCACGCCTATCCCTCACAACTGCGTACATTTTGCAGTTGATAAACAACATTGGAATAGCGAAAATGCCAAGAAAAACTAGATGAACAATGTGGATTGAGATTATCTGGAGTAGGAACATCAGATGTAAAACGAAATGGAAAGTAACAAGTGTTAAAAGAAGAATTAAAAGTCTTCCCTTCGTTACCGATTTTCGATGCCGGGTGGGATAAGATATCGACAAATATCGATCTAGATTCATCACCAAAAGAGCAAGCAAAGCAGAAGCGAAGAAAGGCGGTGATAGCGCGTCAGCTACACGAGTCCAGTTAGCATCCGGTATTCCAGTCAACCATGCTATCGCAAAGTACGCCATAAACAGGTGGTTGAGTACGACGGAAGGTAAATCGAAACAGGACAAAACCATGATCATAAAATAGCACAATTTTTTTCGTAGCTGTGTCGATCTCCAGAAGCTGAGTATTACCAAGGAGTTTAAAAATGTTCCTGAGAAAAAGAAAAATGTATTCACCACAAACAGGAGATAGAGACTGATAGAATAGCTGAACTCCATCTTCTATGAGCAAGTTTAATTAAAACCACTGAGGAGACAGCCGATAATATTGACTAAAGTAATTAGTAGCAACGCCTTTTCTTAAAATATCGTAAGTGTAGGGGGAGGGGCATAAAAAATATAGGAAAAGCCTAAAAATGTTGGAGTTGTATGGGCGTAGCCAGCATCGATTAGGGGGAGGGGATTGGCTTATATTAATAAATTCGTGTTCTGTCTGATCAATTTTTCTCATGTTACAAAATATTATCGGCAACATTCTGCGTTGGGTGTAAGATTAGCATCTCAAAGTTCTGACTCTTCGGTATACAGGCTCTGTAGTTTCTGTCACATAAACAGACTGCAGTAACAAGTTCAGAGCAGATACTTGCAAGTTGGGCCAGAAACTCTACAATTGGATATTTTGTGCAATGGCATCACTTCACTTGCGTAATTAACTTCTTGCCTCTTGCCACCAGCGACATCGAGGCAGCCCCAGTGGGCAGCCCATTGATTCCATTAAATGAGGTCAAGATGGCGGACGATTTGGGGGATGAGTGGTGGTTAAACGATGAAGAAAACGATGAAAGTTTTACCCCGAATGGAAAGAAAACGTTTCAAAGTAAGCGTATTTTTATTTTTTGTGTGAAAAAGCTAAAATTCTAAGGTGGTAAGAACATTGGCACTATTTATATCCTTTTATGTGGTTGCACTATATAAATTTGTATTTCTAAAATAAAAATGGTATATAGGTAGGTTAGATTGCCACCCATCCTGACGTCTTTGGAAACCTATTGATGCAACATGTGCAGTGCAAATAGTCAGTGGTAGACTGGGCCTTTAAAGTACTGTTAGTGTTTGCCAGGTTAACTTTGCCAAGTGAAAACATGCTTAAGTTAACCTGGATTAGTTTGAGAGTTGTACATAGGTATATTTTATAATAAATAGAGAAAACTGTGGATAAGTTGAAGAAGAAGAAAAGACATTACTCAGATGAAACCAATGCTGAAAAAGACCCAGTAGGTATAATTCTACAAAATCCCTGATGAAGATTCTTGATTCACTATGTATTCAGTTTTTAACATTGTTGCATTGTTTGTTGGGCTGCCTATGATCGCATGCAACCTATTGCCATGCTTTATTATATATAAACTGAAAACTTTGCCCCATGGGACAGCATATGAAAATGAAGAAAACAAACAAGAAACCAGAGCAAAAGTTAGAAAAAGAAGAAGACGAGGAAACAAAGTAGAAACAGTTGAAAAGACAATTGATGGTTTAAAAGCCCCAGAGATATTTTGGTCATTGTTTTGTAATTTAACAGTTAGCAAGCTTACAGCTCTTGAACTGGAAGATCTTACTGTGGAAGGTAAGAGGCATTTAAATTGCCAATCTGCATATATGTGGGGGGAGGGGACAGATTTGAACAAAATTAAACAAAAAAAATTTAATATTCTCATATTGATATTTGTTAGATAAAATGTTCTTCACAGACCCATCTGTTCATACTGGTGAACTACATGAATTGTCGCCATATTTAAATCAAAGTGAGTATTTTTGAAATACCAGATACATTATAAACTTATAAGTTAGAGATGGGAGAACCCAGTTTGTTTTGCCCTTATGCCTATAAAAAATGGTCTAGAAAAAACAGTTTAGAAGAAATGCAACAAATGTGGGTAATGAAGCAATAATGATTTACAACAGAGTCAATCTTCTTACGTGTGTAGTTCTTCCAAGCTGGTCAACACTAACATCAAAAATAGACAAAAAAAGTGGTGCTCCTGGCCTGTTGATAATAACTTCAGCGGCAACGCGCGCAACAGATGTAGTAAGGTAAGTTAAAGGATGATCGAATATCTAGTTTCCCTTAAAAATATGACATACCAGCATACTCATATTTAATAACATGTTTTGTTTTTCAGGGCTATGGCTGATTTTAGAGGCACTTGCAAAGTTGTTAAATTGTTTTCAAAACACATTAAGGTTAGTAATATTTTTATAACATAAACTATTTTTATAACATAAACACTATATTTGATACAATAATAATTTTTCACACTAGATGCCAACCATAGTGTCATCCTATGAGCATACCTGCCTATTTGCTACCACACCCTATATTTGGCTTGATTATATTAGTTTTTATTCCATTCCCATATAGCTTGAAGAGCAAGAAGAATATCTGGAAAAGCATGTTGTGCATCTTGGGGTTGGAACACCGAATCGAATTTGTAAATTAATGAAATCAGGTTAGAAAATGGACCACTTGCACAATAGGCCAACTTTCAATTCAGGTGACAAAAAGGAAATTTTCAAACATACTACACTTAGTAAAATTGCCCAGGTTTCCCTGCGAAGGTTTCCCTGCGAAATATTGTAAAGTAGCTACCGAAGATGTAGCCAAGCAAAGTTAGTAAATTTGTATACTTTGTATTACGGCTGGAAGAGTGTAATTAAATTAATTACACACTTCCGCCGTTAAGGTTGTTTAACAACCTATATCACGAGTTGGTCTATTATGCCAGTGTCGTTATATAACAAGGCTTGCTGGAGGTAAATAATCATTTTCTTCAAATTTATTTTACGCATGTCATAATCTTTTAAACTCGCAAACAATCCTAGGATTCACTATCATCTTTTTTGGAAAAAATCTGACCTCGAATACTTTTGTGTACGTTGCCCTTAATGTATCTTGTACCTGATATATATATATATGATTTCTACTTAACGGCGAAAAATATTAAACAGCTAATTGTTATTATCTGTTTATATATGTTTGCTGTCATTAAAAAGTTTTATACCTAATACATTAATAGGTGCCCTAAGGCTATCAAATCTTAAGTCTGTTATATTAGACTGGACTTGGCGGGATGCGAAACAACGCAGACTCATGGACATTCCGGAGGTGTGTTTATAAATGGGTTAAAATTATTGCGGATGTGCCCTATAAATGTCTGCAAATTGAAAAAGCAAACAAAAATTGTAGACAGGGAAACCCGGTTGCATTAAAAGTTTCTTTAGGCTTCTCTTTAGTGAAGCACAAATATAAACATCTGTTTACTTTGTTTTCATATATGTTTATTTTTATAGATTCAACAAGATTTGGTCACGCTACTGAAAGATATTATTTTGGTACGAGCGCACAGAGGAAAAATAAAAATCGGCTTATTTTAAGCCAAAACGCCGGTTAAAGGCTGCTTAGCCTACTATATACAAAATGGCGCCTTGGTTTGCTAGAATTTCTGCTAAACTGTGCCGCGCAAATTATACATAAGCGCCCTGTCTGAAACCCAGCATTTTACCACAATCATTATGCACTTTCCTCTAAGTATACAGTATATTTAATTTTTTACTTTCCGGCGAATTTCACTTGTATTAGTCTATTATGTTATTAACTAGAAATGTCAGTATTTTACTAATATAAAAGGAATAAGACTGGAAGTGAATAGGTGGAAGGAATAAGACTGAAGTCTTAAGGGACAAGTTGAAATGTGTGTGGGAAATTATGGAATTTTGGTAACATGCAGTAATATATACACAGCTGAGCTAGTGTACCCTCTTTCTTAGTGCACATGCTCGGCACGGCCCAATTATTTCTCACAACGGTTCATTCGCAAAAACACCATCAGAGAAAGCCGAATTATTTAATCGATTTTTTGCATCCGTTTTCCAAATATCTCAACCACGTGACGGAGAAGTTTTGATATTGTCGAGAACTGAAGCAGAACTGTCAGAAATGATGAAACCGTTCTCAACTATCTGTCACATCGAGCGGTCCCGATGGTATTACAGCGCTCCTCTTAAAAGAATGCCGAGAACAAATTGCATCAAGTCTCTGCGCACTCTTCAACCTCTCGTTAAGTACCGGGTGTGTTCCAATAGAGTGGAAGTCGGCGCACATTACTCCCATTCAAAAAAAATAATCCAAAGAACCAGCCAGTGACTATAGACCAATCTCGCTGCTTCCTATCGTCAGTAAAGTCCTAGAACGTTGCGTTTTCTCAAAATTCTATGACCACGTAGCTCACCTAAGCAACCCAGCACAACATGGCTTTCTTCGCAATCGTTCTTATGTTTCTCAGCTCCTCTCCGTTCTCCACTTATTTGAACTTCTCTAAAGCCTTCGACTCGGTAGCTGTCGGTGTGGTTTCCAGCGAACAACATCACGCTGTCGAGACGCCTGGAGAGAGTGCAGAGACGGGCGACGAAGTAGTATCTGCTCTGCTGACACTATCCTACGACTGTGAGATAAGGACCTGGTTCACCTGTATAAGTCGTCCTTTGGCTTTCTAAATGTAGACACTCAAAACTACATTACGTTCGTCAGCCATGATCGCACCCGGCTAAGCTGTAAATCCCCATAAGTGCTTTAAACTCAATCGTGCAAAACCAGTACTTTTCAATCATCCTTCTATAACCGTATCATTTGTAAACTCTATTTGTAAAGACATTAACTTTGATCTCATCACCAATCCTAACTGTTTTAAAACTCTTCTGAAAAGAAAGTACTCTTGTCGATTGTCCCTGCTCGTGATTGTTCGCGTCAATATCATAGATCCTAATTAGTGACAGACTGTATCATTTCTATTATGTTTGTGATATTTTTTAATGTATTTTGCATGGTTCTTGCACTAGTTCCGTTTATACCTTGCCATTTAAGATCATTATTTGTTAATTTTGTTTCGTATTAATTTTGTTAGCTACCGTATGTATAATGTGTTCGCACTGACTGTCCTAACTGCCAAGTTGTCGGAAAATTTTTTAAAACAACTGTGAACAAATTTGTTACCAGTTTTAATACCGATTAATAATTACCTATATAATTACATATAGTGACCTATCATGTGAAATACACAGCGTCCGTCACAGCTTGTTAAATCTGTGGTGCAAAGTACAAATGACACCAGTCACGAAAGTTCACCTGTGTCCAAACTAAGATGGCGTGTGCCAAGAATTCGCAAACTAATGCCGCTTTATACAGCACGTTTTCTTCAATTCAATATAAAGCAGGTTGTAGTTTTCTTGAAACCTTAAACCTGAAGCTTGGTGATAAAGTATTGGATATGGGATGTGGGACAGGAGAATTGACAAAATATATCGCGGAACGAGTAGGCCATGACGGTGAGGTGGTCGGTGTTGATCCCGACCATACAAGGATTAAAGTTGCTCATGAAAACATGACGGTCCCAAACGCGAGTTTTCACACCGGAAGAAGCGAGTCTGGATTTCCAAACGATAACCAAGCTTACTACGACCTTCATTTCAGTAATCACGTTTTCCATTGGTTGAACGACGAAGATAAGGCGGCCTATGTCAAAGTTGCTTTTAATTGCCTCAAGTCGGGAGGTGTGATAGCTGTTCAATGTCTGGCAAAGCCTGACGACGACATTAATAATCGCTTCATTGAATCTGCACTCAGTACGTCTTTATCGCCCAAATGCCATTTTGCTGAAGAAGGCTCTGCGAGAGAGTTGCTGCATGACGTTGGTTTCACTCATGTTGATGTAAAGATCATTCCTTCGGTCTGCTACTATAGTTCGTTTGAAGTGTATTCGAAGGGCTTTCTTGCAGCGGCTTGTACAGATATCAGTGAGCTGGCGGATAAAGCGTTGTTAGAGGAGTTCAAAATGAAATCCATTGAGAAAGATGGTAGAGTGAAATCAAAATACAATCTGTTTCAAATAAAGGGACGAAAATCGTAAACAAATTTAGTATCGTTGTCCCGCTCCTGCATGCATGAAAAAGGAATAGTAAAAAGTATTTCAAATTGTTATGTTATTTTATTAAGCCGAGGACGCTTTAAACTGATTACCTTTGTATGTGTGAAACCATTAAAAGTAGACAATGTTTAAAAATTTAAATAAAATACAAGAGAAACATACTATACTGCATCTTTTGAATACAAGATTTCAGCCTTATAGACAAGATAAGTTTGAATAAATCTGTCAGCCTAGCATTAAACATGCAAACGTATAGGATTTATAGCTATTCAGTCTCAAATCGAGGTATAAGATAAGATATTCAGGAGTTTACCACGTTGTTATGACGAACGACGTAGTTAAACCAGGGGAGATTAGTGGCCGTAGGGGGGAAATCAGTGCAGTTATAGTTTCATATTTGCTGTTCATACATGTGAAATTAATAAATATAATAGCGCGTACAATCCTGCACGCAGAGATGCACTGCTCTGGGCCTGCATGAATATATAGTTGTTTGCCTTTTATAGTTGTTTTCTTGGCGACCCTGTTGAAGATTTGGCCAAATCTTTTTAGGAAATCTTGTGAAGTTAGAACGCAACTGAGTTTGATCATAGACAATCCTGTCTTCTGGATTGTCTATGGTTTGATCGTGTTATGATATTCGTAATAATTGCGGAGGGGCGTGACAGGTTTTGCAAGAATGGATCTATTCTGTTCTAATGGTGCAATATCATAAGATTTGACGCCAGTGGGAAGATATTTTGACAAGAAAATTTCATTACACAAAACTTCAATCTTTATTAAGATTTATTTTGTCTTTTTTTGTTGTTCTTTTTCCACCTAATCAGTGAATCAGCTTCGGCATCATCATCACCAACTTCATCTGGAGATACAAGTCCAGCAGTCATTTTATAATAAACAACTGTAGAACTGCTGTCTATGATTGCAAAGTACACACTTTTAATTTCAGTTTCACCAACACTATTGCCTAGCTCAGAGCTTCTAAAAGCCCGGCACACTTCTGTTATTGTAGTATGAATGTCTGCGTGAGTGAACGCATTCGACGCCTTAGTTGGTACCACCAGTTCAATTTGGCATTTCTTTAGAGGCCTGCCAACAATATAAACGTTTTTAATCGCATCACAACGACACAGCTCTACATCAAACCAATGTTTCACTTCTATAAGGTCCAAATAGACAAGCATAGCCTGTCTTAGAGACACGTTGTAACCATAGCCCATCATCTCCAAGTATTTCGGATGCCCTTCAAACCAGTTTTCTCGGCTCGTCTCCACAATAGGACATTCCGCCATCACATCACATAATATATGTAATTCTTTACGTTTCACACAGACATCGATGATCGATTCAATATACAAAACTACGAAGAGGATAAGAAATTTTACTGAGAAGTGGGAACTTTTTAAATCCGCTAAACAGTTGTGAACGAACAGGAACTTCCGCTGAGTACAGATATCGCTTACGCATATGCATTCAGGGGGGAGGAAAGGTCAATTTTTTGGAGTTCACCAGTTCAGTGAGTTCACACTGTCTCTGATTCCAGAAAGAAAGATACAGAAATACTATAAAAGAACAACTATTGTCTGTTTGCTCTCAAGTTGTGCATAATGCCCGAGAAATCTTCTGGTAAATTGTTTTGTCATTTTATTGTTCTTCTGTAGTGTTGGTGTGTTTTGAATTGTGATTCCAATAATCTTGTATCAGTCATCATTGAGTGTATTTCTGTGAATCCTTGACTCTCTTGGACACAATTTTATTCACTAGAAGAGCTGATGCACAGAAAATGAAATGTCCCCTAGACACTGCCGTAATATAAAAGACTAAGCAGTGTACATGCATGATGCATGATTAGCACACTCAGGAGCAGGCAGGGAGTTAGAAGAGGAGGTGACCAGCAATAGTATTATTAGTATATGTGTATGGTAGTGTTGATAACCAATTTAAAACTTGTACTTATCTAGCTCGACAAAAAGCCCAGGCTGGGAAACGAGTATTAGATGAATATGCAAGGAAAAGACGTCAGAGACGGCAACTGGATGCCTTGGAGATGGATAACTTTGGTGATGATCCCCATGCCAACCTTGCAAAAGCCAAGAAATTGCCATCATTTATAGATTCTCCAGAGGGTGAGATAGATATGTTTTGAAAGAACCTCTATATTACTGTTCTATATAATCATCTTCTCTGTACAGTATGTATGCAGTTAAATTCATGATCAATTAGAGAGATCAGTTAGCTTGCTCCTAACTCCTTATGTATATACAAATTTCTTAAAATTCTGTTTTTCATTCTGAAGAAAAGAAGAGAAAGAAGAAAAAAGGTACAGGAGAACATTTTAAACAGGTATGAATTATACAGTACCTATACTAAATTTATTTGTGTTGCCACACTGGCAAATTCATTAATAATGGAGCATTAATAATCTTTCACTCTTTATTTGCAGAGGTTTAAGAAAACATTTGTTCTATTACTTGAGGAAGAGGTGAGCTGAGTAGTAATGTAGAGACTCTAACAAACTAATACAATTTCAATGAAATATTATTGCCTGGATGCTTGCTAATCCTAATTTTTTTCATAACAACTTGAACTTGTTCTTGTAGAAACAAGAATTTGAAGAGGGTGAACCAAACTATGTGACAGCTTGTGTTCCACCTTCAAGGTTTCCTGAACGTCGTTTCTGTTCAGTTTGTGGATATCCTTTTTGTAACAGATGAAATGTTCTTTGGTGCAGGTTGTGAAAATCTCTTAACTAGATTTCACACTGTTAGATTGTAGTTACCCCAAAATATGTAGTTTCCTTTCTGGCCAATTCTTTTACTATAACTAGTATATAGTTAGAAGATAATTCTGTTTTATATATGTACAATCGGTGCCACATGTACATGTATACAACCCATTGAAATTACCATTCAGCTTGGACTGTGGGAGACATGTGCAAAAGTAATTCCCTATAAAATATTTAGTGGAAATAAACCTGTAGGCAGAACTCACCCAAATTTATCATCTGTGAGCAGACAAAGTTGTACAACATGGTGTTACAGGATTATTTCATTCAAACTACCACTTTTCAGTTGCATGCGAAAATAATTATGGCAGCATCCTAATAATTTCCTTAACATTGCCCACATTTCCCTCGAATTACACATGCGTTCAATGCGGAAGCCGTTATTGCTGTGTCAAGTGTTTAGGAACTCACCAAGATACTAGGTACAGTGCAAATATGTAATAATATTCAGTTCTATAATTCATATATACTTGAATTAAAAGTTAAATTAGAGATTAGAGTTATATACAGAATTATACAACTTCTTATTTTACATTTTTTACCTCAGTCAAATTTTAGCAGGTGCGCGGTAATTTGCAATGCCTAAATACTTTGCATGATACTCTGCATGAATAAATACATATAGCGTCTCCCTTCATGCTTCGTCACATATATTTTTCAAAATCTTGAATTATACTTTAATCGTTTCATCTCAAATGAACGCAAAAATGTATCTTTGTCTTTGAGTCGATTTTCGAAATGTTTTCACCCATCTTGGCGTGTGTTTTTGATTTCTCCCAGTTGACATTCCCGATTGGCGATAAGTTGTTCAATAGGCCTTGCTGGCCTCGCAGTTCATCATCTCATGTTCATGGCTATCTGTGAACTTGCTATAATGCTTGCTTAATTTTCTCGCGGATGCTAATTTAATTCTTCGCTTTCGCACACAGAATTTTTTGGCTACCTAACGTAAAACTTATCTTTTATCTTACAAACGTAAATAGAACTAATAAATAATCTCGAACAGTTCATAATGATCACCGCCAGTCTTTGCCTTGTTTGACCATTTTAAAAAGCTGTAACATCATTACTCTAAGTTGCAACTTGGAGTAACAGCAGGGTTAATATTCACTCTGCGAGAAGCACAGCGAAACAGAGCTTTAAAACCCGTACAAAATTCTGAAGACATGAAGTTCAATAAAATTGGATTGACAACTGTGCTCAGTAACACACCCAACATGGAAAAGTTCATGGCTGTGATGAACCTATCTAGCTTCCTAAAGTCTAAATTTGACTTTACACCCATTACTGTTAATGAATCAAAAACAATCCAAGGCGTCCAACAGATTATAAACATGACAACTACCATCACGACTAGTAGTGACATTTTCCTCTTCTTTTTTAACTGTCTTCGCTGAGTTTCATTCATATTTCCAGTTGGAGGCTTACGAAGTGAAAGGAACATGCTTCCATTCAGCACCGCCATTATGAAAAATGGTGCAATATACAAAAACATGTAAATACAGATGTGATATACGTGTTTGGTTTCATCGTCTGGCCAATATGTAAGACAAAGCTCAATTTCTTCGTCACCACTCATGATGACAGTCATAAATTGACCTACAAAGATGGTAGGCAAAGTCATTAGAATACCAAGGATCCAGCGCATTATGATAAGCGTGCTTGCTCTTCTCGATTTGACACGAAACGCAATCGGATACCGGGTCGCACGAAAACGCTGCACAGTGATCACTGTCAAATTCAAGATTGAAACAGCGTACAATAAGCGAAGGAGGAAATAGTATACCGTGCAAAAGGTGTGTCCGTACTGCCAGTGGTAGTTTTCGATTAACGTGTTGAAGTGAAACGGTGCTAGGATCGCAAAGAGAAGATCTGTTCCAGCAAGATTACAAAGCAACAAGAAAACACCAGAGCGCATGTTTTTGTTTAGAAGAATGGAAAGAATCACTGCGAGATTACCGCCGATGCCGACGCCATCAAAGGCTATATAGAGAATTTTGAATAACCCTTTGAGTCCGGAAAAGTGGTCGACGGTAGCCGCTGCTGCTGGCGAGGAACTGATATTATCCATTCTTATGATATGTTTGAAAAATGGAAAGTAGTTTGCTACCAAACGGCTGCTATTCACCTAATATTGCTGTTGCCTGAACTAATGTGAAAACTAATCCAGCTGCTCGAATGATTGCATCATTAGCATGCCTTTTAATTACTTAGCTAATTCCTCATCCAAGGCATAATTTTGATATTTTTTTGAAAGAAAACTTTGGTAACAGTCATTCAGTCAAAAACTGTATATGCATATCATGTCTGTAACACAAAAATGCTAGTACTAGTAGTTCTGGAGGCCTTTTACAAGGAGAAAAAGAATATTTAAAAGTGTTTATAAAATTGATTGTCAGTTTTAATATAATCTGTTTAGAGTACGTTTGCAGATCATTTAAAAGTATCGCGCGACTATCGAAGTTATAAGAATCGTTGAAGGGCCTACTCAAAACTGCAAGTCAAGTCAGCAATTCTGCAACTTGTTGTACGAATGCTCGGATTTTTTTGACGTCAGGAAAGAATTAATCCTCCGAAGCTATATTGGCGGAATATGAACTAGGAATTAAAAATTTAATTAAAAAACTTTGTTAGTTTATATTCATACTCTATTAAAAAACACTCTCGCAATCTTTAAGAGCTACAGGTGTTTCTACTAGATGCTGGTTGGATGTGATAACCATATTTATTTCAGTGTTCAGTCTTTATTCTGTTTTTCAAATGATGGATTAGAAGGCAGTTGTTTTGCAATCAACTCGCTTATAATATCCTTTTTTCTTTTAGATGTTTGAAATGGACTGCTTAGGCAGATGGTCATGTGGTTTGAAGTCAAAGATAACCTACCAACAAGACTATATACCTGCAGTGCTTACAGTGCAATACAGTACAGTACACTTGTGATGCTGCAGTAAAATTCAAATTCACACATTCATCTTGTTAACAGGCAGAGAAAAAATCCTCTACCTAGGCAAAATTTTGATGCATAAGAACCCATGTTGTTTTCTTGAGAACTATTATGACTCAAATGTGTATCATATTGTAAATTGTTACCATGGGTGGTACAAATACTAGCATCTGAGACAAACATCTAACTTGCAATGCCATGATGAATCAATGTTTTCAACCTTTATTTCGCATCTAGCAGAAGATCCAAAACTGTGCACATTTCAACTACTTAACAACAAATAAATGTAAACCACTTCAGAATAACCATAAGTTTAATTCAATAATTTAAAATTTTTCACAATTTTTCATTTCTGTTTCATGATGTGAGTCAACTTGTGTTATCTCACAATTAAACACTTCCTGAAATGATTCTATGAAAGGAGTAGTAGCTTGTTCAACACTGATATTTTTCCAAGTCTCCACAGAGAGTGAGGTAACACCTTTTCCAACTAAACCACATGGGACAATATGGTCAAACCAACTAAGATCAACATTACAGTTCAAAGCTAAACCATGAGAGGTTACCCATCGACTGACATGGAACCCTAAAAGGTCAGAAAGTATCAGTTTGAAATAGTATTCATGAGGTTAATACCTTAAAGCAAAATTTTTGGATTGGTTAAGAAAGGCAGGAATCCTAAGTATTTTTGATTTTTTGTCACTTGAAAATTGTCTAGCTTTACACTTACAGAAGAGGATTACACTTACCAATTGCAGCAATTTTACTATCATCAACCCAAACACCGGGATCAGCAGTTCTTTTTGCAACGACGCCAAATTTCTTGCATGTTCTAATACCAACTTCCTCCAACTGCTTATTATAACACTGTACATTTTTGGTGAAATGTTCCAAGTTTAAGATGGGGTAACACATCAATTGTCCTGGGCCGTGAAATGTTATTAGTCCACCGCGGTCTGTATACTGGAATTCCGCACCAAGTCTCTCTAGATAGTCTATATCTTTGACACTTTTGTCTCGAATTCCAGTGGTATATACTGGGAAATGTTCGCAAATTAATAACGTGTTGGGTGCTTGTAATTTACTCTCCGTTGACTTCATATGCAGTTTAGTGAGGTTTTTCATAGTTGCTAAACCCTCTTTGTAATTTATCCGTCCAAGATTTTTGTACAAAATGACAGACCTTCGCACTTTGTCCGCCATATTATATCATATTTTCTATTGCTCGATTGGCTCGATGCTCATTTTCTATCCCCCCCCTGAAAATGGGTTATTTTAAACCTGTGTGCAAATATGGCGGACGCAAAGCAGCGAAGAGCAAATATTACCCACATTATTTTTGATATGGATGGCTTATTGCTAGGTAAGGTGAAACCAGGCCAATAGAAGTTTTTACGTTGCTCTCTCCTTCAAATGTCTGCATGATTATTAGCAAGTCATTATATCGTCTGACCATTTCTCAATAACCCCGCATATTTAGTGATTTACTGATTTATAGTATCCCAGCGATGCAGCTTTGTCTACGTGGCAATGAAACTAAAACTCTTGCTAACACTCTATTGCTGCTTGCTTTACACAAAAAACCCACCAAGGTGTGTTCTGCCTGGAATAAATAGAAGTATAGAACAACTGAACAAGATTATACAACTTTTAATTTCACGTAGGTCATTCTTTTGAGGTGATGAGGTCTCCATGTAGTGATGTAGACCTCCTGAGGTCTCAGGCATTGCAAATTGCAGCTGGCCATTTTGTGTTAGCAGAAGAGAAGTTAGTAATAGAGAGATTAGACATGAATTATATGCATATAAATATGCTTTGTTATCTGCAATTGTCGTTGCAATTTTAAAATGGTCAATACATGGCATATGGTGGTTCAGGTTAAATTTCAGTTTTAAACAACATGAAAATTTATTGCAAGATTAAAGTTAGTTATAAAGCTGTAGTTTTTGGAAAATTTTATTTGCAATTTCTCTGCAAGTTTGATCAAATTTTAGATACTGAAAGCATATACACCGAAATTACACAAAGAATTGCAGATGAGTATGGTAAAGTTTATGATTGGGAAATGAAATCTAAGATAATGGGAAGAAGTGCAAAGGATGCTGCAATTATGACAGTGAAACTATTAGATTTACCAATGACATTTGAGGAATATTTAGAGAAAGCTACCAAATTAGAGCGGGAGTGTTTTCCTCACTGCAAGCCAATGCCAGGTCTGTATGATTAGATGCAAGCTACTGGTTACATGGATCCACTTCCTGCAGATATTGTAGATCATCCTCTGAGCAGTGTATTGTTGGTAGGGCTATCATTGTGTTGATTGTAGATTGTTCATTAGGGTGATGTCCATAAGTCCCATCATTTTGTTTGTTGGTATTTTGATCATACCATTGGTCCGTAGGTTGATCATTTTGTTGATCTGTAGATAAATCATTAATTATGTTGGTCTGTAGGTTGATCATTGTCTTAGTCCATAGATTGTTCAATTTGTTGGTCCGTAGTTTGATCATTGTGTTGATCTGACAAGTCCCTCTATTAAGGACGGTAAAGCTTTTATGCATTTCTCCTCAATACTGATCTGCTTAACAATTCCCATTCTTCTCTAAGGTGCCGTAAAGTTGATAAAACACCTTCATTTCCATAATGTCCCAATCTGCGTGGCGACCGGCTCAAAAACGTGGCTTTACAATGTGAAAACTACAAATAAAGAGCATATATTTGATATGTTTTCCCATTATGTATGTTCTGATGACCCCGAGTTGAAACATGGGAAACCAGCTCCAGATATCTTTCAACTTGCCTCATCGCGATTTTCTGTCAATCCTTCGTCACCTAGCAACGTGCTAGTTCTTGAAGATGCCCCTAATGGTGTACAGGCCGCTCGTGCGGCCAATATGAATGTTGTGATGGTACCAGACTCTAGAATAGACCCTTCGTTGTGTACTGATGCTAGTCTATGTCTGAATTCCTTGAATGAATTTGATCCAGAACTTTGGGGATTGCCTCCATTCAGCGACTAAAGAAGTCTTCGATGATAGTCTTCGAACGTAACAGCCTAATCCTTGAAGACGGCTCTCTGATCGAACAAATTTTCGCGAGAATTTTTGTTCGAATGAAAAACCGGCCCGTGGAAAATCTTATCGTATTAAAACCCTCCATCCTCTACCTAAATTTTATCCTTACTTGACCAACGACTAGGGTTGATTGTAATCTTTTAAGTTATCGAGTTTTATAATAAAATAAGAGAAGCAAAAAAATTTAACCAATGTAAATTACAAAATAAACTGGAATAACAAATTGCTAGTTGACATACTAGGAATAAACCGATTCGCTTTTGCCCACGTGATAAATATGGCGCCATTTTTGGGTGGTTTTTTATGCATGTGATGTGAGCGTAAGATCAAGATCGTATAGATCTTCTGTAAATGGTTGTTAAATCTGCAGAATTTGTAATTTGTTTAAACCCGTTCAGGAAAATTGAAAGCATCCCAGCATATCGAAGATAATCCCCTTGTACCCAGGCTGTTTCTGGTAGCGCCACCCTGGCTACGAGGTTGCGAATTAGGTCGTTGTAGTGTTATATTTAGTCTGAAATATTTACTTAAGATTCGTCTTTATTAGGCCCGTTTTAAACTTTCAATAAGCTACAGTCTTTCATTAAGTTAATTTCCATTCGATTCGACTGCTGGATGTACAACCTTCATCTGCATATGTTATGCTAAAATATGTCAACGCGGAATCAAGAGCATTCGGAGAAACGAAATAATCGGCAAGTTCAATGCTGAAGGATGCTGGGCGTGTTTGTGCCCTCCATAGTTGGATAGTTTTCTGGATTTTTGGATAGCAATTGAATTAACAGGCGCGTAGCCAGAGGAAATGGGAGTCTGCTCATTATATTACCTCTACCCGGTTATATAAAGAAATTAATAATCACTTTTTCTATATATTCTTGGATTAATTTGCGGGATTAACTCGCTTTCTACACCTCTGCCTATAAAGAAGATAAGCTGAAGCTAACCAACGCAGAAGCATATTATATCAATGTACTTGCGTTTTCTAACGAGACGGTGGAACGAAGTGAAGTTAAGGTAATGAATGGATCAATTTTAAAGCAGTTAATTGATCAATACAATTAGCAAGATGATGCACTGATATGATCCTGGTATAATGAATGGCCTCTCCCGTGACATCGCGCAATATGTGCATTTGAGTGGGGTATTATGTGGTGGACTTGTGGAGAAAGATTTTAGTGTAGAGAGATTCTGTGTGAATCTTTGAAATGAGAGATTCAATTGACAATTGTTATTAGTGTCTACAACTAAACACCTTTTATGCAAAACAAAAAACAATTGTGACGATTTTTGTTATATATTTCAATCAAGTGCTCCGTTCGGAGAACGTTCCGCCAGACAACAACATTATTCCTTTTCTAGCCTAGTGATCTTTTAACTGGATTTCAGTTCATGATTCATTTTATGACTTCATCCGTACATGAATATCCGCTATATATCTCCACTTTAAACACGTTAAAATCCCTGGCCTGTGCCGTCAAGTGTTAAACCACGAGACATTGTCACATGCGTTGTCCTCCTACACCTATATATTGGGAAACATGGCTTCATCATTTTAGCTATATATGCACAACAGCTTTTTTAGCTCAGGTACAACTGTCTTAACTGCCTTCCGGACAGGATTTCTTCCACATACAGGAAAGACAACATTTCATGATGGCACCCTTTATATATTCGACATCCCACGGCCATAGCACTGATGAGTACACGATGAATCACGTCTAGAGTCTTGCAAGAGTTCCGTTAAGGCCATGATGTAATGTTGTGCCAGACGAAGTGTCTCGATTTGTGTCAGTTTCCTTTCTGGTCCTTTGCCTGTCAAATAATCAGGAATAACCCCTCGAAGTACATCAAAGGCGTTATTAAGACGCGATTGTCTCTCTCGTTCCCTGGCGTTACGTCGTAGCTGACGGTTTCTCTTGACGGTGGCCGGAATCACTCTTCTTTCTCGTTTGCGTTCCTTGGGCACGTTTTTGTTGCCATTTGTCTTTCGCACAAAACACTGACTCTCGGAAAGTTCTTGTATAGGAAGGTTTGTTGAGATGTATGGTATGTTATCGAAATCTATTCTGCTTGGGAAGCTCGCGTAAAAGGGAATCTGAAATCCGTCGTGGGTTTGAGCGCATGTTGAGGGAATGCTGGTGAAATGCGATGACATCTGAAAATGAGAAAACTGTTCAGTTTAAGATTGCTGAATTCATAAAAATGTGAATTCCATAACAATAGAGTAATGAAACTTCCCTCACAGATTAGGTCATGTATATAGTAGATACAGTCTGTTGCGCGGGGGTGAAAACGTTATATATAGAGTTAAAAAACACATAAACAACGCCGATTTCAGGAAAAGATGTAATCGGCTTAATCGCATCGCCGATCGGTCTGCAGTTTAACAACAATATGTCCACGTATCAGACAACTCGAGCACATTATCAGTAACGCTTTTAAAATTAAACATGTGGGTATTTGAATGCCTGACTATTCTGTTAAACCCATGGTTCGGTAAACTTGAATCTGAAAAACAGGACCTTAACTGGACCTGACCTTGATTTCAAAGAGAGTATCTTTTGGGACACCCTGTACGTAAATATTATACAGATAGGGCGTTATGTGGCATGTGGTGACAGCACCTCCCTCCTATCCCCACAAAATATTTGAGTAATACTATGCGTCTGGACGGATTCTTTGTAGGATCCAGGATTTCGCTTACTGGCAGTTGAACGACCGTCTAGACTCTAGTGTTACACTGTTACTGCAAGGTTTGGGAGCATTGGACCACCCTACCTACTCAGATTAAAAAAATGAAGAAGGGCTGCGGGCTGTAACCGTTGGTCAGCAGGCCTTATTATTTATGACTATATACTAATAGACGTTGCTTTCGAAAGTAATGGAGTAAAAACTAAAAAGTCACCCCTCGAATGCACCTGCAACCTTGTCGTAACTGCTTTCAAAGGCAGCGCACATTAAACCACAAACATGAAAAATAAGCTATAAATGTTCTTTATTTTCGACAATCTTTTTTGACCTCACTAGGGGACTATTGTGATTGGTCTCCTGTCAGCGATTGTAATTTTAATCAATCTCTGCGGGCGCGAAAATCTATACAAAGTATCATGTAAATGTACAAGTTTTATTAACATACAAATACACAAACATGCCATACGTTTATACCACCTGAAATAACGTGGAAGAAAGGTGTACGTATACTTTCATGCAAACTTGCCGTGTACAATTAGCTGGGGCCGTTGTATCAAGCCCGTTTAACTTAAATGGTGGGTATATAACTAAGTCAAAATTAAATAACACTCTTAAGGTCTGTTCACACGATCCAATTTTGTTTGATCCTATTCACTTCTGACGTATGGAATGAAGTCGGTTATTCAAAAAGCAGTACTGCGTTGGTTTAAGTTGATTTGCTGTCCACATACATAGCAAATCAACACACTATGAAACATCATTAGAAGTGAATTGGATCCGACTAAGTTGGATCGTGTGAACGGGCCTTGACAACTCTCTTGAATGAGTCAACTTGAATATTATGCACTGAATATGTAGTTGTAGAAAGTGTCGTTGTAGGGTTAAGAACATTTAGTTTGCTAGTTGAATAAAACGGCAGACTTGCACTTGCTTTCTACTTTGAACTTATCCACCGTTTAAGCTAAACGGGCTTGATACAACCAGCCCCTGCATGTAGTCTATATTTATGATCATGATCAGCATTGGCGATTGGTATAGATATAAATTTAGATGTAAATCGCCCCTATGTGACTATGTCAACGGTAGGAACAGCTTATAGTTGCCGAATTATCTAGCAAACATTTTAGAGTATGTAGTAAAAGGAACGAGACCAAGCGAAGTAACGCAAGGTTAAAATGATGGATAATCCTATTTTAAGACAATATAAGACAAAAAACGGTCGGTAATATAGCTGCGTGTATACATGCAGTATATTTAAATGTGAAAGCTTGCAACATATAACATAAATAACATACTATTATATCTCATACTATATCACTTTTTTATGTGCAACAGCCAAACCAGTGTAAAATGGTATTCAGGAAGTAATTTATATAAATATAATCAATGTAAATATATGTTTCTTCGAATACGTGAGCAAGTTTCTCGATTAACAGTTTTAACGTATTTTTTAAAATTTTGATGACATGACTCTCAAAAACAATAATGCCGCGGTATACAACCGTTATATTAATGCGTGTACACGCATGTGAGTCGGCGTGCGTGCTTGCATGCATGTTAATCTTTTTACTGACGTAGTAGACAACACGTTACTGAATGTAAGGGATATACGTGTGGCTGATGTATTACCGTTGCTATTGGTCCTAAAAAACTAGTACTAAAAACTAGTACTTAGTTTGGTGTTGGCCTATACATAGTTATTAAAAACACTCGCTATAATCTTTCGCGATGAATTTATACTTGTACATTCAAAGGATGATCAACCTTCTGTGGTCTCAGTTTGAGTTTCGTTTAGGGTGGATTCTAGCTTAAAATTCCGGTGTTGAACACAATTTTAGTGCCAATTTTAGTACCTCTGAAAAATTCCTATACTGTATGCATGTGATCACAGACACAGAAACTTTGATAATAGCATGATAGTACTGAGGTCACACATTTAGTGCGTAGTTTCTGTTTAAAATTGGCACATACATGCAGCGAGACCAAACAACGACCTATCCAGTGCTGTACGGAACTGAGATTTCTTTGTTCTATGTTTCCTTTATTTTTCTCCTGTATATACAGTATAACGTGGTGTCCTTATACCATTTCGTATGATGTTTTAATGTGTACTCTATAATATATAAATACCATTTTGCACGCTGCGGAATGCGTAAGCATGTTACAATTCTTTGCACTGAAACAGTGAAAATAAAAATCACTTCAGGATTTTCCACATTAGGTAAAATTTGTGAATTATATGATCTGGCTTTTAGACCCTGTTATCTATCTATCTGACCAACAAAACATGTCGTCAACCTCAAAAGTGATCATAAAACGAACTTCGCGGTAACACGCAAACGAGCATGCACGTTTATGAATCAATTTTCACTTTTTTTTCGTTCATAAACGGGATATTTCTATAGTGAGTAGTGACTATAGACTTTCGACCCAATATACTAGATAATTACTGTGAAAAGGTGATGTATTTCATTAAAGCTACCGTAAAGGATAGATCATTTATCACAAATTGATCTTTGCGCAAAATAAATATTTTGATCATTGACTGTATATAATATGTAATATAATATAATATTATAATATGTATATGTTTAGCATACCGTTTTGTCCATGGGCTGTGATCTCTGATGTTCCTTTTGCAATATGTCAGCTCCTAAGATTGAGCACTTGACTTGAGCTGGTGGTTGCATGAATACGCCGAATGTGGATAATGTGGCTTTTATAGGTTGGCATTTCCCTAAATGGCTAGCAACCGACCTGGGCGTCCACGATATTTGTATTCTAACATAGAGCTTTAAACAACCAATCCCTGTGGAACAATGCAACTCGAGTGATCGGAGTCGAGTGACAGGCACAACAAACAATTGTTTTGGAAGAAAAGACTCCCGCATACAAACGTTATTGTCCTTTTTGTCAAACCACAACATTTAATAAATATTGAATATATGCCTTTTCAAGCCTGGCTCTAAATTAGTGTCGTTAATAAGACATAATTAGCACACAGGCCAAAACAACTACGGGATGTACTTTCACACTCTTTAATAAACCTTTAATGAGACAACGTGAATAATGTAGGCGTATACATCACAATTGTGCCTATGCACTGCATGTGTGATTATATTACACAGCTTGCATGACCGTTTGTTTGCATTCGGCTTCTATTTTTCTGATAATCAAATAAGCAACAAGTCTTGTCTCGAGTACTTTTTAAGTGGTACGCGCAATTAAATCCTCGAACTATTCTTCACTTTTGCACAGATACTCTCAGCTGCTTGTTGCAATTTATTATCTCAAAACGAGAAGTAACGCACGTTTGCGCATGCGTTATGGAAGCGATCGATTTTGCGATTATTTTTTTTTCGGAAGCGAACGTTAGCGAATTCCTTTTTTGTGGTTTAGGGCAGTCACACAAGTCACTTCAATCATGATTCTGACTTCATGTCTGAAATATGTTTGCGTGGAGGCATACACAATAGAGCAAACAAACAAGATAGGTAACATGTTGTCTACAGCAGGCTTTCTTAGCAATTAATGAGTGATTTCAAAGTCCTTAGTCTTCGAGGAGCTTCATACGTAAACACTGCAGATTTCGAAGCAGCATCCATTCTTTTAGGTACTTTTGCAATTTTTAGGTGAAATGAATATACAAAATCTTCGAGTCGCACTTTCGAACACCGGAAGGTCGCCTTTGTGTTACATCAAGCAAGGGTCCCGGTGTTTTTACGAGAGAAGAAAATTTAGCAAGCACTCACTGAAGTAATCATAAATCTCAGCAAACGTATCAGTAAAGTTTGTTACACCTTGAAACGCGTGGTTTCCGTTGGGCGGCAAAGGGAACAATTCGATCTAGCGTGTCCTATAACGGGCCTCATTTGTAAAGCAACGTTGGCACCACGTTGGGGGTGGGCTCGTATTTGGCGACTTTGAAGCTTTGAAGGCCATCTGCATGCTTATCTTTTGCATTGTTAACAATACTTATCAATCCAGACATTGTGTAGAATGTCTTGATAGGAAAATCAAGAGTTCTCTCTAAGTTTTTCAGCTTTTCCCCTTTCTAGGGTGGTACCAAGCCCATTCTTGGAGTCCTGTGTAGCCCAGACGAGATTGGGAGACTTACTTTGGACCCCAACTGAAGTTTACTGGCATGGCTCATGCTGTTCTTATATGAAAGAACACGTTTTCTTCCAACTAGTTTGCATAATTCGTATTCAATATTTCAAAAATTCAAGCATGCTGTATTGTTACTAGAATCGTTCAAAAGGCTTGGCGATGCTTAACAGCCAAGTGCACGGTTTTCAATTGACGCCATCATTTGCGGCCAAAAAGGCGCGGCTAATTAAACCATTATCAAGATCTTTGCACACGTGTGAACTGTCGAGACCTCTGACTTTTGAAGCCATCAAAGTAAGCAGTCAAGCTAGCAAGTCATGAAAAGAAAAAAAGGTTTTCGAAAAGACACCTTTGAGATTTGAAACATCGTCCATTCCATCACGTCATTATCCTCTACTTTATTGCGAGGAAACCGATCGTCTCAAACGTTCTGAACAATCAGAACGCTACAATTGTAATTGAAAAATCGTCTTGTCAAGCGAGAGAGAGTGAGTGGCTGTGCACGATAAAACATCGTACTGGAAATTGAAATTTATATTGCATGTTTTGTTTGGATAAAAAAGCAAAGGAGAGTTCTCGCGCGCTTTGCCTGGACAAAACTTAGTTTCGGCTCCACCGTAAGTAAGAAAATTAATATTGTTTAAGAAAGCAATCGTTGATTATTTCTTATTCAGTTTCATGCCTAAAGTGTAATATGATGACCGGCTATATTCATATTTTAGTATATTACATTATATACATGCATAAATATTCTGTTATGTTAGCAGATCAAAGCAATTCATGTTGTTCTTTGAGAGACAAAAAGGTATATATAATTGGTCTAATCAACTTGTGGTTTTATGCCGTATGCAATTTCACCTGCCTCCTAAACCACATTCTTTTAAATATTTATTTCTTTTCTTGCTAAAATACAACTAGAAATTGCATAAAACCTTGCCATTTATAATACGAATACTTTGCCAACAACAAAAGTTTGATTGAAATATGACAAAAAAGTTTCATTATAGTCAAACAGATGATTATTGTTCGTGGTCCTGTTCTGCCTACTATATATATGATCTCGAGAATGCAATTTCTCTGCTGACAGTTACAACTGTAATTTATAACTAATTTTATTGCCAAAAGCGGGTTTCTAGAGAGAAACACATGTTTTCACTCCAAAATAAACTTGTTCATATAATGGTTTCCGTTCATGCTTAAGAAACACAGGCCTGTGGCCATTCCTGTGTATATTAGAGTAGAGTAATTGTTTGACAACTTGTTTATTAATTATGCATGTTGTCTTAAAATATCAGTATACACATGCACATTCAACAGCGGAAATCGTCTCAATGAACACATTGATTATTAGTTAGAGCATGGTTTTCTATTTTTAGTGTTAGAGAATTGCTTATATAGGGGTAGTGTATATTGTTTTTCTGTCATTATTATAAATACTCCTTTGAAGTAGTAGTAATCGTGCACTTAACATTTTTACCGGACTCGATTTCTCATTATATGCCCATCATTGAACGGATTTGCGGGATGACTAGCGAAAAAATGTTCTATATGTACGTATACAAAATACTAGTTCTATATAGCTTGTAGACCTGCAGTTGGGTTGCTATAAGGCGAAAAGGGGAAGTGTATTTTATGCGATATCTGTTAGCATATTTCTTTTCAATTCATACAATCAAATCACAATAAACTGAATAATGTGAAAGAATCTTGTTCCATTTGTTACTGGAATGATAGGATAACAGAACATATAGCTAATTTATAGTTACATCGAAAGCTAGAAAGCTCCTTGAACTTCAACTATACCAAAGTGGGCACAAATCATTTTATATCACGCAAAATGTGCCGCAGCCAAAACAAAATCCATTCAAAGCATGCATGAAATAATAATTAACTCTGAAAACAGCAAACAATAGTTTTTAATTTTATTTACTCAACAACCGGATTTCGCTAGACCCGCATGCTTTGTTTATCATCATCAGATGCTTGGAATCCTAGTAAAGGCCCGTTTACACTTGCAATTTTAGATGCGATTTTCTTATTCTTTTGGTACATGTGAACGAGTGACTAGTTACGAATTCTCTGATGTATAAGAGCTCTTATTTGAACATTTGTAATTAATTCACTCGTTCACATCTATCAAAAGAAGAAAATTGCGAATAAAATCCCAGCAAAAATTGCAAGTGTAAACGGGCCTGGTTGTGAACAAGTGAAGACTATCACTATATAGTCCTCGTGAAGAAAGTGAAGAAATTTAAATGGATTTAAAATTAAAATTGGATTCATCATAAATCAACTCGGTGCAGTGAATTATGTTACAATTATACTAAACTACTATAAAAAAATATTATTATTGATTATTATTATTATTTGTGTGATTTTCCTTCTTTCATATATATCGACAGTCTATAATTTTCTATAGTAGTTTTAATATATAATCATAACGTTCTCAAATATAGCACAAGTCGCCTTTTTAAAAACAGTCATTTCTTGGTGCTTCTAAAATACCTCCACTGTGAATTGAATGATGATTTTAAATCCAGATGAGCTACGTCAAATATTCAACGCTGAAGAATATAATTTTTTCAGTTAATTCAAGACGAGCGAGAAGTAATCAGTTCAGTGAGACGTCTTGAAGAAGCGTTGACTATTTCAGTAGAATTTGATCAGGTTTTATAACTTTGTCAGTTTTTCTTATCTTCCCTAATCCCTATATATATTGTGTTACAATTTAGTTTCAAATTCAAATCAATGCAGCCAAAAATGAAACACCTTGCATTCACCTTGATAGCGTCTTTACTGCTTGACATTAATCTTCTTATAAAGATTTTTCATTCGTTGCATTGGTAATAGTATATATAATTGCGTCAGTCTAAGAATTAAAATTTATACGGTCAAATCAACAGCACACGGCCGATTACACCCATTACTCAAATGTTAGTTGCGGTATCATTTACGCAATCATCTTTTTTACTGTAGTCGTGATCAATGCCCTGATTTTCAGGCCTGCTTTTCTTAACATTTATAATTTTACTACTTGCATGTGCATATTCAGGGCCGTCGTAACCACAGTGGCAACTGCTACTTACGGAGGAAAGCAAGGCACCGCACCTTGCCCTTCGCTACTGTATAGCACTATTATATATATACAAATAACGAAGGACTGAAGGAGCGGTATGCCAGCTTTGCATATAGACAAGGCAGGAGAGTTTTCAATTACTAACCGACTGACGAAATCTCTCAGGGTGTTTTTATTTATCTATTCTAGCTATAGGCAGTTTTTCTATACCACATTTGATGAAATGTATTCTATACATATAACTTTTCCCTATAAGAGATCATAAACATGCTGAGGTTGTTTGGGGAAATAATCGAAAATATCAAATGAGACATATGCAGGTGTAAATAGATACAATAAGATTAAACGTATCTACATCGGTTATCAACTTTTGTACATTCAAAACATGAAACGAAATCACCCGATTTACTGATATCTAACATATTTCCTGCCCCTCAAACAAAGGATTCGCGCAAACAGGCGAGGTTTTTAGCCCAAGTTTTTTCTGTATAATCACGGTTACATGGAGTTTTGTATTGACAATTTTCTAACGAATTTCTAATTAATATTACAGTGCATTGATTAATTTAAGTCCTCAAATTAAAAAC